CTGAATCTGTTGTCTCTTCAACCATATATTCTGTTGGAACTGATAGCATCTCAACACCTATGACAATCACAACAGCCATCAGCTCAGGTCAAATTGTTACTGTTACTGTTCCTTACTCATACCATCCAATTGTTTATTTTTCCAATGAATCTAATGCTAACTCAGAAAGTAATTTGTTTGTGACATCTGCCAGTGAAACCAAAGTTTTATCTTCTGTTAAAGCTAATGATTTATCTAATAATGAAACTGATGATTTGTCTATTGAATCAACTATGGATGAAACATTACTTGTTTTTACTTCAACTGAAGAATCAAATGATAAATCTATTCTTTCTTCTACTATTAAAGCTGATGGATCGCATATATTATCAACAGAAGAGCTATCTGCTACAAAGGTTGTTTCTTATTCTACTTCAGTTTCATTAGAAACTATAGTTACTGCATTATCTTCAGCTGTTTATCCAAATGGCTCGAGTAGTGAAGATGTTTTTGTAACGGTTACAATTCCTCACACCTCTGTTGTTGAAGTCGTTTTAAGCAACCAGGAATCGCCACAAGTTCCCACTTACGGATTCACAACCATTTATCTTTCTTCAAATGATATTTTAAGCTCCGAATCTACAATATCTGTTGATTCGCCAATTATATCCACTACACCAGTTGCAGAATCATTAGAACAAGCAAGTTCAGAAACCGAAGGTTCAGTGTGCTCAACAGTTTTTGTTTCTTATGGCATAAAGGTGACCTCTGTTATTCCATGTGAGAATTCAGAAGAAACCGAAACTCCAAGTGAGGAAACATTTCCATCTTCCACATTAGCTGGTGAAGATATTTACTCAGGATCTTCAGCATCTTCCACATTAGCCGGTGAAGGTATTTACTCAAAATCATCGGCATCTTCTGCTCCTCAAATGCAAGCATCTTCTTCGATTGCATTCAATTCTAGTGTACCTGAAGTCAGCCAACAAGAAGAAAATTCCGGTAATAATTTGAAGAGCAACTTTGTGTTCAGCATCTTACCATTGTTCGGTGGTATTTTGTTGTTGATGATCTAGGCTGAGCACTAACAGATGTTTTTTTTGATTTTTGGCTTGACTGTTCGTTTGGTTTTCCAAGTTCTGTGAGCAGTATCTTAATATTTATTTCATACCTGTTTATCAATTTATTCTTTCTTTTACGATGCAGGCACCAATAGCACAAAATGGATTTCATTGTGTGTTACTTTGTGTTGTTTGCTACTGTTTTATGGTAGTCCTTTTTTTGGATTGTTTGCTATATTTCTTCCAAACGTTCTCTGTTTATTTTCTACCTAATCAATAATTATCAGTCTACCTATACTGTAGTCTCCACCGAAACATCGAGCAATAACTTGCGCAAGATAATCTGCTGCACAACGAGCACTGAACATGCGGGGCTTTTCGGGGCTTTTCGGGGCCCAATGCATCCGAGGCCCTGCAACCAAGACTGTCCGAAAGCGGAAATTCGCCACGCGTTCTGCTGGCTGCCCAGGGCCCTGCTGCTTCGGGACGCCTGCCTGTTTGGGAAAGGCCTCTGTGTTCGCAGAAAAAAGAAAATTTTTCTGGATTCCGCTCAAAAAAGTTTCTGATCTCACTGCAGAAAGTGAAGAAAAACCAAAATCCAACAGTGAAGAAAACTTTTGCTCGTTCAATTGTGTATCTTTCTTGAGTCTATCTCTTTCTCTTTCTCTTTCTCTTTCTCTTGATTCCACTTCTCATCCTCCGCTCTCCACCACAATAGACTCCACGACGATATACTATATTATAACTCAACATCTCCAACACTCAACAACAGAAGCCTGCCAGTAGCTTGTTCCTTAATAACCACAACACAAACCGATCACCAACCCAACCCCAATCCCAATACTGTCTCCAGCTGACTGCTCATAAGGTATAACTGCAGCTTAGAAAATTTCTTATATTTTTGTTACTTCTAATTAATTCAATTTCTTTACCATTGTTTTATTTTAGTTTTAATTCTGATTATAATTCCAATTTAAGTTCCCAGTGTCCGTTTCTTGATTTATTTTTTAACTTTTAACAAAAAAAACAAAAAAGAAACCTGTTAGAAATCTTTTAGATAATTGTTCATAAAACTATTCAGCTACTATCTAACATTTATTCCAGCATTATCCAAACACTGTTTAATCCTTCAGTTAATTTCATTTCAATATGGGTCAATTTCTTTCAACCCCTCAAATAGATAAAGAGTCTGAAGAAGGTTCCAACAAATATCTAGCTTATGGGATATCCTGTATGCAAGGCTGGAGAATCTCAATGGAGGACTCCCACTCTGCCATCTTAAATTTAAATAAAGTCTTGCCTTACAATCAATCAATACAAGAAAAGGTTATCTCTAAGGAAAAAAAATCTTCCACCACTGAAAATGGATCAGCAATAACCGATGAAAAAGATAAGAAAACCGACGCCGCTAAAGATACAACCACCAAAGACGACAATTCCAAAGATGCCAACAATGATAAAAATAACAATACTCGCAGCAACACCAAACAAAACAATATTGCTAATGACAGCCAGCTTGCATTCTTTGCTATCTTTGACGGTCATGGTGGCGATAAAGCAGCCTTATTTGCTGGAAAGAATCTTCCTTCAATCCTTAAACAACAACAAGCCTTTGATAAAGGTGACTATTCCCAATCTCTTAAAGATGCCTTTTTGGCCTGTGATCGAGCAATTATAGAAGATGAAACCATGAAAACCGATTTTAGTGGTTGTGCCGCCACCTCGATAATGATCACCAATAACAAATTAATTTGTGCAAATGCTGGGGATTCAAGAACGATAATGTCGATAAATGGTAATGCCAAACCTTTATCCTTTGATCACAAACCTTCTAACGACGGTGAGGCTGCCAGAATTTGTGCTGCAGGTGGTTTTGTTGAAATTGGAAGAGTTAATGGTAATCTAGCTCTATCAAGAGCAATTGGTGATTTTGAATACAAAAAATCGTCTCATTTAGCTCCTGAAGAACAAATTGTCACCGCCTATCCAGATATAATCGAACATGATTTGGATTTCAAAAACGACGAATTTGTCGTTCTAGCATGCGATGGTATTTGGGATTGTTTAACCTCAACTGAAGTCGTGGAATTAGTTAGAAAAGGTATAAATGACAGAAAATCATTGAAGGAAATTTGCGAATTAATCATGGATATTTGTGTTGCTCCAAGTTCAATTGGTACTGGTATTGGTTGTGATAACATGTCCATCTGCATTATCGCATTATTAAATGGCAAATCAATTGGCGAATGGTATGATCATATTATTTCTAAAAAAGGGCCAATTTCCGGCGATTATAAAGAAGTCAGAACTAAAATTCATGGAGCAGACAGCCAATTGTTTTCAAGTAAGTTCAACCAGGATGAAGAGAAAGGTTATTATATGGACGAATCTGAAGACAATGAAATCAACAAAGAAAAAAACCAGGTTAGAGTATCGTTGGAACAATTGTTGGAAAGAAACTCAATCTCAAATCATGATGGCGTGTTTTATATTGACTCCCGTTCTTTAAGTAATTTTATTTTAAATGAAGAGTCCGAATTCGATAGAGAAAGTGAAGATTCAGATATTACTTTTGAAGATAGCAGATCTGGAAATGACAATGAACACAGTCAAGAAAATCATCCAAAAATTGAAGAAATAAAAAGCGATGAAAAAATCAGTGCTTCAACAAGTTCCGATAGACAAGAAGACAACAAATAAAATCTCAAAACACAACAAGGGAATGAGAAAAGAGCAAAGAATTCATTTATCAAAGAGTAATTGAGGAAAGAGATCAAAATTCATTATCTTTAAATTGGATTTTGCATTGTATTTTTGATATTTTCTTGTATTTTTTTTTCTCTTTTATTATTATTATTATTACTACTACTACCACTACCACTACACATTAATTCATTTCATTTTAGGTTTTTTTATAACTATAATTAAGTTTTTGCAGTTTTTTCTGTTTTTCCTTATTTTTTTTTGTTTCACATCTATTTAATTGATTTGTTTGAATTTTATTTTACTTTAACGGTGTATTGATCTCACTTTCTCACTTAGTTTTTATATCTTTTAAACTTTAATTTTTCAATTTGTTAATTTTATTAATTTGTGTTTGAACTGATTAAATATTTAATTAAGAAGCTTTTGAATTCATTTCTGTGAAAAGGCCACAATACCTCTATCATATTCAACAATTAATTTCTTGGAGAGATCGCAGTTTTTCTTTCACATTTATCTTTCATTTTTGCTTTGAATTATATTCTAATTTTATATTGTATCAATTTAATTCAATCTTTCTCCATTCACAAAGTAAAACGTAGGTTCGAATCTCAATGGGGGCGTTTTTTAGACCTGTTTATTTAGAAACCCCCTTCCGATCCGGGGTCTGCAACTGGACCCCCTGAATCCAGACCTTTTCTACTCACGGGGTCTGTAGCCAAATAGGGTTTGCCCAAAATCATTTTATTTTCTTTTAATAAATTTCACAATTTTATTTCTTCTCACTCTCAATGGATTAAGACTTTTCTCCAAGGTCCCTAGAACTTCCTACAGACAATTGTTGTTTTTGCATTCTCGTTATTGTGTACTTGGATAGAACTGTTCTCTTGTATTTTTTTGGTTTTTGGTCTGCTACAGAGTACACTTTCTTGTTCCACCAGTCGTTCTTTTTCATCCTCTATCAAACTATCAATAGATTAACACAACAGTAACTGCTATCTGGGGGAAATGACAGAAGAGTCTAGATTCAAAGTCAATACACCCCCGAGAAACCCTTTTCACAAGAATTATGGACTTACATCACTTAATAGATTCAAACCGAGAGGCAAATGGCATGTTCATGGCAGACATATGAATAACAGAAGCCACAAGAATTATAATGGTTACCTCTCTACTCAAAACCAATTTGCGCATTCAAAGGGCAATCCAAATGATATTAGAATCCCGATAGATAAAGACAAAACAAAGCTAGTTTCAGATCAAGCAGATCAGATAGATGAAAGTCTGGTTCGCAATGGTATCAAATATGGTGATGATCGAACTTACCTTGATAAAAAAAAAAACAATAATAGTCAAAACCATTCTCAAGATAAAAAACATGATGGAAATAGTAAAGTTGTTAATGGTAATAATAATATCAATGGTAATATCATCAACCGTCATAGTGCCAATGGTATTGACAACATCGATGACTTTGATATTGTCACTATTGCAAATTATACTACTACTACTACTGATATTAATACTACTTTGAGAATCGCTGCTATGGATAATAATAAACATCTCAAGGATATTATTACTTCTACTCCAATTCCCATTCAGATACCCACCACTAGTTTCAATAATCATCATAATCATAATTATGATTATAATAATAATATTCATCATGGCCATAGTGACTATAATATTACTCATACAAATGGTGTTATCAAAAATAATGCCACTGAAAAAAAATATGTTAGACTGCATGCCCGAGCCAATAAAATGTCTATTCCAAGTTTGCTTAATGAAACCTCTTCTGAGTTTTGTTTTCATACTTCTAGTAACTCCACAATCAATGATACCTCGAATAACAACAATAAATTACCCATAATAAATATTGCTAATGAAATGGAAAATTCCACTTCTCAAATTAAAAATAAGCATCATGCCAATGATGACAATTTAGCGGTCAAAGAATCAATTCTTGTGCCAAAAACACCTCCAAGTAAGCTTAGCTCTATCCTTTCCTATGGCTCTAGTACAAATTCTTCCAATAAAATTGGCAATAAACCACTCACAAATGGCCTGTCTAGTTTTATTCAAAGTGCTAAAACCAAAGAAACACCCAAACATGATTTATCTCTAGAAGACTTGAATCCAGATGAAAGTACTAGTTTTAATCCCTTCAAAAAGGAAAATCAAAGATCTTCAAGTAAATCCCTTTTACTAGAGAAGTTTTCTAATAAAAAAACAACCTATTCAAGTTTAGCGAAAACCAATTCGGCAGTACCTGTTTCTACTCTCTTTCCTATTACTGCTTTAAAACCTATTGAAACTGATAATATACTAAAAAAAAGGGTTCTTAGAAAACAAATTACTCAATCATCAGGTCATTTATCTAATTTGGATGACTCAATAATATCCAATCATTCTAATTCATGTTCTTTTCAAAAACTTTTAAAGAGTTCATCAGCTCTAGAACCTATGAACAAAAGGACACTTTCCATTTATTTTAATGGAATAACATTAGATAAGTCTTATCTGTTTTCGGTTGTTGTAGATTCTGAAGGTAATCTAAAAAATTTAGCTCACTTAGAAAACGGAATTTTAATTTTCCCTCGTTATCTTAAATATATTAACATAAAATTATCAGATGTTAAATTAATCACCTATACAAAAGATATAAAAAATTTAAAATTTTACCTAAAGACTCAATATCAAATTTGTGATTCAATAAAGCAAAAATTTCAGGCTCTAAATACTAACAACTCTAAAAGTTTTGAGTCAATAATGCTATCACTAAATGATTCCAGTTCTGAAAATAGAACTGATTCATTTTTGCGGAAACTCTATGATTTGAATGGCTCATCAAATAAGGAAAAAAGTTCAAAGTTTAATTTTGAAATTACGTGTAGTGATGTTAACAATGATAAGAATGGTTTCTCTCAAATTTTGCGACAGCCGTCAACTTTTAACAATAAAAATTTACTTTCGTTAAGTACAAAGAACTCCTCAAAAAAACGAAAAACAGGAACTCCAATTAATTCAGAAAAAAGGGTCAAGTTAAATAATGAACTAAATTCCTTAAAATCAATTTATACGGGAGCTTTGGATATTAGAGTAACTAGAAGTTTGACAAAAATAACTACTGGGTATACAGAAGATATTGAGACCCGCAAAAATCAAACTATTAATGAATCTTCTAAGGTTTTCAAGAAACGTAAACCAGATGAGATATTTTTTCCTTCTTTAGACTACAAGTTTGATGATAATAAATCGATGACTATTGGTAATTCTGATTTCAAATGTTTGTATAGCCATGAGTGGATTAACGATTCATTAATTGATTTTTTTTTGAAATATGATGTTGAACAGGCTGTTAAAGCCAATCTCTTTAAAAAAGATCAAATTCACGTTTTCACAACATTTTTTTTCTCAAAGTTGATTGGGACTACAGATAACAATTATTATCACAATATGAAAAGATGGGTTAGCAAAATTGATTTATTTTCTCTCAAGTACATAATCTTGCCGATTAATGAAGCGCAGCATTGGTATTGCATAATAATAACAGGGTTACCTGCTTTATTGAAAGACGGAAAGTGTATTATATATGTTTTTGATTCTTTGGGTCAACAACATAAACATATATCAAAACCATTGAGAGAATTTATTTGTCAATATGGGAGAGAAACAAGAAATAAAGATATTGAATACAAAAATATCAACTTTAGGAAGTCAGTAGTTCCAAGACAAAACAATTCTAATGATTGTGGAATTCATGTTATTTTTAATGTTAGACGATTTCTTGAAGACCATAAGGGATGTATGAAGTTATGGAACACTATTAAGCCAACCTATTATTCTAAAATTTCGTTTTTTAATGCTAATAGAAGGAAGGAACTGAGAATAGAGCTAAGAGATTTACTTTTCAAATTACAGAAACTCCAGGTTGATACCGGGAATGTTAATCGAGAGTCTGTGACTTCAGTTTCAGATGAAAATGAAAACCTTGAAGATGATGACGTTGAAATAGTTGAAATGGAAGACTACTTAAGTTCTTTGTCTCCTCAGGATAGTGATGATGCTGAATTATCTGGAATAGAAAAAAAAGACAATGATGAGAAAACTTCTAAAGATAACTTGACAAATGAAGAGGTAAATGAAGAGATGAATAAAGAATTGAATAAAGAAACAGATAGGGAATTGAATAAAGGAGAAGATATCGAAGAAAATAATGAAGCGGATACAAAGGAAATGAACAAACCAGTAAATAAAACTATAGATAATCCATTGAATGAGATAATAAAAGAACCATTAAAGAAACCGTTATATGAAAAAGTTATTGATGAAGATAATGAAAGCTTGCATAAGAGAATAAATATCGAAAATAAGATCTCCCAGATAGTTGGTGATAATAGTTTTAGTCTAAAAAATTTAGAAGTCGAAGCCAAAAGGAGAAACTTTGAAATAGCAGAACCCAAAATACAAGGAAAAACTGAATACAATCATAATCATAAAAAAAGCAAAGTTTTAGTTGAGAATAAACCTCTGGATAGCCAATTAGGACTTCCAGTTGTTTGTGTCAATCCGCTGAATAAGCCGAATGAACCAATTGAGTTAAATGAGCTGAATAATATTTTTAATCTGAAACGATTTTTTAAAAATATTAATCTGAAAGATTTTTTTGGCAATGAAGATATTCCATTAAGTGAAAAAACAATTGAGCGCAGTGAAGATTTGAAAAATGAACTTAGAATTCTGAAAATGGTTATTAAGAAAAAAATTCTATTAACTCGACAGGAAGTAGTAAAAAAAGAGCAGTTTGAGGAAAGTAATATAAAGAGAAACCTTAAAAAGGTGACACAAGATATACCTGAAGGTGAAAATAATGTTTCTGAAACCAAAAGTGTTGACTTTATAAATGAAATTGCTGAATCGGCCTTTGATGGTTCTACATCTGAAATTACAAAATATGATCATAATAAAAATTTGTCTTTAATTTTGCAAACAAAAAATCAAAATAAAACATTCAAACCATTATCTTCTCTCAGTACTGACGATCAAGCTGGTCAAGAAATTGAAAAATATTTTTTATGTTTTTCAGAACCACAGACAGAAAATGTTAATAATGATGAAAATAACTCAATTAGTAATATTAACAATTTCAGAGAAGATCCTTGTGAGAGCAATTATTTTTGGGGTTTAACTGATATTAATATCAATCATATTTACAAAAATAATCTTAAATTGTTAATTGACAATAAACTAAAGATAACAATTAGGTATTTAGAAAGTGACGAAAAAACTAAAGACCATTTTTTTGCTCTCGCTGAAGAACATCCTTTCCAAATCACTGATTATCCAATTCCAATAATAAACAAATTAAGGCCAAGAGATACACTTAAACACACCCACTTCTACGATGGGCTGTCTTCCGACCCAGAAAGTTCTTACAAAGCTAAAAAGGAATACAAACAAAGATTAATCAAGGCAAAAAAGCTTATCAAAACAAAAAAGCTTTTTAAGGAGTTAGTTGAAATCCCTCCTCCTGAAAAAAAAAATAAAAAGAAAGAAAAAGTTTATTCAAAAGCCTCTCCTACAAAAAAAGAATCTTATCAAAAAACATCTTCGAAAAAATTAACTTTGGCAAAAAAACAACCTTGAAGATCCTGATCTGACGCCAATTTTTTAGATTTAAAACCAAATCAACAATTAGAAATAGGAAAATTAAAGAAATCTACTGGAGAAAACCATATTCTGAAAACAAAACATTGTTGACAAAGTTTTAGAAAAGGATGTTCCTGAAACATTTGTGCCGGGATTCACATCCCAATTCTCTTTTTGTAAAGAACTTGCATTTAACTTACTTGTTCTGCTCATCAACTTGTAGAAGAAAACAGAACTATATGAAGACAAAACTTTTTCCAATTGTTTAACTGAAAACAAGGAAATATTTTCTTTTTACTCAGGCCTAAATTGCGAGACTTGTTCGGTATATCTAATGGATTTTTTTAAAGTTTTACTCAACGATTTCAACTTGTCGATCTCAGAAGGTAGTTTAATATTAATCTAGCTAGATTTAGCTTATTGCTTAAAACCCAGAAGGACTCTGAAATAATTGACAAACAAAATTTTCGCAGTTTGTACAGAGCACTCTAAAGTCTTTTTTTTGTTATTTTTTTCCTATTGTTTCTCCATTCTTTTTAGTTCATACATTTGATACATATTGTATATTGTATATTGTATATTGTATATTGCATATTTTATATTTTATAGTCTAGTTGTTCTATTGATTTTTAGGGTTGAATTTTTATATATTATATCACGGATATTATTGCATTTAAATAAATATTAGCATTTTAGTATAAGTATAAACTACTTATTCTCATGGTTTTACCTATCTAAAGTGTATTTGATCTATAAACATTGGAAAAGAAAAATTAAAAAGAAATAAATGATCAAAATTGATAAATACATTATTCCTCACTACTTAACTGTTCTTTTTGGGCTGTTCTTTTGAGTTATCACTGGCTACTGGCCCAAAAATTGCTTTATCATACTTAGTTTCCGATAAATGATTTTCAAGAATGGTCTCAAAAGAGGACGATAATGGAGAAAACAACTCATTATTCAAACTCAAAACATCATTATTTATGCCCGAAAAAAAATTATTGGGATCGTTGAATAGTAAATCTAATGATAGATTTCCCACCATACTATTATTTTGATTCATATCAAGAACGTTCAGGTTGGGAACATGTTTCATTTCAAGATCAGCCCCAATATTGAACTCTCTAATGTCAGCAGTGTTTATGAGACTTGTACTGCTTGAATTCTGGAAATTGTTGAAATACTGATCACTGTTGTTGTTTGTCATATTTATGGAAGTATTCAATGAAATAATCTGATTTGAATTATACTGGGGAGCTGGCTCAAACACACTTGAGCTCATGACAATTGCCAGATCATTGTTTCCATTGATATTCAGAATGCTGTTTTTTTCACTATCAAAGTTCAACAAACCGTTGTTTAGATTGTCATTAAATGCGTTGTTATAATTGTGTAAGCTTTGGGGATTTTGAGAGGACACCAAATCAAGTCCAGTTACCTTTTCTTCAGTTATTTGAGGAGTGATTGGTGACTGCTTTTGATGTGATATAAAAGAAAAACTTGATTCTTTATTGCAGCCAGGTTCGGTTTTAATTCCAAATCCTTTAACCTCAACCTTATAAAATGGACATTTTTCAATGGATTTATTAAACATGGGGTTATTTCCTATAGCATTCAAATTTGACATGTTGATTTCACTTCCATTTTCTGTAAGGTTTTGTTCACTTATTGGAGTCAAATCCTGAAGCAAAAACTGATCGTTTTGTTTTAGTAAAAGAATAAAAAACTTCATAGATTTTGACATTCTCCAGGCATAATAATACTTAAAACTTAAGTTGTCTATTACCTTTTGAAATGCTTCTAATTTATCAATCAATGCAATTGGTAATTCGGGAGATTTGCTCTGTGAATAATCCAATACTGGAATATCATATCCATGATAGGATGTAAATTTTATACTATTGTCATTGTTTTCGGATGTTTTAATTTTTTCTTGATGGTCTGTCTCAAACAATTCCTCATGGGGTATTTTGGATTTCAATTTTTCAATAAATGGATAACATTTTATTTTCACAATGACACTTATTATAAATTGCAACGACCTATGAGAGGTTAACAAAACCAATGGGTTCAATATCAAATCAGCACCAGTTCCAAATATTTTGTTTGATTCTTCAAGAACTTTTCGAGAGATGAGGCAATTCTCAAATGCTGAATTCAATGAAGACTGATCGTATTGATTTATTAACTTATTAAACTCTTCGTGATAAAACGAAGTTTTGCTGCTGCTGCTATTCTTGTACAATAATTCAATATAGGGACTTTTTCTTAGATTTAGTTGAATAAATATCGTATAATTTAAAAGAAAAATAAACAAATTCATCTGTAAATACAATTCAAACTTGACTGCTCTTGAAGACGCCTTATATAGTGGTTCATCAATGGTTTTATTCACCAATAAGGAGTCTCTCTCTAATAAACAATCGCTACTCGAATTGCTTTTACCCAAAGATATATGTCCTTTTATTTTCTCTATCAAATCATCAAGCTCTGAAATGGTAAGATTTCTATCAATTCTCAATAATTCAATCATGGTTTCAGAAATTATCTTGTTAATGGAATATTGTATTTTAATATTTTCCACAACTTCAAGCTCTCTTGGATCTTCCTTAATAAAATCAAAATTTGAGGAAGGAAGTTTGGTGTCAGAGAATTTTATTGTCTCAAAACTAATAATTTTAGGTGATCCTAGCATAAAACTTTGTCTAGTATCTAAATCAATCAATTTATACCATATTTTTCTCCATAAATGAACCGATCTGTCTTTATGGTCTTTGCTATCATTCTTATTGATATCAACTCCTTTTGGCTCAAAATTCTCAAAGCTAGTTGGATCCCTATGGATTCCAATGCTCATTGCCATTTGTATTAAGGTGCCTAAGAATATGGATGATTCAGAGCCATCAGAACCATCACCATCCTCTGGTGCATACTGAAAATACAATTTCATAAACAAAGATACTTGAATAATTGGAATTGAGGTTTGGGAGAGCAAATTAATCTTTGAAAAACAGTGCCTTAATGAGTCTATCAAACTAAGATGAATAACATTTTCAGGTTTAGACAATATTCTAATAAATTTTGAGTCTTCTTTGTTTGTCTTCATATAAGCATTCATTTTTTTCTTATCATTAATTTCATTAGATAAATGGAGATTCACATTATTACAAGGCAAAGTCAACCATGACAATCTTAGCATTACAAGCAAAATTCCAAGATATGCGTAGTCATCTGGCGTATATTTAAAGGTTTTGTGTTTTTGCTTGCCTTTTGCATTTGGATTTGTTATATAATATTCTTTAAATTGGATTTTTTGATGCTGATCATGTCTGTCACCAATTAATAGTTTGATTCTAGTTCTAAAATCAATCTCATCAACATAAGGAATATAGACATAGAGGATTTTAAAAAACCTGTCTATCAATAGCCAAACAACTTTTTTTGATGGTAAAGAAGTTTCAAGATGTTTGATTTGGTTAATCGCCAAATAACTTTTAAGCTTTTGTGTTTTCATTGAAGTTAGTTGTAAAACAGTTCCTGGACTAGGGGTAGAAGAGATTGATTTTTTGGAGGAATTAAGTCTTTCGATAAATTCCCTGGACTTATTTCTAGTTGATTGATCTTTAGTATTAATATCAATATTGCCGCTGTTATTTACACTTTGAGCAAGATTACTTGTGATATCGTTTGTACTTTCCACTGTATTTTTAGTGTTTAATGCATTATCATTATTGTTATTTTTTGAGGTCTTTTTTTTGTTACTAGAGCAGCCAACAACTGGACAAATAAATGAGCCATCGTTAGTGAAGTTTCTAAATGTTTTTTTTGCATCACCCATCATCAACGGACAAACATTCGGCTCAATTATATTATTTTTTATTTCATTTGTGACAACGTTTTCAATGATCATGTTTGCAGTTTTGGATTCCATGGTAGGAACAGTTGATATCAAATTGACACTATTATCAAGATTATTAATAATTTTGCTTGGGTCAAGTTCGTCAGTTATTGTGGAGAATTCCTGAGAAAATGTTCTTCCATGAGGTTTCATTGGAATAGAATCAATATTGGAAGAAAATATTTGGGGTAGTTCTCTAATAAAATCCTCGGGATTTTTATTACTATCAAGATTTGGATTCTTGATGATAGGACATTGGAGGTTATATGAGTTTTGCAAGTTTGAGGACATGAAGGGACAACGAGAGATATTTTCATAATTGTTTTGATAATTGTTTTGAGAATTGTTTTGGATTATTATGTTATTTTGATTTATTACGCTATTCTGATTTGTTTGGTCTATTTGATTTATTTGGTTTATTTGATCAGATGGATCCATTTTATTTTTAAAATTTATATTTAATTTCAGTTTCAAGTTATTTTTTGAGGAAGAGTTTAAGAAAGATTTTTTTTTCTTTAAAGGAACAGAATTTTGGCTTAGATTATTTATGTTCCATTTTTTATTATAAAGATTTGTGAAATCGATTTCTTTTTGGTCCATTTGATAGTTTTGGTTATTCAAGTCGTCCAAGTCATTTTTGGTTGTGAATAAATTATCAATAAAGTTTTCATTTGCAGCTGTGGAAGGAGTAAACTTTGACGATAAGTTTTCGTCATTATTTTTATTATTATTATTATTTTTATTATTATTTTTATTATTATTATTATTATTATTATTATTATTATTATTATTATTATTATTATTATTATTATTATTATTATTGTTATTATTATTATTTGAGTTATCAGGAGAAGTTATAAAGGAAGATATTGAGAAATCTGGATCAACTGAAGGAGATAAATTTAAATTTGAATTTGAAAGTGGAGTTGAAATTGAGGAAGAGTTATGGAATTGGAATGGGCATTTTTTTGTTGAAGTTGGAGGGATTTTAGTGTTTGTATTATCAGTATCAGAAGTGGGTTTGTTTAAGTTTTTTTTCTTCAATTTTTTGAGAATGTATTTATTGAAGAAAAAGCTGAATTTTTTAAAGATGATAAACCATAGTAATTTAGCAAAGAAGTCTAATCTCATTAGATTTAGCCAGTTGATTAGACCAAAGAATTTGAAATGTTTGTTTGAAGTTAAGGAGAATTCTTTTAGGTTTTTGATTTTTAGAGATTTGATTGAGTTGATGAAGTTTTTCTTGTCAAGTTGTAGGTCTATAGGAGAGTTAAGTAGGATGTTGTTAAGATTGATGTTGTTTAGGTTGTTGAGGTTGTTAAGATGAAGGGTGTTGAGGTTAAGATTATTCATGTTCATGTTCATGTTCATGTTGTTCATGCTGTTCATATTGTTCATGTTGTTGAGATTATTGATATTGGTGATTGCACCTAAGTTATTGATGTTGTTAAGATTATTCATATTCATGTTCATATTCATATTGTTCATATTGTTCATATTGTTCATGTTCATGTTATTGATGTTGTTCATACCCATATTATTTATATTGTTTATATTGTTCATATTGTTCATGTTGTTTATATTGTTAATATCGTTCATGTTGGTTATGCTGGTGATGTTGGACATGTTATTCATATTACTCATATTACTCATATTATTCATATTATTCATATTATTCATATTATTCATATTATTCATATTATTTATATTATTTATATTGTTCATGTTGTTGATATTGTCCATGTTCATGTTCATAGTCATAGCCATGTTATTTATGTTCATGTTGGTATTTAAATCGTTTGAAGCGACTGGTAAAGACAAAGAAGAGTTTATGTTTGAGGATAGTAGCTGCTGTTTGAGGTCGTTAATCTGCTTTTTAAGAGATTCAATTTCTTTATCTTTTTCCAATTTTTCAGCATCAGGTAAGTTTTGGTTTAGTTTGTGTTTGCCATTATCATGATTGTTATTAGTGGTGTTGTTATTATTATTGTTATTGTTATTAGTAATAGTGGTGGTGGATATTTTGTGATTGGAATTAGAGGTGGTGATGGAAGAAGTATTGTTGTAGTTTCTTAGTAGGGATTCGTCTGGATAGGCCCATGGAGGATCAATAAAGTGGCATAGATGGGGAACACCAGTTTTGACACAGGTTGAACATACAGGTCTTTTTTTGTCACATTTGACCTTTCTTCTTCTGCAGATGGTGCAAGAGATGGGCACTCTGTTTCTCCTGGGTTTCTTTGCTGGGTTTTTTTTCGCAGGCTGGGGTGCAGCAGAGGGAACAGAGGAGGAGTGTGATTTTGTGGAGGCAGAGGGAAGAGAGATGGGGTTCCTGTTGAGTGCAGAGGAGGAGTGAGCGATATTGGTGGTGGTCAAGTCAGCCAAAGAGCTGTTTCTCTTGAGAGGAAGTGAGGAGTGGAGCGAGCCAGAGACCATTGTGGGAAGAGAGATGGGAGTGCAGAGACAGAAAAACAAAAGCAAAAACAGGGGATATCGAGGGCATTTGTAGTGCCAGGGGAAGAGAGCAAGAGGAGATAGAGAGATAAGAGCAGGAAGAGAATCCAGAGGGAGGTTGAAGGCCCAGCAGAAGCAAACACCCAGAGGCCTGCGCTGCGAGCGAGAAGCAGCTGCAGCGCTAGCAGCCTCTGGGGGTGCGATTCAGTGGCTCGACGTGGGAGCAGGGGCAGAGGGAGCAGCGCTAGAAGAGCTGGGACCGGAGGGGAAGGGTCGTTGTGCTGCTCTCCTTCTGCTGCTTCTGCTGCGTGTGCTTCCTCTGCTGGGGAGGCATGTTGGCGAGGCACTCAATGCAGATGCTTTCGATAAGAAGATCGTTTTGATAACAGACGGGAGAGGGTTGAGGCCGGACTAAAAGAGCGGACTAAAAGGCCGGGTTGATCCAGCGGTCGAAAAGGACGGCCAAAAAGCGGTCTACAGAGCCCTGTGCTCGCAACCCACTTCCCTAAAATACACCTCTCGAGCCTAATTGGGCCCAATCAACCTGCTTTTTTTGCTTGGATGAAGGACTGTTGATCTTCGTTTTGGAGAATGAAGTGCTATTGCCATGACACATTCTGGAAGAGCACTCATGCCTTCCCCTGTATCTGACTATCTGCTGCCCATGCTTCCTGCTAATCCCACACATTGCCAAAGCTGCTTATCTTTTATTCTGCTAACTGCTCTGCTTTTCATTAGGATTCGAGCATTTTTACGCTTCCCACACTGCTTTTTTATTCCAGCCTCTGATTAGTAATCCGTTATATACTTTTTCTTACTAAACTTTTTTCCACTAATCGTTTTCGTTGAAATTATAGTTGTCACATTTATCCTGTTTGTCATATTCTCTTCACTTTCTCTTTCGCTTTCCTTAAATGTTTCTTTTTTAATCATCGTTCATGATTCAAAACCACAATTATCACCCTATAGCTCTCATACTCTATTCTCTATTTCATATTCTCTATTCCATATTCCATATTTCTTTTTTCTTGCTCGTAGGTCTTGACTCCTTAATTTCGTGATTTGCCAACAAAGCAGTTTTAACTTCCCCCTGTTTTTTTTGTTTTGTTTTCATATATTGTTCATTCTGTTTACTCTACTTGCTCGATTATCTACTCTAGACTACCTATCTTTCTTTCTCAATCTTCTGTAACGTCCTCAATTTCATCCTTGGGCTCTTTAGGCTCTTGATTCTCAGCCCATTGCGTTATATCATCTACGTAACTCAAAATGTTCGCAATGGAATCCTTATCTTTGCACTCCAATGGCAAAAACTGAACCATCCCAAAATCTTCAATCAAATTGCCAATCGCCAAATTCAATCTTTCAAACTTCTCATTGTAATTATATTTCCCTTTCCCTTTCCCTTTCTCTTCTCCTTCCCCTTTTTCAATCATCTCGCTCAACGAATTCGAACTCACTGAGCTCGTCGACATCAACGACATCGGATCAGGCTGCAAAAACTTCCTGATATAATTTCTACTATACTCATTCTTCACCAAATCAAACTTCGACAACAAGTTAATGTGCGGCAACTCCAACAATATCATCGTAGACATTGCACTTAACGTCCCCGACAAAAACTTCAGATTGTCAATGATAAACGAACTCTCCATCAAATACGTTATACACAACGAATAGTTCAAGTTGTCCCGTAGATGCTCAATGATCCTGGGCAATATAGGAATGTGTGTATACAACTCAATCTGTCCCGGACAATCAATGATCAAATAGTCCTCCTCAAAATCTCCAATTTCCTCATCCAACCAGTCGAGATTCTCTAACAAAAACTCAAAGCAGTATATCAATCCTCCATTGGGTCCAAGCTGGAGCTCCTCCATCACATCCTTCAACGAAATCAAATCTCGAATATCAATCGAAAACTCATACTCGGTTTGCTCAGCGGCTGGGTCTAAATTAATTAAACAGCACGATCTCTTATTGCTTTGCATATGGCCCACTAATGAGTTACAAAATGTACTTTTCCCAGCTCCTGCTGGTCCTAGCGCTAACACTCCCACCCTCGACATTATAATCAGTCAATTAATAATTAATGATTAATAAAGTAATAAAGTAATAAAGTAATCAAGGAATCAAGTAATGAAATGAAGTAATTTATTAATTTCCATTTTAAGTTTATAAATTAATTCAAAAAAAATCAAAAAAATGTTTATGTAATCAACCACGTGTGTCCCAATATCTCTTTACCTTACTCTACTTTACTCTACTTTACTCTACTTTACCTTGCAATACTCGTCTATTGGTTACTTTATATATCTACTGTTCTATTGAATCGGAATCGGAATCGGAATGTATAGTTGACAATTCTACAATATTAATTCCCTTTTCCACGATAGTAATGGAAAGGAGACGCTTGACAAGTTGGAAACACCAATGTTTCCGCAATCACAGTATTTGCTCTTCTTGAACATGAAAACACAATCAACTCTGCAATATCTTCAGCGACCAATGGCTCGCCACCTTCATACACCTTTTTAGCTGCCTTTTCATCGCCATAGTATCGGACCTTTGAAAACTCAGTTTCAACTGCACCTGGCTGGATTTCAATGATTCTCACAGGCGAGTTCACAACCTCCTTTCTCAATGCACTCGTAAATGCTCTTAGAGAATGCTTCGTGGCACAATAAATAGCTCCACCTGGATATGGCTCTCGACCAGCAATCGACCCCAATTGAACGATATCTCCTCTTTTTCTTTCAATCATTCCAGGCAAAATCGACTGGACAACTTGAATCATCCCTAACACATTAGTCTGAAACATATCGTTGATATCATCCTGTTTAATCGAACCAACTTTGTCCACTCCAATGGCCTTACCAGCGTTGTTGATCAAAATATCAATCTCTTTAAACTCACTGGGCAAACTGTCAATAAAAACTGGAATAGATGCAATCTTGGACACGTCCAACACATTGTAATACACGCTGATGTTCTTGTACGACGAAGTCAACTCGTCACTCAAGCTTTTCAAACGATCGAGTCTTCTGGCTGACAAAACCAACTTGATCTGCCCATTGGCAGCAGAAGCAAACTCTCTGGCGGTAGCCTGCCCAATTCCGGAAGAAGCACCGGTGATGAAAATGACCTTGTCGGCCAAACGTTTGGCAGCCTGGGAACCGTAGGACATGGTGGAAACAACAGCAAAGCAAGAAGAGACTCTCGGGTAGTTGGCACAGAACAAAGAAACAAATAAAACAAGTAAAACAGAAGCTCGAGAAGCACAAGAAGCAGCCGAAAAAAACGAGAGAAGAGCAAAAAAAGCCACACAAAATGGTAACCACACGTGACCATATGGATCTGCGACCGGAAGCGGCACGAACGGACCACGAACGGACCACGAACGGAGCACAGACGGAAGAAAGAACAAGAGAAGAGAAGAGAAGAAGCAGCAGCAGAAGCACAAGCAGCAGCAGAAGCACAAGCAGCACAATGAATGCCAGATCCACCAACACTTTGATTCTTACTGGCTTCTCCAGGGAGGAAATAGAGGACGACGAGCTAATTGGCTTCTTGCAGCAGCAGATCATCGACAACTCTCCCAATGACGAGCTCTTGAAGTTCACTGTTTTGAAGAGTCTCCAGCGAATTCTCATCTTCTTTGAGGAAATAGACACTGCTTCGTTGCTCTACAAAATATTGAAGAAGTGCGACTTCAAGGTCTACTACTCGCCTACCAACAACTACGACGAGCTCTTTGTTGACCCCAAAAACCCTAGCAGCTACTACAACAATCTTGATGAGTATCTCAGACTCCCAAACACTGGCACACAATTCATTATAAGTCCTCCTCCTTCACCTCCTCCAGGATGGGTTCATAGAAACGAAGACGACCCCAACCATGAAATCATCAACAACCCCGAAGAATTGAAGGATTTGTTGTTCCAAAGATTGGACGATCTAGATAACAAAAACAAATTGACAAGAGTCTACTCATTGAATCACTCGACCTTGATTGATCAAGACAACAATGAATCCAATAACCTCAATTTCCCCATCATCTTACTAGATCCTCCCACAAATGAAAAACTATCTCTCAACTTCAAAAACTCAAAGGAAAACAATGCTGAGTTCAGTGACACTCCAATAAAGATACAAAGAACTGCGATGCCTCCAATCAGAATCAACGACGACAACAAAGATATTGAATAATCAACATGGTCTTTATACAATCTTTATGTATTTTTAACAGTAGTTAATAGCATAATTTGCCAGCTCACTGCTATTGACCAATCCCTCTTTTTTATTTTATATACCAATATATATAAAATACAATACATATACTATAATATAACATAACATAATATACTATACTATACTATAAAATAACATAACATAACATAACAAGAAAATACTCAAATGCAAATGGCTACCAAAATCATCTTATCTGTTATCCTATCCTTCTTAGCTCTCTTTATTCTCATTATTGTTTTGTCCTTATTATTTCAACGAAAGTTCATTTATCTTTCTTGGATCTTACATGCAAAATCGCAAATAAACAACCCACTGGATTTCAACTTATCAAATCTTGAGTCTCGCAACTTGATAACCTCTGATAACCAAATCCTCAAGACCTTTATCTTCAAACACCAAAATGTCTCTGCCAATAACCTGAAAAAAACCATTGTAATCCTCCATCCAAGTGGTGGGAATATGGGCCATCTCTTATCCCATGCTCAAATTCTATTCAACGACTTCCACTACAACATCATCATGCTAAGTTATCGAGGCTATTGGAAGAGCACTGGTGCTCCATCTGAATCTGGCTTGAAGATCGATGCTCAAACATTATTCCACTTTATTAACAATGATCCATTTTTCAAAAACTCAAATATAGTAATCTATGGCAAATCAATTGGCTGTGCAATAACTTTCTATCTATCCTCGTTATTCAACAACAATAATAGCCCACTCTTAAAAGGTATCATCCTAGATAACCCTTTCTTGTCTCTTCATAAACTAATCCTATCGCATATGCCTCACACAAACCTATTCTACATTAAAGACATTTGCCATTGGTTTGTCTCTTCCTTTATTAAAGACAAGTGGGACAACGAAGCTCAAATCCTAAACATCTCTCGCCAGATCTCAATGCTATTCCTATCTGGCAAAATCGACGACCTAGTCCCAAACTACCATCCGAAATTACTATATAATCTATCAAAGAGCAACTATAAAAAATTCATTCAATTTGAAAATGGTAATCACATTAATAATTTCTTGCAACCAAATTACTGGGATTACATCCATCAATACATTGAATTGATAACTGATCCAAGCTTTAATTACTCTTCAAATTAGTGAAATCGACACTATTATTTTTCATTTATTATCTGTCTCTAGCTTGTTTTCTTCTTGTTTTCCACTCTTCTCTTCTTAAATCGATATATTCTTTGTAAAAAACTCCTTTAAATTCTCTTCCGCTTTTATCTGCTGAAACGAAAAACGCATCGCTTTCTTATCAACTAGTTCTTATTATCTCAATACCCCCATTATTTAGCAATCATCAACCAGTATCAGATTCTAATTTAGACTCCTGCCACTGCAAGACAATTCTACATATCAAACGATATTTGCTCTTCTCAAGTCTGTTGCTCTTATCACAGGGTCTCTCGCCCACTCGCTAGCTGATATTATTTGGGGAGTTTCCTAATAATGTCACTTAGCAGTTGCCTAAAATTTGTCTTAAGAACTGTCAAGATCATGTTTCAAGTCGTTGGCTCACTAGCAGCGTTGGGATTAATAGGTATCTACTCTTTCCAAAACAAATTGGTTTATCCATCCTTTGCAAATAATGGAAGAAAACATGTCGATACTCCCAACAAATATGGCATGCCCTATCTGGCAATCGACCTAACTACAAAAGATAATGTCGTAATAAAGGGATTCGTGTTAAGACACAACCCTCTTTCTGCAAATTATAAAGACAAAACGATTGTGATGCTCTCTCCCAATGCTGGGAATATTGGCCACTACTTGCCTACTGTTAAAATATTTTTCAGAGAATTCCATTATAACGTTGTTATTGTCTCTTATAGAGGGTATGGGTATTCCGAAGGTGAACCATCAGAAAAGGGAATCAAATTGGATGCAGAAGCAATTTTGAACTACTTAATCATTGACGAACAGTTTAAAAGAAGTTCAATTATCTTATATGGAAGATCAATTGGTGGTGCTGTTGGAATCTATATGGCATACATCAACCAGGTTTTGAATACTGATAAAAATTTTAATATTTCAGCTATCATTTTAGAAAATACATTTCTAAGTATTCATAAAGTGATACCCTTCATTTTCCCTCTTCTAAAGTACTGCTCGTTTTTATGCCATGATAAATGGCCATCTGAGGAATATGTTGAGCACATATCAAAAGAGATTCCAGTTTTATTTTTATCTGGCTTAAAAGATGAGATTGTTCCCTCAGGCCATATGGAAGAATTACACAAGTTGAGTCTAAGTGATAAAAAGGTCTTTATCAAATTTAAAAATGGCTATCATAATGATACAAATTGCCAGCCAGATTACTGGAAACATGTTTATAAATTCATTGAGGAGGATGTTGTAAATAGAAATCTATGATATTATATGATATTATATGATATTATATGATATTTTGCTTTATTAATTAATTCAATATCCTCAACTTTTCATATTTTAATTTATTCATTTGTTATCTATTTTTTTAGAAAAAACCAGTGGCTTGGTACTTCGTTGTTTTCATTTGTGTATAACAATCGGGTATAAAATTTTGCACAAACAATGTTAAAGAATGAAAATAGGTTACAACTCCTGAAGATTGAACATATGGTTTAGTTTGTGGTAAGATATTTTTTTTTTTTTGTTATTGTGTCTGCTTTTAATGGTGAATAAATAATGGAAGATTTATCATTGGAGTTGTTTTGATTTATTTTTATTTTGATATTCTTTTTAAATCTTTTTTATCTTATCTTATTTTAGTTTTTTTATCATTATCTTTTTAATTATATAAGACCTTTTATTATTACAGAAAGGATAATTTTGAGGAATATCTAACCAGATCTTTTCCTTCTACTCATAATTCATAATTCATAATTCATAATTCTTAACTCTTAGCTCTTAATTTTTAATCCTTAATTCATAATCCTTAATTCATAATCAATTAATTAATTATAAATTATTAGCCTTGTTGATTTTTTTTTATTTCAAAAACAAGAATTGAAAGATGTTATTAAATAAAACTACCTTATTTTCATTAGCAACTTGCTTGGTTTCAATTTATGCCGAGAGTGCACCGGAGTACCATAACAATCCCAGAGTTGTCGCTCAAGCAGGATTTCCATCGTATGGTAAGAACAAAAAGTTTCAGGGTTTTGTCAAGTTTTTTTCAACCGATGGTAAAGTTAAGGTTCATGTTGATGTGACCAAGTTACCTAAAAGAAGAGGGCCATTTTATTATCATATTCACGACAAACCGATTCCAGAGAGTGGAGACTGTGAGGCAGCTGGGACTCATTTCAATCCATACAAGGCCTCACCAGACTGTGCTGCATTTCCTACAGATGATTTGTGTCAAGTTGGGGATTTGAGTGGGAAACATGGTTGGATTGATACCACATGTTTTGAACAGTCGTATATCGATCCGTATTTATCATTGGATGCAAAGGACCCAGGGTATTTTGTGGGCAAATCAGTTGTTTTCCATTATAAGAAAAAGTTGAAGAAGTTTGCCTGTGCTAATATTGTGTTGGTAGATGAAAGTGTTGAAGAAGCTGAAAGGATTTCGAGAATCAATTTGGATGAGAATGGGAATATAAAAAAAACCGGGGAGCCAGTTATTCAAGAAGATGAAGACCAAGATTTGGAATCTGATGATTACGAAGTAGATAATGAGACAGATGATGAGGATGAGGGTTTCGAAGATGGTGGTATGGAAATGGAAATGGAAATGGAAATGGAAATTGAAAGAAAGTCAGGTAAACAAATAATTATGGCAGTTAAAGGTGATAAAAAGGAAAATGAGCCCGAAAATGAGCATGAAAGGGAGCATGAAAAGGAGGAAAAAGAAGATGAAAAGGATAAACATGAACATGAACACGAAAATGAACATGAACATGAACACGAAGATGAACATGAACATGAACATGAAAATGAAAATGAACATGAACATGAGCATGATAAAGATGAAAAGGAACATCATAGTGATACCCACTCAGAACATCCAGATTACAAAACTAGTGATTGTGAGAACGCTGGTAATGAGCTAAAAGCCGGATTATTGGGTGTTGGTGGCTCTATTGCAGCTTTTGCAGGATTACTTCTTTAAGATAAGGCGAACCTCTAGATTTGAGAGATGAAAATCAAATCATAATTTTTTTTTGGCTACTTATACAATAGATTCCTGTATTAATCTTCTAATTTCTAATACAAAACAAGATATAGAAAAGCGAAATAAACAAGCGATTTTGCTATAAAAAATAAAAAAACTGTAGCGACAACTGATTCCCAATATATCAACAACAAAGTTTCAATACTAGGTGCCCAGCAACGTGCTCCACCAAAAGCAGATGATCTACACCCGATTTCCAAATGAATTCTGAAACTGAATCACAAAAAACATATGCGAGAAAATCTGGGAGAATGATGTTGAAGAGGAAAAAGAAGAAAAAGAAGCGAAAAATGAAGGAGTGAGGATTTTATGACTTAAATAACAGCCCAAAGGACGGGTAGCTTTGGCGAGTGTGGTCAGGGCTGCAGTTGCCTGTTTGGATGTACTCATACTGACGTGTGTTGATGTGCTTATGAATACATGTACATTGCAGTAGGGCTATTATGATTAATAGGGTAACTATCACTACTCCTCCATTACTCCTCACCACTACAAGCTTGATATAATGTTCAGACCACCTTCATGTGTCAAAATTATAAGATTGCTATTCTCCAGCGTACATTTATACCCATTTTGTCCTAGTTGTATGGTTTATTTCAGTTGTTTGATATATTTTGTTTCACATCATATCTTTTCTGCAGCACAAAATGAGTGTAACGGTTGATGGGTTCAAGTCATCTCCCATTCTTGAGGAAATCAACACCACGATAGATAACAACTCAAAGCTACGTAAGAGTATTATCAAGCAGTCAAATTCGAAGTTTGGATTCAATATCAAGAACAACAAAGGCCAGTCCAGGTTTTGGGTGTTGGACTTGAAAGAAAACGGAAATATCAGATTGGTAGAGAATTATAATGCCGATGATAGCATCGAGAAGGTTGACTCAACCATTTCCATTTCCGATGCCAACTTCAAGAAGTTGTTGTTGAGCAAAACCAGTTCTCAAAAGTTGTTTATGACAGGAAAGCTAAAAATCAGCGGCAATATGGTCAAGGCAGCTGGTGTTGAGAAGATATTGCACGGTCTCTATCCAAGCCCCAAGGCAAAGTTGTGAGTGTGTGTTTTGGCAGGTTTGGTTATCTGCTATCTGTTTTTCTTATCATTTATCATATATCATATAGTGATTATATACTGTGTATCGACGATCCATCCACAGAGATATCGCAACATCTATCGCAGAGACCGACGGCGATAGCCCAAGAAACGCGTCTTCATTTCGGCAGCCCTTTCCGTGGCGATTGCAACTCTAAAGACGCGCGACCTGTGCTTCGCATGGTGGATGTGCCGCCGGTGGGAGCCTGTTTTCTTCAGAGAGGTTCTGGAGCTGGGCCCTGACGGAGAGATACCGACCTGCGCGCCGCCAGCTGCAGTGCCGGATTAAATCCAGCCAACCAGCGCTGGCGCGCTGCAGCTGTGCATAATCTGCTGCACGCCTGTCTTTGATAAACAGTGCGCTGAGAAGAGAGTTGCTCGTTGTGTTCCTCATATTTATTGTCTGCAAATCCAATTGACCTTATCAGATCCACATAACCTTTCTATTGGCTAGCGGGCGCATCTCTGAATCACCAAGCGTGATCCAGACAGGTTGGGAGAAGCTGGAATATCATCGCCAGAAACTCTATGTCGGAGCTCGCTCAGTTATAAATACATGCTCATTTCCCCAGTTTTACTGTAAAGGGCTGGAGCAGAGTAACTCTGTGTTTGTAGCAAAAGTAGGGCTGTTTGTAGTAATACACACAAGTGGCATTCACAATGAGCATATAATCAACGTACAATGAGCATACAGTGAGCATAGTATGAGAACACCGCTAATTGAAAGCAAAAGAATAGAATGACAACACAAATGAATCCAGCAAATTATGGTATATTATGGTATATGACTATCGACTGTTTCTTGGAACAAAAGAAAAATATAAGAGAATTTATTTCAATTATTTGGATTGAAAAAAATTGGGGGAATTCGAGACAATTGGAAAGCTAATTACGTTTGGTGAAAATTAATAAAAATTTATTCAAAACTAAACACTAATAAAAACTACTAAATGAAACTCGAAAAAATAGATATTCTTAGATCTTATTTTGAAACTCAATTGTTAAAAGCAAGGCTGAAAAAAATCTGAAAATTGAAAATGGTGAAAAAAAAGGAAACAAAAGGAAACAAAAAGAAAAGAAAAAAAGGATAAAAGGTAAATCTATAAACCATAAATCATTAAACCACGTTTTCTCAAACAAAGAGCTTCTCACACACCTCAATAAGGAAATATAATAAAGATTATAAAACCTAGTTGGCTAAGATGCCTTCTTTGATATATTGCTTTCTAAGCGAAGAAATGTATTCCAAGAACCTGGCTGGATTAGAGTCAATACCTCTTGAGTAAACATATTGAGAAGACAAATGAGTAGCAAAAATAGCCTTCAAGTATGCTTCTGGGACTCTGGAAAGAATGCCTTCAATACCACCGGCTTTGGTCAATAATATACGAGGGAAAGCATCGATCAAAACTGCGTTTCTAAATGGAGTGTCTTCATCCCACAATTCTTTGCTTGCGGCTAAATCGTCCCCCAATTTATTTATAGCAATAGACAAATCATCAGACAACTCGCTAAAGGTCTTGCCAGTTTCTTGTTTTAATTTCCAGAGCATATCAAATTCTAAATTAGCATTATTAATAACGACCTTTTGAATATTCTCGACGTATTCTTTATAAAACTCTGGCACTTTGCCCTCAGAATTAGCACACATATTATTCAAGAAGTCGGCATCATTAAAAGCTAATGATGCCAAAACCTCAAGAGAAGATGATGTGACACCACCCTTGTTGGTTGAAGCGTCTTTAAACAAATAGGCTCCAGCCTTTTCCAAAACAATCTTAGCATCTTGGGTAATAAACAAATTGGCACCTTCAACAATGTATGGAATAACAGCTTTGCCAGTCTTTTTATCGATCAATGCACCCACATTATTGGTGTCAATAGCAGCAGGTCTACCACCACAAGGAACGAAAAGATCGACATCACCAACCAATTCTTTTAATTTCAAATGAGCAGTGTTTCTCAAGACAATACCATTAAGGAATTTCAAGCCATTTGGTAAAACAATGTCAGTGTCATCGGCCTTGACAAAGAAACCCTTGTCAGATAAGGTGGATTTATCAAAGTGGGACAAGTCTAATCTTTCACGAGCCAATCTTCCCAATTCAGTTCTGTCAAGACCATTTGGATCACCAACAACAGCTGGGCCATCAATAACAGCGACATATTTCTCATCAGACAATCTGATTTCGTTTGAACCTAAATCACCAGATGGACCACCAGTTTGAACTTTTCTAATTGAAGAAGTATCTTGGACATTTAATTTGGCATAAATCTTGTCGACAAAGGCTCTGACAGACAAGGTGGTCATACCATATTCATCATGAGGAATACCACCGATAGTTGGAGATTTACCAGTGAAGAAGGATTTCCACCATGGGGCACCTCTTTTTTTGGCATGCAAAGTGGCCCAATCAACGAAACCGGCAGTGTTTTCATCTGGACCCATGAATAAGATTTCAGGTTTCTTGTATAAATCGACAATTTGGTTTGATTTTGACTCATCGACAGGTTTGATTAACAAGTCAATAACAGCGTCAATATACTTGTCAAAAGAAGCCTTTGGACGAGTTTGAGCAACACCGTAATCCAAAAGAATGACACCCTTGGAACCACCTTCGGGAATATCTTTGTTTTTTCTTTGTTGGGTGCTAGCCAAGTTATAGTTTTCATCAATCAAGTTTCTCAAGTTGGTGTTATAGTTATCAGGGGATCTGGACAAGACAATTCTAATACCACCTCTAGCGATATCCTTAAATCTGATGTGGAAGCCTCTGAATTCTGAACCAACAACAAAGAACAAGCCAAATGGTTTGTTTGGATACTCTGATTCTGGTAAGAAAGTTGGATTTAATCTAAAGGAAATGGCAACCTTTGAGGATAAGAAAAAGTTTGTCTTTAAGATAGACTTGTTGAAGTTGTATAAGGATTTAAGGACCAAGATGTCGGTTTCATTGGAAGAGCAATAACGGCTTAGGATTTCATTGAATTGAGCATCATCTTCAACGGTTTCAAGTTGTTCCAATCTTTTGAAGGATAGAGTCTTTTCAAGACCAGATTGGATGTAATGGATGTCAGCAAAGTGACGGTATAATCTTTGGATGATTTTGTAATGTTTTTGAAAGGTTTCCTTGATGTAGTTTTGAGAAAAGGTTTCTGAGGTTAATCTGTTTTTCAATTTCAAAAGGACTTCAGTGGAAGAGAGGGAAGAAGTAGATGGAGAAGAGGAAGATAACAATTGTTTTAAAGTGTTGTATTCTGGGCCTAACCTGTTGAGGAAATGTGTGACGAAGATTACACCACAGTGAGCATAGATACATTCTTGCAAAGAGAGTTGATGGTTTTTGAAGTTTTCTTGGAACAAGTTTTTGGGGATGGAGTACAAGAGAGAGGCTTCTTTCAAGACTTGGTTGATTGAAAGGTTGATGTTGCTATTTGGGTGGTCAGAAGAGGGGGAGACATAGAGGGAGATGATGGTTGTACCATTTTTAAATTGTTCAACGTATTTCTTGGACAAGTTCAAGTTATAGTAGTGACACAAGTTTGATAGAGAGGAAGAGTAGTTTGAGGAAGTCTTTTGGTTCAAAGCTATGATGATTCTGTAAGTGTTTGTGTTGAGGATGTTGTAGTGGGTGATGACTGGGTTGTTTGTCTTTTTCAATTGGTTGATCAAGTTGATGTAAATCTTTTTAGTCTCTGGAGAAGCGATTTTGTCAAAGGTTGAGTCGAACAAGTTGTTTTTATCTGAGTCAGTGAAGTTGCATTTATAGACAAAGTTCAATTTCAAGTTGTTGAAGGAGGACAAGTTTGAGCTGAAGGATTCTAATCTATAAGCAGTATTAGCTGCGGAGTCTGAGTTGTCAAGGTACTTTTGGTCAATTCTTTCATCAAAATCGCCGATATAGATGGCGTGGTCGTCGTTTTCGATTTTATGGCTAATTGAAAAGTGATCTTCTTTGGAGTTGTCCTTGGAGTTGTTGATGAAATTTAGCAATTTAGCAGAGTATAAGGCGTGGATGTTGGAGACAATTGAATCAGTGGATTCCTTGAGGAAATAGTTGTTGTCAATACCCAAGTTTTCATAGAAGAACTTTACCTCGGATTCAATTAAATTGTCAGGAATGAAACCTAAGTTGTCGATTTTGTTCATGACAACCTCAATTTGGTTGAGTTTGTCTGAGTCGGTGAAGGGAATTGAGTTATAGTTATAGTAATCATTATCATTGATGGAGTCTGATGATAGAGATAAGTTGTTGAAGTGAGAAGTGGGGGGAGAGAGATGGACTTGAGCCATTTTGGAAAATGAAGAGAAGGAGGATAGAAGTCGAAGTGAAAAAATATTGATAAAGAGAATTAATATTAACAAGTAATATTAAGTAAATATAAGTGGTGATGAAAAAGATGAGATTTTAAGGAATAAGGAGAAAAGTCAAAAAGAAAGAGGACAAGAAAGAAGAGAAGAAGGAATATTTATATTAAGAGCAGTATCAATAAGAGTTGAGGTGAATTGAATTGACTTGAAAAGAATATAGTAGAAGAGAATGCAATTAGATTGGGTTGGATCGAAGTAAATCAGAGGAGTGGAATAGAGTTGGATAGAGTTGATTTGAGTTGAATGGACTGTTGAAGAGAAAAAGATGGAGTGTTTGCTGTTGTTGTTTAGGTGAATGATTATATCGATGATATGGATCGGTGCGGTGATTCGAAAAGTAAGGGACGATGAGCTGGAGATAAAACGCACTAAAAGACTGCCGTTTTGGCGGCTGCTGTCGAAAAGTTGGACACGGTTTGGCTGCAGGGCGCACGGTCGGAGCGGATAGAATTTGGGCGGTGAGTGTTGTGGGCGCCAAAAAAACGGAGGGGAGGTAGTCAGGAGGGACAAAAGCGCGGAAAGGTGGCCTGTGGGCAGCGTGGTAGCAGCAGCGGGTGACCAATAGGCGCCGAGAATCAGAGCCACAAAGAGCGGTCACAAAGAGCAGACACAAAGAGCATGTAGCGAAAAGCGCGAGGCCTGGGCACGGCTGGAGCCATTGTGGTGGGCGAATTGGCGTCTCGTGTTTGGCTGCTCGAAAAGAAGTCGTCGCGAAACCGCAGAAACACAGTTCTGGGAGAGAGATAACGCGAGATAACAGATATGAGATAAAGAATACAAGATAAAGAACTGAGATATGAGATATCCCTCAAGATAGGAATCGCATATTTCGTCGGCTTGTCGCGACCGTCCTCCCACGCAAGGATAAACAAAGCTCTTCTCCATTCTGCTCTGCTTTGTGGTGGGCATGACTGCGCTTCTGCCCCAAGCTCGAGGGCGCGTGTTTGCCGACACCTCGCGCAAAAGCTGCCGCTCGTTTTATGTGACCGGCGCTTATTCGCACGGAGTACTTTCCGTCTTGGTCGACAAGCTTAGCACCTATCGAGTCAAACACTAGCGCTTACTCTCGTAAATTCCAACGTACACGAATATGAGCAACTGTATATGGGATGCGCTAGCGGCCCGCAGCCCAAAATGTCCGGTCTTCTCACCTGCCAAAGTCTCCAGGCCCAGTCACCTGGCTGGCTAAAAATGCTTTAATAGCAACAGGGCACACCAAACAACTTCCAAAGGGAAAGCGCAGTAGCTGAGACTGAAGCTCATCTAACGATGTTGCAAAAACAAAGGTAATCATGTGATCAGCAATGAACCCGTAATTTTTTCATTGGGGCTTTTTACGTAAGCTGATTCAAGTTTTCTTTGCGAACTGAAATCCCACTGGTCATTTTTGCGGACCGCCAGCAGATCAAACAAGCAGCCAGTCCCGCCATTGGATCCATCGCAGAGGTAGCAGATCACCCCAAGCACAGATGCATGACCGTGCAAATGATCATGTGCACCTGCATTCAGCTGGCCCTCACGGGCTAGCGGGGCTCGGACATGCAGCTCCATTTGAACCGCGTCCAAATCAGTGTCTGCGCCCGCGCCCGAACTCTTTTTGCGAACCCGCTCGCAAAAATAGTTCCAGCAGAATCCCAAGCAGGCACGTGAAACCTTCAGTACACAATTCTGCACGATTTCTGCGGGTGTTATCCACAAGCAACAAACCAAGTTGCTGTAGTGGCAGTCAAGCACTCATCCCCATTAGCTCAGTCGGTAGAGCGTTCGGCTTTTAGGGATTCTTCCAGTTTCGCAAGAAACCGAAATGTCCAGGGTTCGAGCCCCTGATGAGGAGTGCCTTTTTTTGCAACTATTTTGTGATTTTTTTTACTCCTTTGGGCTGCAGATATAATCATTTGCTTGCGAATTTTTCAAAGATTCACTGAGCTGAGCTCAATCACCGAGCATTGTCTGCAAACACAACACTACACGTTTTACAACGTTTACCATCACTTTATCTTGATTAGTTTCCTATTCACCAACCATGGACACATCAGCTGTTGATGACTTTGATCGATTGTCCACCCTTGATCAGATTAACTCTTTGAACTCCATCCACCCATTTTTACCTCACATTTCCAATCTTATTAATAAACTATACACTCCCAACTCCTTGTCTAATTTCGATCTAATCAATTGTCAAAAGAAATTGCAACTCTTCCAGAAATCGCTTTTTTCTCTTACCATTGCAAACTACTTATTGGATATTCCCAATGACTTGAACTCAAACTTCTTTGGCGCTTTAACCTTCACCGTTTATTTAAACCATCTCTTTTCAAATCAATTTGACATTGCCAAAAATAACAAAATCATCATAAACATCCCAGAAACTGATAACGATGACGATGAGGATATAGATAATAACTCAATAGATTACAATCTACTAAACCAAATCACTTCTCAACTCCTAAACCATCTCATCAGATTGATTAATAACAACCTACTCAAAAATACAAACAACAACTTTATAATCAAAAAAATTTACTCAAATTTATCTTTAATCTATATAAACTCGACCAATATCAACATCAAAAATAGTGATTCTTTATTCTGGAAAAACCCCATTCTATCTCTACTCTTGTTATTATCTTCAAACAAAATCAATCTAAACATCAATGATAACAATCTAATCCCAAATTTTCTAAATACAATAAGCACAAACACAAACACAGACGATAGCTATAACTACGATTATCTATACCATCTATTGAACTTTTCAAACATCCTAATAGAAGATATATCCAAATTCAATGTCTCCATTTATTCTTACGACTTCAACTCCCACATCTATAACAACTTTTTTCAATCAAATATTTATCTTCTATCTTTCATTTTCAACAACAATATTAAAAATATCAACAACAACAACAACAACAACAACAATAACAACATCAATAATTACCAAATTATCAATAAAATAATTACAGAATCTGTAACAACTTTTCAATCTTGGTTAAATTACATTTCTTTACTCAAATCATCTTCTCTTCAATTATACAAACAACACAATAAAACTATCAACGCTGACACCAATTCTATCATTGACTTGCTAATCCTTCTATTATCATTTCTATCTAATTTTAACACTTTTCCCTTAATCAATAAAAACTTGGAAACAATTCAATTGATTATCCAACTTTACACAAATTTATTTGAAGTCAACAATTTTATAGTATCAAATAAATCTTCTTTCAACGATCACTTTTTTCTGCTTTTATTTCATCAAAATCAATGGGGCTCAATATACATCAATTATCTTTTGAGAAATTCTTTAAATCAAAAAATTACTGCCGACTCTACCGCCAACTCTACTACCACTAATATAAACAACAACAACAACAACAACTTTACCGATGATAATGACCTTGATTCCGAATTTGATGATGATAATGATGAAGATCACTTACTACTAGTATCCTCATTCGCAAATTTAATCATCAGCTATTTGGAAATCGATATAATCAAATTTGCTTCTTTATTACTTCAAGACTCAAATGACTACATTTTCCAATTTCTAATCAACTTAACCGATTTAAATGGCGTCCCAATAATAAATGAATTGATCTCAAGAGACTTTATAGAATTTTGGTCGAATTTATCTGAAGTTCTAATTGATAACTCAGATCTTCTATTGACTCTACTAAACAACAATGCTGATGATTTGATTAAAATCAAAAAAAAATTAGTCCTACTCTTATCAAATATATCTCAAATTTATTGGAACAAAATTTTATTGCCCCTAAATGACAGTAATCTTTTACTGAAAATTATCAACTACAACAAAGACGAATTTGATTCCTATAGAAATGATGTTGCGGATTTTTTTGAAACAATTTATCCCCTAATTGGCGCTCCTCTTTATAAGAATTTAATTAATAATATATTAACCAATATTGACGACACAAAGACTTCGTCAATTCAAAATATTATGCAACTTGAAGCTTCATTATACTTGCTAATATCAATCAATACCTCATTCTCAGAAGATAATTTCAATTTGGAACTTTTAAATCTAATTTCCTCAATTTTTAATACAAATTTCCTAGATTTGGTCTTGGGCTCAAATAATTATTATCTAATCTCAACCACTGTCCGCTTTTTGAGCTCCATAGAAATTTTTTATAAACACAACATTGGTTTAGATTATCTTGAGTCTATTTTATATTTTTTATTCAGATGTTTATCCTTAAATGCAAATACAATATCTTTGTCTGACTCAAACGAAAATTCAAACCACTTATCCAAATCAGATCTAGTTTTAAATTGGTCAAACTCTTTGCAATTTAGTGTTTCAAAATCAATTTCAAGAATTTGTGATGAATGTAGATACTCATTAACTAAATTTTTGCCCAAATTTGATAAAATTCTATTCATCGTTATAAACAACTTGGATATTCATAATTTTATCAGAGAAAAAATTATAAATTCAATTAGCTCTATCATTCAAAGCATTAATGATCCACAATTGCAATGTAATCATCTATTAAATTTAATTGACTCAATTCATTTAAAATCCACTAATATTCTCAATTCAGTTGAAAATGGTACCTTGATTCTTGATGAACAAATTATGAATTACCTTGTTTCTTTGTTAAAATGTGTTCTAGAAATTGGGAAAGGAATGCAATTTCCCGATGAGATTGAAGACTCATTTTTCAGTGCCCAAGAAGAATTAAAGTATACAGAATATTGGTCAAACGATTCCTTGGTTATTAAATCAAAAATTTTAGATATCATTTCCAATTATTCAGTAAACCCAAAACACCAGATGATTTTCCTTAACTACAACAATCCAAATAACAGTGAAAAAACCAATAGCTTTAATGATGTGATAGATAATTGTTGTTCAATTTTTAGAGCTGGATTGCCGGAAAAACTCCCTGGGCCCTTTGTATTTGATGACAATATTTTATTGGAGTTTGTTGTTGCCCAGTTTGATAATATTGTACAATTTATTACAAAGGATCGCAGACTTTCTATCTCATTGATATATTTGTTTGATTTATTAAGAAGTGTTTTGAATACAAATTATAAAAGGTTATCAGTGGACCAGGTAAACTTAACCTTGAATAAAATATTTTTCAATTATATTGACACTCTCATCAAGTCTGACATAGATTTTGTGGAATCAAGCTTACAAATGATACTTGTAATCATTGAGAAAAAACCAAGTTTATTAATCAATCCAGATAATATAAGTAATTTTAACTTGCTTTTGAACTTCAATTTGAACAACTTGATGAGAAATGAAAAACAGACATTGAAATTTACCTCGAAATTTTGGATCTTGTTAATTCAATTGAAAAACGGCGATAGAGAGTGTCATGACTATGTTAAAAAGTTGTTTATTGAAAACAAGGTGGGGAATCAGCTTATGTTGGTTACATTGCAAAATATGATCAAATCAGATCGTTCAAATATTCCAGTTTACGGAGAAATCATCAGGGCATTATTTGGAAAGTTCCAATTATATTTCAAAACCTGGATTACCTCTTCCTTTGAAGCTATCAACCAAGAAGCTCAATTTCATAACAGCAGCGAGATCAACCAAGCAAATAGCGATCTTAAAATAATATATAATACACAAACAGTCAACTTACTAATTCAAAAATTACTTGTGTGCAAAGGAAGTAAAAAAGTGATTACAGTTTTGAAAGAATTTTGGTTGTCATCAAATAATTTATATGACTATTAAGTATCAACTAGTTGCTACATTTTTGTTGATTGTTTTCAAACAAATTTTTTACAATTTTGTATATTTTTATATTCTTTATATTTTTTTTTGTTAATATTTATTTTTCCTTGTAATGCATTATTTTTCATATTATGACTTTATTTCCCCATATATTTTTCCATTATATAGTTCAAGTAGAAAATTAAAAAAAAAAAATAAAAATAAAAATAAGATTAAGCAATTAATATTTGGAAAAAAAAACAACTATTTTTTTTGGTATATAGGAAAATCTTTAATGTTTTGAGGAAAGTTTTTCAAGCAATTTGACAAGATTGTCACATTCAGCATTGTAATCCAACATATCTGCAGATTGAGCTTGGTATCGAACTCTAGATTGTCCATTATAATTATCTAGCCTTGCTGACAATCTAAAGTTGTACTCATGTGTTTGAATTGTTTCTAATAAATTTTTGAAACCGGCATCGTCTTCTTCTTTCAAATCTAGTAACTCCTTTGCATCCATTCCAATTATTTTTTTGGCACTTTCCTCAAACAAAGTTATCCAAATTTGGCCAGTGCTATCAATAATTGAGCATGTTAAGATATATCTGTAGTTTGGCTCACTGAAATTCATATCACATTTCTCGCATCTCCAAGATTTATCACTGGTCTCCATAACTTTTCTATTACAATTTTCAGATTTACAGGAAGTGTAAAAAAAGTTATCAGGCTTGATATAGTTTATGAAAGCCTTTATGCTAAAGTAATCAGGTTTTTCATTAGATCCCAAATTCTCGGTTTCAACTTGAGCAATTGTTTTTCTATCATCCAAATTTATAAGACCAGATCCAGGACTATCGTTTTTTAGTGATTGGAAGTTTTGATTATGACCTAAATTGTCGTACCATCCCTTTAATCTAAAAGCTTCAGGGACATCAGGATTTGAAATGATGGAGCCACTTTGAGTTAGGGATAAACCACGACCACCAAAATCATTGATTCTGGCGCCCTTGATTCCAATGACTGAACCTATGGGGAAATTGAAATCCACAGCAGTTTTGTTCCATAAACTCAAATTGATTGCAACATTTGTGTCGTCTACAAGAACAACATCCCTTTTATCAAAGGATTTTCCAGTGTTCTTTGAGACGATTTGAGCTGAGGGCAAGACTTCTTTCAATATACCAATGCAGTCTATTATAGCTTTGGAATCCAAGGCCTGAATTTTTGTCAATTGAACAAATTTAAAATTTAGTTTTGGAACCGTATCGGCATCATTTTCATTACAGATCTCGATTTCAGTGTCTCTGTCTAGAGATAGTTCATATGGATGAGATAAATTTGAGAATTGGGATCTAGCTGGATTAATTCTCGCTTTGGAGATAAAGTAGGCTTTGCCTTCTTGCAAAAATTCATAAAACTTATCGACTTGGTCATTAAAGGCAGTTGCTCTGATTTCATTTGATTCATCTAAAAAATTGCAATTGAACAATTTTCCTTCACCTTTAGCATTTGACCAAGTCCTGATTGGGGACTTGAAAGAGACTCTTGCTTTTATTGTCCAAGTGTTTTGATATGGAGACAACTGGTCAATTGGGTAAATATTTGGGTGGTTTGAATGATTTGAGCGATTTGAGTTATAGTTGCCTTCAAAAGTGTTCGAAAGCTTGCTATTTGTAGTTGGATTGAAATTTGGCTGTTTAGATTGTTGTTTGGATTGCTGATTATATTTAGATGGAATGGAAACCTTGGGAGAAGGTGAAAAGGTGTTGTTCTTGGTGATGTTTGAGGCAGCAGAGGCATTGAAAGGAATATATCGATCTTCTTTTGGATGTTCTGTAAAGTATTCATCAATAGTGGCTAGAGAGCCACCGACCTTTCCAGCAATAGCTTGTAAGATGGAGCACTCGCCAATTACCACTACATGTTTCTTATTGATGCCCATTATATCGAGTTCATAATTCATGACTTTCAAAATGGAGGACTTTTGGATGCCTGTTTTTTCACAAATTGGAACACCTTCAGGGCGAATGACAGCATGAGAGGTGTAAATACCATCGGAAATGATTAATCTATATCTCTTTCCAGCTTCGTTAGGGATTGGTCTAATGTTTGTAATCTGAACAATAAATGGGGGTTTCGAAGTCCATATTTCCTCCACAGAAAATAGTTCTTTAAGAATACCGGTATCTAGAGTCATGTTTGAATATTTGTTTTGTGCTTATACCTCGTTAAAAGTAGGAATTGATGAGATGGAAAGCGATTAAGTGATTAAGTGATTAAGTGATTAAGTGATAGATATATTGATTGTTTGATATGGTGCAACGCGTAAAGTCTTCTATTTAAAATAACAAAGAAGAATAAAAGCACGTGATCTGAAACCACTGCTGTGGACCCAAAAAACGCGAAAACAAAAATTCACGTGATAAATCCAGAAAAGAGGCTGCGAGCGTGAATCGAACACACAACGTAATTTCACTTTGGTGGCAATTATACAGAAGAAAGAAATTGGTCTGAGAAACTACTCACTAACACACAACCTATTTACACGAAAACACAATAGCAGATATATATATCAAAAGACAATTTGGTCGTTCAGATTATTGTATTAATCCACAAAGTAATATTTATTTACCTCAGAGGGAATAGCTGATTCTGGGAGCTTTGCCTCTTTCACTGTTTGTTTTTTACTTGCAATCGACTCAAAACCTGCAGTATCTTTCAAAGTGGAGTTACTCACAGTTGGTAATTTGGCAATGATTTTTGGACTTATATTTAGTTCTGCGTTTGAGTATTTGCTTGATATTAGTTGTTGCCAATTTGAATAGCATTTTGAAATAATCTCGATTGCTTTATCTGAATTTAAGTATTCGCCGTTGAATGCAAATTTATTTTCTGGTTTGTTCATTGGTTTTTTGTAATTTTTAAACCAATTTTTCAAGTGGTTCAAGTAATTTGGCATAATCTTATTAATGTCGTTAATATCGCTCAAATGTTTTGATAACGGATCATTGCAGTTGATGGAAATTATTTTCCAGTCGATTTCACCATCGTCAATCAATGCCAAAGCACCCAAGACCTTCACTTTGTAAATATCACCAACATCCTTTTCACTGTTCAACGTATTGCCAACACTGATGTCAACTATATCTAATGGATCGTTATCGCCTTGTAAACGCAAGTCTTTCTCAATCTCTTCAAAATGAATTGGATCCTCCCATGTTTGTGGAATTGAGCCATAGTTTGAAACGTATCCATGAAATGGAAACAAGTTGTGGATGAATCTCACTTTATCGTTTTTAATATCTTGGGTGATGGGATTGAATTTTAGTTTTTTGTTGATTTCGAATTTAGCATTGGTGAGGAAAGGAATTTCCAATATCATGTTTACAGTCTTTTGGGCTGTATTGAAGTTAATAGGGACATCATGGAAGTACGATAAGACTCTATCGGCCGACTTGTCATAGCAATATACTTTGTAGTCTTCTGTGAACTTCGATCCTTCTTTTATTATCGAGTAATTGAAAGCATCCTCAGAACCACCAGAAGCGCCAGTGTTGAGAAGAGAAGACGAGGAAGAAAGATGTCTTGAGGTCATTTTCAACCTCTGGATGGCAGGCTTGTTGGACATTCTGATGAGAGAAGTGAGTCTGCTGAAGCCTAGATACAAGTTCATTCTGCAGATGGTGGATACTTGCTGCTATATATATGAGAGGAGTTACTGTTTGTGTTGTGTCTGTAGAGACAGCTGGTTCTTCATATGCCCTTTATTCATATGTCCTTCATCAAGAGGAGAAGATCCAATTCGCAGCTCGAAAAAACGCTTTGAAATGGGCGGCCACGAGAAATTGGAACATGGAAAGTCTGAAATGTGGAGCAGAGTGGTGTTGGTGGTGCTGGTGGTGCCTCTGCTGTTTAAAGGGCCTTGGTTTCGATACTTTGTTGTTATATCAAGATACTTGTTCCAACCATGTCAGCATCTCCACGATCCTCTATTATCAGCTTGACCAAGACCATCGTTGGTGCTGGAGGGCTTGCTCTACCTTACGCCTTTCGAGCAGATGGAGTCTGTTTGGGGTTGGTGATTATCTCTTTGGCTGCTTTCGCATCTGGCTTTGGGTTGTATTTGCAGGTCAGAACCTCGTCCTTTGTATCTGCTGGAAATGCCAGCTTTTTCAGCGTTGCCTCCATCACTTTTCCAAAGTTGAGAACTTTGTTCGACTTTGCAATTGCTCTTCTATGTTTCGGCGTGGGAGTGTCCTACTTGATAATTGTTGGAGATGCTGCTCAGGGACTATTTGCTGATGCCATTTCAAGAAACGTCTTGATTCTTTCTTCCTCCCTTGTTATTGTTCCCTTGAGCTTTTTGAAAAACTTGGATTCCTTGAAATATAGCTCTGTGGTTGGGTTGGTGTCAATTTTCTATGTTTTCCTATTCGTTATTTTTAATTTTGTATTCAATGGTATTCCAAACGACATGAGAGGCCCTGTTAATCTCATCAAACCATTGAACATACCCTCCATCATATCAACCTTTTCAATTTTGGTTTTTGCCTTCTCTGGGCATCCAAACATGTATTCAATTATCAACGAAGCAGCAGACAAATCTGTTGCAAACTTGACTTTTGTCATTAAATCCTCCATATTCATTAGCTGGGCTATCTTCCTACTTGTCGGTTTAACAGGTTATCTCACATTTGGTTTGAATGTTGAGGGCAATATTCTCCTGATGTATCCCCAGGGGATATCCAAACAGATTGCTACGTTTCTTTTGCTTCTTATGGTTATTCTCTCGTTCCCTCTAGTTTTCCATCCGGTTCGTATCAGTGTAAACAACATTTACTTTTCCATCAAAACCAAGTTTTTATCCCAAGAAAGGTTGGAGAACAACGAGCTGACAACGTTGCTATCAAAGACTCTCAATGTATCGGTTTCAAACAGCTCAGGTTTCCTCTTAAACAACAACTCCAGCCTGCTCCAAAACAACACACACCTCACCACTCAAACTGATGATGCTTTTCCTATTGAATTCAAGGTTCCCTTTTCTAATCTGGCATATACCACAATCACTCTCTCGCTTTTGATCTTGTCTTATATATTGGCTCTCACTGTCAAGTCTTTTGCTTTCGTGTTGTCTATTGTTGGGGCCACTGGCGGAACAATAATTTCTTTTGTCTTGCCTGGTTTGTTTGCATACAGATTGTTTGTTGGTGACTGGTTCCTTAAAAATGCTGGGTTTTTGTTGTTCGTCTGGGGTATAATTGTCATGATATTGTGTTTATCTGCTGCATTGTTTTTGCATACATTTTAAAACAAATCTATATACGCCATTAATAAACAAATTGTTCTTTCATAGGCAATGGTTTCGAAGAACCAACAAAGCAATCTGAACATGTAAACTTGGTATGATAAACCCATATTGCTACTCCATTTCTTACAACAAACTTCTAATATCCTAAAAATCGGGCGGCACGAATCCAAAGCTTAGATCAAACCCAAGTAATGTTTATTCGTGTTTCACAGCTTCACTGATTGTTTAGCACACTTTATCGATATCGAAACAGTTGTTGCATAACAGCAGAATGAGAACGCCTACAGATCAAAAATATTCAGAAAACAATGTGCTTCTGCTTCAAACTCTCCCTCACGATACCCCTGGGCTGTTAATCGATGCTTTTTATCATGAGTATGGAGAGTCATTAAAACAGTCCCAAATCTCCATGCTATCGTCCTTCAATTTGGAGTGCAAAACTGATGTCTCAGGCGTCTTTTTGGTACTCGATCTAGGAGGTTCGACCTTGAAAATTGCCACAGTCGAATTAAATGCCAAAAATTCAAAAATTTTGTTTCAAAAATCCTGGGAGGTTGCCAACGACCAAAAGGTCATGAATGAACAGTTTTTTGACATGATTGCTCTGAATCTCAATGATTTCGTTTCTGCTTTTAAGACCATTGATAATACCAGCTATCTTCAATTGCTTAATGGCAATTGCATCAAAACTGGTGTTAGCTGGTCGTTTCCTTTGAACCAATCCTCTCCAAATAATGGAACTATAAACTCTCTTGGTAAAGGCTATCGATCAACTGATTATACAGAAAATCAAAACATCAGTTCTTTAATCGAACTATCTTGCCAAAAACTCAATTTGTCAATCAAGATCATCTGCATTTGCAATGACTCAATAAGCGTTCTTGTCTCTGCAAAATATTTCAATCAAAACACCCAACTTGGTTTGGTTCTAGGAACTGGAATCAACTGTTCTTTTGTAATCCCATCAGAGAAACTACCTCCATTCAAAATAATTCTTGGGGAATTGAATGAAAAGTTCTCAATAATCAATTCGGAATTGTGTTTTTTTGGTGGCTCTCAACTTTCTTTTCATGCACTGATCTTCGACAAATTAATAACTGATAACTGGCTTTCAGGCAACAAAAAGCCTCATTTAAACAACGAAACTGAAAATTTATATACACCTTTGGAATTGATGACATCTGGGAGATACGTTTGTGAACTAGTTAGGTTAAGTTTGATATACGAAATAGAAAATAAAAATCTTTTTGATGGAAACCTTCCCCCAAACCTTGTTGATCAAAAATTCCATCTATCAGGAGATCTAGTAGTTTCAATTTTTCACAAAAATGATTTTAGTGATTTCAATAAGATTTATCCTTTTGAAAATCAATATCGAATAGCTGACAGAGATCGAAAAGTTGCAAGACAATGCATCAAAGCCATTGTAAATAGAGCAGTTGTTGTTTGTGGTTCTGCCTTGGTTGCTCTTTTGATTTTTATTAATGACATTGCTAATGACAGACATTTTAGCTGCATTTCAAAAAATACTAATCAGATATCTATCGGTTTTGTTGGGTCTTTTTTAAAATATTTCGACTATTACAAGTCCAACTTACAAAAATTTATTAACCAAAATTATAGAATGGCAAGTGTTTCATTGACATACATTAAGGATAGCAACCTTTATGGGCCTGCTATTGCAGCTGCTGCTAACTCAAAAGATGCAGAAGCTTGGTAAAAAAATTTCATACACTCTAACATGATTGTTCTTCATCATCTATATTTCTTAAAAAAACCCGATATTCTATGTATTAACTTAATTGATTCTATTGACAATATAAAATAAAACACAGTTAAATTAACAAAAAAAAGGAAATCGCCATTTTCCCGATTTTCAAATCAATAGAAAAAACATATAGCTAAAACCACAGATCACTTGAGTAAAACAATACAAAAAAGTGTTTATTTCAAAAAAACAAAAAAACAAAAAAACAAAAAAACAGTTAGATAAACAATCTCTTTTCCAAAAACAAATCCCAACCAAATCACTCAAAAATCTCGTTTTATCAATTTTTATAGCTGATTTTTTACTATCAGTTAATGCCCTTTTCATTATTCGACTGTGAATTAGAATTAGAATTAGAATTAGAATTAGAATTGGAATTGGAATTGGAATTGGAATTGGAATTGGAATTGCTGTTTGTATTGGAATTAGAATTTGATTGAGGGTTGGCTATTTGATTGGAATTTAAGTTGGTGTTTGACATAGAATTCAAAATTTCTTGGTGATCAAAAATTTCACTGTTAATCATGTTATTTCTAAAAAAATTCATTTGATTTCCAGATGATGCACTCTCCAAAAGTTCTATATTAGATGGAGAAGGAATACTAAACGGGCTGTTCATGTCCGAAAAGTTGGAATCAAGCAGAAAATTCCTGTTATCGGTAATGTTGTAATTGTTATTATCAACATATGAATTGTTAAAACCATTGAAATCGTGCAATCCGTTTACCCCAAACATATCTTGATTTAATATGGGTTCATGGCCATTTGCGTTGTGCTGAATAATTGTTGAACTGTTCGAATTAATCCTAGAAAGTTCTTGACCATCGTTGTTACTGGAATGTCCAGAAATAGATCCTGAGACGGAATCATTTGCAAGATCCAATGGAGAGAATTGGGATAATGTTCCTCTGTCAGGTTCAAAATTACGTGTTTGCTGCTCCACAAGCTGCTCGATGATTCTTGGATCGACAATCAAATAACTATCGTCTTCATCAAGTTTTATACTAAATCCACCCTCACTACTAATTGAGTTGTCATGATGCGAAAATTTTGTGCTATCTTCATCATTTTGATTTTCTTTTTTCATTGCAGTAAAATCTGTTGGTTCTCTTTCCTTTTGAAGCTTTTCCATCATCTTTTCTGCCTCAGCTTCCTCAATCAAAGGACGAATACATTTTTTTCCTGCAGCAGTTTTGAAGTGCCGTCCAAGAGCATCTGCCCTTGCAAATTTCTTTCCACATCCCCAACTTTTTCCATTCTTCAAAGTTCCCTTGCAATGATATCTTTTTTCACCGGAATGTAGATCCTCATGTCTTTTCTTGTCATGTTGCCTAGCAAACGACTTCTGACAAATTGAACAAGCAAAAGGTTTTTCGTTTGTATGAGTTCTTTTGTGTGACTTTAAATTGTATGGTCGAGTGAAAGACTTGTCACATAAATCGCATTTATAGTTCGCTGGATGTTTCTGTTGTTTTGAATGATTTGGGTTGGACGACGCTAAGTTCAATAGTTTTTTGCGATCTTCAGAGAAAGCCTTGGCCTTTTCACTGGGTGATTTTGATCGTGGTTTTTGGATTGGAGATTTCGATCGTTGCCTGATCATCGGCTTCGTAATCGACCCGTTTTGTGAGCAATGGGAGTTGGATCGTGACCGGGTTTTCGAACGGGATCTCGAATGACGGTGGCCTGGAGAAGCCAATAGATCGTTATCGTTAATCAGTGGGCTTAATAAATTACTGGATGGGCTATCATGATTAATGTTAGGACTGGAATTAAAAATGTCCAAGTTGTGGTTGCTCAAATTAGATGTGGTGATATTCAAAGCGGGAATGTTTGATGCTGAAAGATCATTGTTGAGACCACCATTATTCACAAAAGACCCCGATCTTGATCTTGCTCCATTGGAACTTCCACTAAATAAAGAGGGTGACTTTCTATGCAACTGGATATTGCCATTATTCAAAGGTAATAATTGGGGAATATTGTGGATAGAAACTTCTGATAAGCATTGAAGACTAGCCTGGGTCAAATTTTTGGCTTCAATTGCGTTATTTTGATTCATTAATTCGGATTTTTGGTTTAAAAGTGAGTTTCCATTCAACTGATTGCTTATATCTTCGTTACCACCGATACTGTTGATGTTACCACCAGACACACTATTTGCATCCACATTATTTGCAATGCTAAGGTTAGTGTTGGATTGATTGCGGTTTAAGTTGTTATTGGGATCATTGGGTTGCATAAAACCAATTGAGGAATTTAAATCTACTAAACTATCAAGATCGGGGTTGTTGAATAAGTTGTTATTGATAATTGAATCATCATTAATAGTATTGCTTAAGTTGCGCATGTGTTGCAAGTTTTGTAAGTTTTGGAAATTTTGAAAGTTGGGTAAATTTTGCAAGCTTTGTAAGTTTTGCAAGCTTTGTAGATTTTGTAGGTTTTGAAGGTTTTGAAGGTTGGGTAGATTTTGCACGTTTTGTAGATTTTGAAAGTTAGGCAAATTCTGCAAGTTTTGTAGATTTTGAAAGTTGGAAAGAGTTTGCAAGTTTTGTAGATTTTGTAAATTCTGTAGGTTTTGTAAATCATAAGCATTGTTGACATTTGAAAACCCACTTAAATTATTACCATTTGCCATAGCACCGAGGTTTTGAATTGCGTGTAAAGCTTGAAAGTTATTGACATCTTCCAACCCTTTCCAGTTGGGATTGTTTTGAAACATCTCATTATTATTCTTTAGATTTTGCAAATTTTTTAAATTGTCTAGACTCTGTCGCATCATTTGTAAATTTTGTGGGTCAGCCATGTCATTGAAATTACCAGGAGATCCAAAACCTTTTATATCAACAAAATTTGATATATCATTAATCTGTGTCAAGTGAGACAAATCACTTAGTTCGGACTCATTAACATTCAACAGACTACCATTCTCATTTAAGGACATGGAACCAAAAAAATCAAGTGGATTGTTGTTATTGATTTGGTTGTTTTTATTCCCATTAATATTGTCATTTTTATTATTATCTTGATTATTGATATTGTCCATATTCTGTGGGTTAAACAAGTTATCATGCTGGATGTTGTTATTGTAGAAATTGTTGTTAGAATTGTGATTATTACTATTGTTATTATTATTAGCAATAGCAGTGTTGGCAGCAGCTAGATTCAAAACTCCATTTGTAATGCTGTTTTGAGTCAAGTCCAAGCTGAAATCCTGATTTAAACCAAAGTCGAGATCAATTCCAAAACCGAGATTGTTGATATTATCTTCATCAGGTGCTCCAGAATCGATATAAGGAGATGCAACTGGAGAAATCAAAGGAGACCCGGACTGACTTAAATCGTTGTGATGACTGCTGATGGTGTTTAAGTTTGGTGTTAGGAGATGGTTGGAAATCTCAGAAAAATTTGAGATGGAGTTTGTTCGAGATAGATCAAGCAAGTCATTTTGGGGAATAGGTAATAATGAATTTTCGTTGTTGTTAGTTGATTTTGTATTCATATTTGAAGGTAGAATTGGGTTTGAAGGCAATAGCTGGTTTTGATTTTGAATTTGATTCGGATCAATTTGAGATTGAGAATGAGCACGAGCTTGAGGACCAGGTTCATATTGGAATTGAAAGCTGTTGGAGACATTGCCTTGATTTAAATTCAAATCAGCCATGTTCATTGCAACTATGGAATTTGAGTGGGAGTGCAAATTTGAGGAAGAAAGATTGTTGTTGTTCAAATCAGAGTTGTTTGAATTACTCATTTTGGCAGGGTTCGAAAAGGGGCTATCACTGAAATGTAGATATAACTATATCAGAATTTCAGGAAAATAAAGAATAAGAGGAAGTGTGTAGGAAGAAACGATAAAGCAAACCAATTATACAGTCGACTCCCAAAAAAGAGCAAAAGCTAATTGAGTGGTTGGTGTCAAAATAAAAAATCCAGAAAGTGTTGGTCTTGGTGTGTCAACAGACCAAAAGCAAAAACTAGTGTGAGGTGTTTGCAAGACAAGAAAATTCTAATATAAAAGCCCAACGTTATCAGTAGACAATTGGACTCAGAGAAGCTCTTCTTCTTATCAACCGAATATACGTCCAGTGGGTGTGTAATTATATTTTAGATTCAACTTGGTCCACCGCAAAGGTTCAGAAAAACGTGGTCACATGACAAATCAGACTCTGAACATGTGACCTGTCCAATCACAATACCCGGTTTTCGCCGGTGGTGGAGAAGCACGAGAAGCACGAGAAGCATTGGCAGCACCGGCAGCAGAGCCTACGTTATGCGAAAAAGACCAACGTCACAAACAACGTGCCACACGCCGGGAGCGTACGTTTTGACTTTGAATAGTCCGAGAAATCTGACGTCGTAGGCAACAGCTCGCTTTCCACTTTGGTCTGTTTGAAAGGCCTCCATCACTTCGTTGTATATTACTCTAAGCTTTTCTTCAAGACCACCCCCAAAAGTCTCAATTTCTTGTGTGGAAATGTTTTCGTGAATGTGCAAAATAACCCTGTCACTGAAGTGATTGAAATACTGGATAAGCTGTATCGCTAGTTTCCAAGAATGGCTGGAAGTGGGCAATAACCCTAGATTGATATGTCCCAAATCCAATTCAACATTATTGTTTTTGAATATTTCAAACGAACACAAATTATTTTCATTGACCAAGTATATCCTCTTACTTTTGTCTAGTTTGCAATGGATATCATCAATCAATTGGTATTCATCGCTTGAGTACTTGTTGGCAAGTAAACTCTTCTCAAAGCTTTTAATTGACCACGAGTTTAAATCCCAGCAAAATATTCTTGAACACTTTTTCTTCAAATAAAACAAACTAAAGTATCCAATTCCACAATATAAATCAATCACATCCTTTCCCTCAATCCCACAGTTTTTTTGGTAATCATCCAATATTCTTTGTTTTTCCTTGATATTACCTCGACTGAACATATTGAAGTTTGGATTCCAAACTTGTGTTACATTGAACTGTTTGCTTTTACACCAAAATAACTTTTTCTGTCCATCCAATTCATTGATATGATGCACACTATATCCAATTGTTTCATTATTTGCCTCAACCCCAAAATCTCCATATATTTTAATCAAATTCACTGGAATTCTTTTGACATTTTTGCTGCTATCCTCAGTCGTATCTGGTTCTTTATTGTGTCCTTTATCTGTACTAACATCAGCAATTATCGGCATGTTAAGAGCTATATGCGAGAGCCTCTCTTTTATGCTTTTGTTTAGCTCACCTAGAAGATATTCATAAAACACTCGCAACAAACTAATTCTTTGTCTAGTAAAGATTTGAATCCACTTCTTATTGTTGAAAGTATTATTATTGTTAATTAGTAACAATGGAGGATAAAAAGAAAACCGTTTTGGAAGGCACTCAATCAATTTTTGGTGTTCATCGTTCATTACTTCAATCTTGTGCAAACGTAGAAATTTATTTAGTGCTTGAATAAGCAAGTTTTTATCATCACCATACTTATGATTAATGTGTTCCAATCCCTGATCATTTTGAACTGTAAACCCTTTGAAATTCAACTTAATATGATTTAAATTGCTTGAAATCCACAGAATATCAGTCGCATCACACACTCTTAGTATTTCAATTATTATTTCACTGTTCTGTTGATACTGCTCAATCTGAAATGCATCGGCATTTACAACAGTTGGAATTACAATCCGAGTTTCATCAACAAATATCTTGTTTCTTTTGTCTAGAATCTTGAGATTTTCCAATATGTTTTTCAAAGGTTTTATCAACTGCTTTTGCTTGTGTAACACTACCAACTCCACTCCTTTCATGATCTGCTCAAATAAAATGAACGATTGCACCTCCATCAAGAACAGATGGATTGAAAAATTGAAGCTAGAGCTACCACAGAAATGGAGCCAAAAGCATAAAAAATCATAACAAAGTTATAAAAAATGGTCTCTAGCAGGATCGAACTGCTGATCCCCGCGTTATTAGCACGGTGCCTTAACCAACTGGGCCAAGAGACCAATTTTTAATGCTTAGAAAATGTTTTTTATATATCTATAAATATTAAAAGTTTTAAGGCTGTAGCTTATAAAATTGGGCTCTTGTGTTTATTTTTTTATTAATTCATCTTGACTGCTTTTACTACATGACATGTTTCTTATGTCACTTAAAATATAAATACTGTAACACTTTATTCCTCATCCATTTTTTTTTTTAATTTTTTTTCAATTTCTTCTTTAGCCATATAGCTTGTTTTTTGACTGCTTGGTTTGTAAGGCTGTCAATGTCTTAAACAAGAAAGATTATTTTTATAGGCTTTGATAATGTGTTTTTTATTTTCTAATAAATTAAGTTACTAATCCATCTACCCAACACTCTATGCTTATTCCTTGCAGAATTTACCATTTGTATATACATGATTTATTTTTCATATTTACGCTATTTCCCACCTTTAAAAAAAAAAAAAATAAAAGAATTTTAGATTGTTATATAAAAAATTAAATGATACCAAATGCAAAGATTAAAAACATCCTAAGTTTATTGAAATGGATTAATCCAAAACTTGTCTTGCAAAATTTTCTTATATTTATCCTTTATTTCGGAAACACCTATCATTTTTAGTTTGCTCAAATAGTTGAAATCAAAGTTTTTGTTTTTTGTGAGATTTCTTTTCTGTTTATCCTTTTGTATAACAAGATCTCCACAAGCTTTTTCCATATCTTCCTCGAAATTTTTTAACGTAGACTCCCAAAATTCTTTGTCGTTCCATCCTTCTAGTTTTTTGGGGTGTTCTTCTAAATATACTGATACATCTTCAACATCCACAGGAATATCAATTAACTTACTAAAAATTAACCTCTCTTTTGGAACGTGTTTTCTCACTGGCAAAAACTTATCATTCTCATTCAACATTAAATTAAGTGGTGCCAAATAGTCTTGAAATCCTTCTCTTATCATCACATCGAGTTGCTTTGGAAAATATATTTCGTATGGTCCAATTTCGTTCAACTTAAAAGCAAGTTTCGGCGTTGATGTGGGTATCAAAGTAATAATGCCCACACCTTTGATAACAATATCGATTGGCCCAAAAAACGGTGGAATAATACATCTTCTCATATTTCCTTTATTTAGATCAAAAGTTTCCTCTCGGTTTGAATCTTTCAATATTTCAAAATTTTTTTCCATTGTTACTGTTGGGACGATAACACGCTTAAGACAAGTTTCAATAGATCCAAAAATAGTCACCGGTCCCTTTATTAGTTTCACGACTGTTGTTATCACTCCCCTACCACAGTTGGTTAAAAAAAACATACCACCTATAGTGTATGTTTGCTTATTTTTAATTACATCTCTTTCAAAGTAATTGAAAAAATTTGCTGTTTTTTCAATATCAACCTCTAATCTTCTGCACAATTTCATCCCCAATGCAGTTTCATTGAAATTTCTTAAATATTTAGATTTTACCAAATCGAATATTCCCAAATTGTGGTTTTCAATGTTGTAGTCTGATACAAATCCAGGTAGATCGACAAGTTTAAATTTTCCTTTCGTATCACCAATCGCTAAGTATCCATTTGATTTTGCTAATCTATCAAATCGGTTCAATAACTTGTCATCATCTGTAATTGATGTGTTTTTGGTGGGGAGATTGTATTCCATTTTTGACTGCGTAAATGATGGAAAAGGAACTGTGCCTGGTAGTTCTAATGGATAATCTTTCCTATATTTATCATACAAAAACCTTTTCCTAACCTCTCTATTAGACAAAGCCTTAGTCCTAGTCCCCAATGCTCCTAATTTGTTATATAATGTTTCCAAAATTAATGCTTTGATTATAGAGCTTTTTCCTGCATTGACTTCTCCAACAAAATAAAATGTCTTTTTTTCTTTTGCCATTGAATGGAACAACTCTTCAATGTTTATCTTATGACTTGTTATTATAATGTTTTTAGGATCAAATTTCTCATTTTTATTGAGTTTACTCGACTTTATTAGCTCATCAATGCAATCAAGAGTAGTGTATTTGAAATAATCTAAGTTTATTAGTTTACTCTTTACAGGATGCAACTTCAAAGTGTCCATTTTATTAATGACAATTCGGATATTTTTAATTCGAAAATTATCAAGCAATTTTTTAAAAAATTTTATATCAAGACCAAAAGGAAAATCTACAACACTTAGAACATATACCACAACTGCCTCATGTTTTGTTTTAGCTGTTTCAGGTAACAAATACTTATTTAATATATCATCTGATGATTTGATTGAGATATCTTTGGCTTCCATATTGTTTTTTACATAAAACACATCATGACATCTTTGGCACAATATAGGATGTTTAATGGTTTCGTTTTCAAATATATCTTCTTTTTCCACAGCTATTATAAAATCCTGTTTATCTTTTTCCAAGAGTTCTTTTTTAGAACTAGATTGTCTTGTAGAGTCCGGTGATTCATTGATCAATAGGTCATGGAGATCCGGGGATAGATTCATTACACTATTTCTATAGTTTATTTCCATTGATTTGTGTAGCCTTTTACTTGTTTCATTGGGATTAATTTGCTCAAAGTACTCTTTTAACTGTTGATTTTTTTGTTTATCGTTGTGTATTGAATATTCTTTTTCAAAGCTGACATCTTTTGGAATTTGAAAATATCCAGCTTCATCTTGATTCTCTGTTTGTAAATGAACACCACAACTGGAGCAGTTCTGGTGTTTTTCTAAAAATTTTTCTCTGAAATACTTTTGGTGTGTTTCAATGCCTGCTTTTGTATATGAGAATATCAGTGTTTTGCTGTTCTCATTCTCGCTGATTCTTTTACTTTTCTTAATTGGCTGTTCAGTCCTATTATTTTCTTCGACATCAGTTTTTGGCTGTGGTTCTGACTGTTGAAATGCTACTTGCAAAGAGTGTGGAGATGGATGATATGGTCTTGTGCTGTAAACGCACCGAATTGCTTTGCTTATATATCTGGATCTGATTTTGCAGCTCAACATTTATCCAGATTATCAGTAATTGCTTAGGAAAAACCTCAAGAGAAGAGTTTTCTAAAAAAAATTCCAGTGCTGAACTGCCCAAAGGAGACGGACTGCGGGTGGTGCATCAACATACAGCTACTGTGTATATCCAGGTTTCTGGTATTGAACTCTGGGCTGCCAAATTAAGCCATCAAGAGGCCTTCACCAAAGTATTTTGAGGAGTAGACAAATTATTGTAGAGATCATACATCACACAAAAGATCATGAATTGCACTGTTGGTGGTCTATCCTTGAGAAATCTTCTCAATTTTGTATGCTACAACTTGACGGTGGATAGACTGGCACAAACTTCTTCTTTTGATGACGACTCTGGTTTAATAAATTTGATCAAAAGAGCCTTTAAAAGTGAGTTTTTCATTACCTTGAAGCCTTCAACATTACAATCCTCGAATGACACCGGAAATCAAACTGAGACTGAAAATGTAGAAACAATATATGTATGCCTTTTAAACCAACTATTATTTGGCAATTCTATCTCACACTCTGGTGAAACAATCATAAATACACACACTCGAGAAACGGGAATTGCTTTTGATTTGGCTGATATATGTTTGCAGGTCCACGACTCGACATTGGCCCCAGTATCAACCCATACAATAGATAGTTCTTCTAAAAGCTCGAGGAAAAAGTCTGCAAAGAGAAAAAAAGCTAAAAATAAGACAAAAGATTCAAACAAGCATCTCGATCCAGTTTCTGATGATTGTTGGGATTTTAATATGCTTTCCAATATCCTACCTTACGATAATTCAAATACATTGCCCGATAATGAATGTTATACACAAAATAGGTCTCTGGATAGCAATGGAACTCATAGAAATTGCTATTCTTTATTAGTAAAGTCAAATAAAAACTCAAGGCTACCTTTACTAACCATATTGTCTTTCTCGTTGCCTTTGCACCTGGATTCTTCTGCAAATATAAATGTTATTAGAAATGAGATAAGCTTCTTTGATTTTTCAACTGGTCAATCTAGACAAAATAGACTGGAATTTCTTTCATTGAAATACCCAAACTTGCTGATGACTATAACCCCAATTGAGTATACTGATCTTTCCAATAACAACCATTATGTAAAGATATTCAAGAAAATTTTGGGCAAAAGTAATAGTGTGACTAATTTAAAAGAAATAGCTATTAAATTCAAAGTATGTTTTGAATTGAGTTACGAAATTTCAGTATCTCAAGATTTATCTTTATTAACTGTGCCATTTCCCGAGGATTATATAAGGGCAATGAAAAATCTTCTTTTTTCATCCGAATGTGCAACTAATTGCTCCGGTAATCATTCAATAAATCAGTTAGTTTTGGCTGAAACTTATCATCAAAAAGGTTACTATGCTTTCTTAGAAAATCAATCTCCGATCTTGGACTTTTACTTTTCAAGTAACTATGAGACATATCTAGACGTTTTAAAGTCTAACTCTTATTTTTTTAAAACCTATGACAAAAATCATGTTGACGATTATATTGAACATTTGACACCAACTCCTCAAAATTTTTATAGAATAGTGATGCATTCAACTTCAAAAGTGAACCTTCCAAGTTTTTTGATAGAAAAAAGAGGACTTCTGTTTTTGAACAATCTGAAAAAGGACCCTTTGAATAACAATGTTGATAAAGAAACTCACATATTGCGTGTAGCTAATTTGAAAACAAATTTGTTTAATTACCAAAAGAAAACTTTTTTGTGGTGTTTAAATAAAGAAAATGTCTCTTATGATTTTAATTCGAATCGGGTAGTGCAAACCTTATTTTTTGACATTAACAAATTTGAATCCGACTATAAAGGAATCATTTATTATAACTACGACTACCTTTCTGAAGTTTTGGATAAAATTTGCTTTGGATGGTCTAGGTTTCAAATATGTTCAGATAATAGCCGATTACTAAATGAATTCGAATCTGCTCACTTTTCAATTAGACCCAACTTTGCAAGCTGTCAGGATTCGATATTTGATATTATTCCCCCGGAAAATTATTACTGGTTCAACAAATACACAGGAAATGTGTATAATTCACTAATTTTAATTGATTATTTAAGAAATTATGGGTTTTCTATCAGCCACAGCTCTCAAAAAGGCTCAAAATCTCAAAATAATGAACCCACTGTTTATATGGATGATAATTATAAATACTCAAATGCTAGCTTATTTGGACAAAACTTGTTATGCGAGGAAATGGGTTTGGGTAAAACTATCGAGTTGATATCATTAATCTGTCTTAATAAGAGATGCGATTTGGTTGATGAAAGTAAATCTAGCCGTTCCAAATCGTTTTTGAGAAATACCAATTACTTCAACGGTTTCTCAAGGCAAGTTGATAATAGCTTTAGAGAATCATTGAACGATGTGTATGATTCAGTATTAAATAGAAATGTGCTTAAATCGAAAACAACATTAATTATTTGTCCTGAATCAATTCTTGAACAATGGGTCGAAGAAATCAAGCATTATGCACCAGCATTGACTGTTCTTCAATATAAGGGTCTTAAACAGTTTTACAAGAGTATGGAACACCAGGAAAAACAACAAAACAGTTATAAAAAATACAATTCAAAATACTTGATCAAATTCAGCGGTTTTACACATTTTCCGAATAAAAAGTTTGTTCTTACGTTTAGCTACAACTTAAATAAAGCTAATAGTAAGAATTTGTCTTCAAACGAGAATTTCGACTTTCATTCTAATAATAATGAATCAAATGATAAAATTCAATCGTTAAAAAGCATATTAAAGCTGATTCAAAATAAATGTTCAACACAGTCTAATCGATCTCTAGCTGCTGGTTTCAATAATTTGAAAACATCAGTTAATAATTCTTGCCATCTAAATAACAGTGAAGATCTGGACATCAATTCCTAATAAATCAAAAGTGGCTAGGCTGTTGGCCAATTACGACATAATTGTGACTTCTTATCAGTGTATTTCCAAAGAGCTACATCATGCAATGTACAATCCTCAATTAAGAAAATCTAGGAACAAGACTTTCGGGGGCGCTCGTTATAACTATTACTTGCCCTTGGTTCTTCTTCAGTTTTGGCGTATCATTCTTGATGAGGTTCAAATGGTTTCAAATACAGTTTCCAATGCCTCTAAACTCACCAAGATATTGTCAAGATGCCACTCATGGGGAGTATCAGGAACTCCTATTAGAAAAAAAATGGGTGATCTATTTTATTTTCTTTTGTTTTTGAGAAGAGAACCATTTATTAGCAAAGAGGGTTCTTGGCTTGATTTACTCAACAATGAATATTTGTGTGATTTTTTAAAATTGTCTTGTCTGTTAGGCATTCGTCATGACAAGCATATGGTAAAGGATGATATTCGATTACCTTCTCAAAAAAGAATATTACTCACAGTTCCATTTACACCTATTGAACAAAGCAACTATGAAGAATTGTACAATAAGTTTTTATGCAGTGTTTATCTCAACGCGAAAGGAGAACCTACTATCAATGATTGGGAGCCAAACTCGGCAGTTCAGTTTACCATGGCTAAATGGTTGGTGAGATTAAGGCAGACATGTTGCCATGCAAACATAGCCAGAAATAGGTTGAAAAATACAGCGATTGGCACAATGAATGAAGTTTTGATAAGATTTATTGGACAAGTTAAAAGTGATTTAAATCAATTAGAGAAAACCAATTGCTCCATTATCTTTCAAAGGAGTGAAATTATGGTTCATCTTGGGAGGCCTTTTGAATTTAAAAAGATTCTTAAAAATTACTATCCAACAATAATTGGAAAAATCAAAAGTATCGAAAAGGAAATATTGGAGATTTCGGGACACGATGAATCCGAAAGTAAAAATATAATGGATGAATTGTTGTTTAAGGATTTATCTGATGAAGATGTAAAACATAACAGTGCAAGTGAGGGCACTTTAGGACTTAAACTTCGATTAAAAAGCTGGGTTGAAATTCTTCACAAATACTATTTTTTCACAGCAACATCACATTATCAGATATCAGTACATATTTCCAATAACCAACACTTAGACGAAGCTCGGTTTGAAAACATTGTAAAAAGCAAGGCAAATCTAACTGACGAAGAAAATGGTGTTATTGTAGAGGAAATAAGTGAAAGTAATTATATAAAAAACAAAAGGCTCGAGGATCATTACTATGGAAAAGCGGAAGAAATACGCAACAAATTGTTGGTGTATCATGCAACTAAAGTTGAAAAGCTTGTACAGAATTTTAAGGAAAAAAGAGCAAAAATCCATTTGGAAGAGATATCTGTTTTGGAAATTGTGCCAGATGGGTTAGTTGATGTTACAAATGATAAAATACGATTTATTCTTACTGATCTTTTTAACATAATAGAAGAATTGAATAGCCAAGCCAGAAGGATGAATCAATGGATTGAACAGTCAAGAGATATTTTAATATCCGATTTGTTGAGCTATGAACTGAAAGGAGAAGAATATGGGCAATCATTGCTTGAGCAAGACAAAGTATGTTACTTGTTTATTGTGTTGGAAAAAGCGTTTTTGCACCGGAAAATTGCAATAAATGGAAGATCTAGTAATTACGAGCTGGTTTTGGAGATTTCTATATCGAAGATGTTTGTTCATCGGTTTGTTGATGATAATCAGAAACAAGAGAAAAAAAGTAGGGAAATTGAGGAGTTCAAAGAGAGTCTCAAGGCTGAACTTTTAGAAGTTCAACCTACTAGTTGTCAAAGAAAAAAGTTTGATTTTTTTTCAATGAAAGGTTGTTTAGAGAAAATTTGCTCATTGCAAAAACAGGTTAACAAAAGTGAGTTTACAACACGAGAAAGGGAAAAACTTGAAATAATAAACTTCAAGGTGACGAAAGTTGTTGGTCAGTTGAATGATTCAATACTGGAGCATAAAAAGACAATATTTGAAGAATTGAATAGCATGTACAATACAAGAGTTGAATATTATCGACAATTACAGATGATTTCTGATAGTGTGAAACCGATTGATTTGAACCAATTCAACGGAAGATTGATTGAGAAATTTGAGCGATTGTCACTTAAGGAGCAAAGAGAACATCTTGAAGAAGTAGATAGCCAATTGGTTGAAAAGTTGAGGAAAAACAAGATCCAGATATCTCATGACCGAGGAAAACTACATTATCTTGAGAGTTTAAGCAAAAAATCATCTAGTAGTAATAAAGCAAGTAAAGATGGTGAAAAACATGGTGAAGGTGATGATGATGATAATGATGATGATGATGATGATGATCGTATATGTATTATATGCACTTCTTCGATTAGCGTTGGGGTATTAACTGAATGCGGGCATCAATACTGCAAGAATTGTTTATACCAGTGGTTATCAATTCATAAAAACTGTCCCATATGCAAACAGAGCGTCAGTAAAAGCAGTGTTTATTCATTTAAATTCAATCGGCAGGATTTGAGAGTCAAATTGTTATCAGACAAGAACAACGAGGAGAAATATGATATATATAAGAAAATGGATGAAGAGAGGCTAGGAGAAATCGACCAAAATGAAATAGGCCAAAAGTATCGATATGGATCGAAAGTTGATATTATTGTAAAGTTGGTGAAATGGTTGAAGAGCGGAAAAGAGGACGTCCAAATCGTTGTTTTTTTCTTAATGGGAAGAGTTCTTGTCTGTAATTGGAGCAGCTTTGACGCATAATGATATTAAATACTTGGGATCCAAGTCGTGGGGAGATCAAAACAACAGCAAATTTGGGAGTGTGAATGAGAACGAGAGTGACGAGACAAGACGAAGAAGCAAAAGACCTCACAAAGCACGTAAATTGGCAGAAGATATTCATGTTTTTAAGACAGATCCCACTGTGACGTGTTTTCTCTTAAATGCTCGAGCACAGTCCTCAGGATTGACATTGGTAAATGCGACGCATGTTATCTTGTGCGAACCAGTGGTTAACACTGCGTTGGAGTTGCAAGCCATAAATCGAATTCACAGAATTGGACAAAAGAGCAAAACCACGGTTTGGATGGTTGCCATTTCTGGAACAGTAGAGGAGTCGATACAAAATCTATCAGCAAGAAAAAGGATGATGAATTTGGAACATACAGAAGAGAGTGACCGAGGCGCGACAAGCAGCAGGAGGTCAGACGATAAGACAGAGGAAGCAGAGGAGGAAGAGGAAGAGAGACAGATCATACTCGACAGCCAGGATCTGATGAAGAGCACTGGGGGCATATTGGACAAATCTTGTGGAGGAGGAGAGATTGTGCCACAGGACGAGCTCTGGGGCGCGTTTTTCTCGGGTGGCTGAGGAGCCCGATGCGGCGGTGTCCAGCCCGTGTTGGCTCGTGCTGTCAAACTCGCCTCCGGTGCCGGGGCCCGGTTGACAGGTGGAAAGTCTGAGACCCGGCACTCCAGGCCGGCACTCCAGCCCGACTCATTTCGGCAGCCTGGCCGTGCCGAAAATAGCGTTTGTGCGTGCAGCCGGCAGCAGCCCACGTGCGCGATCTTTGTTCCCGCAACTGCATATCGAAACGCTTCTTTCGCTGCACCATGATGGAAATTTTGCTGTGGATGAGGCTACTCTTAAATACCCACTACCCATCCTTTTCAGCAGCCCATATAAATAGCTTCTTCGTTATTGATCTGTCTTTTGTTTTCTCTCTGGTCTTACATCTGCTTGTTCTCTTTCTCTTTGGTGTAGTATTTGTTTCACTTTGTTTTTGCTTCTTTGTCTTCAACGCTGATCTCTCTTTTTTTGAGTGCTTTTCTACTCACGGTTTTTTGGTTTCGGTTTTTGGCTGTTTTTGGCTCTCGTTGGTGCTTTTTACACTCCTAGACTCCTACATTCATATCTCAACACACTCTTACGCTCATCCAACAATAGACCTGTTTTTCTCCTTTGTTCTTGCTTTATTTTCCTTGAAACATGAAGTTTTCTCACTCATTGAAGTTCAATGCTGTTCCCGAGTGGTCTTCGAAATACCTTGCATATTCATCTCTCAAGAAACTAATCTACAATCTCCAAAGAGAGTCTTTGAACAATGGCCTGTTGGACCATCATGACACCGAAAGTGTACATTCAAACGAGGAAACAAACTTGCTTTCCCTAATCAACAACAGATCCAATTATCCGGCCAGTATTAACAGTAACATCAATTTCAATTTCAAGAAACCAGAAGAGATCTTCATCAACACTTTGAATGAAGAATTGATCAAAATTGAAAGTTTCTACAAATCAAAAGAACGCACTATTTTGAATGACTTGGACTTGTTGATCAATGATATCAACAATTTCCAAACAGAATTAAAACATAAACATCATACATTACACCACAACAACAATAACAACAACAACAACAACAATAACAACAACAACAACAACAATAACAATAACAATAACAAAACAATCCACGCAAACTCGGATTTCGATAATCTCAACACAACTTCTTTTGATTCATTGGAGCACTTGAACACTGTCTCCCAACAAAGAGAATCCCTACTAAGATCAAAATCTCCAATCTCATTCGACGATTCATATGACAACCTAATTCAACAAGAACTACTACTAACTTCGCAACACCCTTCCTCTACATCTCAACAAAATATCCATCCAAATAATCTCGACCACCATAATAGAAATACTGACAACTTATCGCTAAGCAGAAGAAACTCATTGGCAATCCTCAGCAAAATCAATGATCCCTTTTTGGTTCTAAGTGATGTAAGAATAACCTTAAAAAAGAGATCTGTTCTTCTATTTACTTCCTTGTCTGAACTAAAATCTTATATCGATTTGAACAAAACTGGTTTTTCCAAAATTTTAAAAAAATTCGATAAATCCCTAAACACTAAAATCAAATTGGTTTATTTAGAAGCACTCGAAAAAGATTCGTACATCTTCAATCCAAAGACCTTGTCCTCTTTAAACCAAAGAATCCACTCTTTAATTTCCTCATTTGCCTCCATTGCCACCAATGGTAACTTTCAATCCGCTAAATCAGAGCTAAACCTAAACTTGAGAGAAAAGGTGGTTTGGGAACGTAACACTGTTTGGAGAGATTTAATCGGTATCGAAAGAAAATCTCAAGCTGCAAATGTCCCCAACGCTAGAAATAGATTTGACTTTTTTAACAAAAAGAAATCTTTCAAAAAAAATGAAGTTTATAGCAGCGATGAAGATGATGCCTATTTCAACAATCAAAACGTTAACAATAACAACAATTTACAATCAAATCAAACAAAATACGAATCTACAGCAAACACAAGAGCCTTTCAAGCTCTAAATGACAGCAAAAACTTGCTCAAGTACTTGTTGTCTGGAAATTCCCTAAAGGCAATTTTGATCTTCTTGCTAACTCTTATTTTGCTATTGGTTTCCCCCTTTGAAGTCAAAGAACAAAAAAACTGCTTTGCTTTGTTGGTCTGTGCTTCTCTATTATGGGCAACAGAAACTATACCTTTGTTTGTTACTTCAATGTTGATCCCATTTTTGATTGTCATATTGGATATGCTCAAGCATCCCGATGGCACTTTGATGACCTCACCAGAAGCTTCGAAATTTATTTTTAGCACAATGTGGTCGTCAGTTATAATGATTCTTCTTGGTGGTTTCACTCTAGCTGCTGCACTCTCAAAGTACTCAATTACAAAAATAGTTTCAACTTATATTCTTTCCCAAGCCGGTACAAGCCCAAAAATAGTTTTACTCACAATAATGTTTGTTGCCTTATTCGTAGCCATGTGGGTCAGTAATGTTGCTTCACCAGTCTTGTGCTACTCCATAGTTCAACCTTTATTAAGAACACTACCCCCAAACTCACAATTTGCAAAGGTCCTCATTCTCGGTATAGCCTTTGCCTCTAATATCGGTGGTATGGCTTCTCCCATTGCCTCTCCCCAAAATATTATTGCAATTGAGTTGATGGAGCCTCAACCTTCCTGGGGCCAGTGGTTCGTCATTACTATTCCTGTTTGTATTATTTCGGTATTGATAATCTGGGTGTTTTTGCTTGTCACATTTCCCACAAAGAAAGCTGTCAAATTGGTTCCCATTAGAGTGGTGGACGAGCAGTTCACCTTCACCCAATACTTTGTCTCCATTGTAACAGTAGTTACTATTTTATTGTGGTGTGTTGCACATCAAGTCGAAGGCGTCTTTGGTGAAATGGGAATCATAGCCATCATCCCCATGGTATCATTTTTTGGAACAGGTCTATTGACCTCTGAAGATTTCAACAACTTCCTATGGACGATAGTGATGTTAGCCATGGGCGGTATCTCATTAGGCAAAGCTGTGTCGTCTTCTGGATTATTGGCCACCATTGCCCTTGGAATTCAACACAGAGTCGAGGATTTGAACTTGTACTCTATCTGTTTGATTTTTGGTCTATTGGTTTTGATTGTTGCAACTTTTGTTTCTCACACTGTAGCTGCTTTGATAATTTTGCCATTGGTCAGGGAGATTGGAGCTGCAATGCCTGAACCTCATGCCAGGTTGTTGGTGATGTGCTCTGCTTTGCTTTGTTCTGGTGCCATGGGTTTGCCCACCTCTGGATTTCCCAATGTTACTGCAATTTGTATGACAGACGAGCTAGGAAAACCCTATTTAACGGTTACCACCTTTATCACCAGAGGTGTTCCGATTTCTTTCTTCACCTACATTGTCGTGATAACAATTGGGTACTCTATAATGAGATTAATCCACTTCTAGGCTGCTGACTTTCAGGTCTAATCAACCTTTTCTACAGCCAAAACAACAGCATAACACAACAATAAAGAAACACTATTCTCATTGCATGTAAGAAACAACCCAATTTACGATATCAGTCGAAGCCGTATAAATCTCAGTCCTGCCATGTCCTGCCGCTGCATCCCATTGGCTGTTTGTCCGTAGATCTGGCTCCGAGCCATGATAATTCCGGTATATCTCAGCACTGTGGATTCCCTATTTACCAAGTTTAGGGAACAAAATGTGCACCATTCGAGGCATTTGCTTCCATTGATAAGAACTTCAGAGCAGAACTTGTGTGTATCTTGTGATTTTTATATATTCATACACTGGTGCCTTCTCTGTCTCTGAGTTGTATCAAGACCTGATTTATATATCATCCTTGGTGGACGTTGATTGTCTCGTTAACACTTCTGCACTTCTGGCCGAGCACCTTTAATCTCTGCTACAATGAAAATAAATGTCTATGAAGATAAAGAAAAGGCTTCGGCCGAAGCAGCTCTTTATATTGTCCAAAGAATCAATAAATTCAAACCAACCAAGAAAAGACCTTTCGTTTTGGGCTTGACTGCTGGTTCTTTGCTCGACGATGTGTACAAAAACTTGGTCAAATTGTATCAATATGGCAAAGTATCTTTTGAAAATGTTGTGACATTCAATACTGACGAATATTGCATCAAAAAATATCATCCAAATTCAAACTACTCATACATGTATCACAAATTTTTCAACCACGTCAATATACCCAAAGGAAACATCAATCTTTTGTACCCTGATCCTAACTACTACAATGTGGAATGCGAAAAATATGGGAAAAAAGTGAACCAAAAAAGAATCAATCTAGTTTTGACAGTGTTGGGTAATGATGGCGAATTGGCATTTAATGATAGTGGTTCAACCATCTATTCCAAAACAAGAAAAGTCAAATTGTCCAAATCCATAATCGAAGAAAACTCCAAACTTTGGAACTATGACTTGAAGAAAGTCCCTGTGTATGGTTTGACGGTTGGTATTTCAACATTTGTTGAAAACACAGACGAAGTGTTGATGTTTTCTTTTGGAGAGAAAAAAAATATGGCATTAAAACAAGTTGTCAAGGGCAAAATAAGTCCAAACTACCCTTCGACGTATTTACAACACCACAGAAAATGTACCATATACGCTGATTTTGATTCTATACTAGAAAATGAATTTAAAATCAATCCTCGATTGTAAAACAAAAAAAAGGGATAAAAGTATTGGTTGTCATTTCGCTCTGAGTATGCGGATTGTTGTTTAGGTACACTACAATAAACTTATTTCTTTGATGAAAACGACCAGTTATGGTGTTGAACTGTTGTTGTCTTTTTCGTTATTTGGCCAGTTCGATGTTTAGCACTAATAAAATTATAATCTTTTCCAGCCAAATTCCAATACAGTCCATCAATACTATCCGGATACATTATAATGAAAATTTTTGGGCGTCAAAAAGTAATTTTTTTTTGTTTTTTAGTATAAAGAAAATCTTTATAGTTTTTATATTTAAATACCAAATAAACAAATTAAAACAAAAATTTCTGTCTTTAAAAATCAATTAAAAATTTAATAAAATGAAAAATATTTAAAACACAATAGAGGTAGCCCCAATATATATCATTGCGTTGTTGTACTCTGTTTTTAATCTATTTTTATGCGCCCATTTTCTTTAGAAATTTGGCACAAGTCAACTGCAAATCTTGCTGGTAATCATAAAAATTAATTCAAAAGCCAAGATGCAAATTTGGATCCAGCTCTATATCTTTAAGATCAACCATTCTGTAGTGTAGATATATTGAGTTGAAACCAAAGGAAAATAGAAAAAAATAGCCCTCATTACCATAGAAAACACCCTTTAATTGATTCAAAATCCTCTGAAATCACTTTTCAGTTGTATTTCTATGGTTTTTATTTACTTGGTTGTATTTGAAATCGATTCATTGTTGTTAGTCACCATCCAACCAAACACTTATATGGCCTTTGCAAGTTTTTCACTCTTTAACAATTCATTTGATTTTCTGGCCTCTCTTTGGTGTGCTTCTTGCACTATTAGTTCAGTAAAACCTAAATTTCTAATCTTTTAATAGACTGCTTTGTAACTACTTTGTAACTCATGAACTCATGTTTGCGAGATCTAATAACAAATCAATCATAACTATGAAGCTTGAAAACTTTTTTTAATAAAACTAATTCTATTTGACAAAATAATTTAATGAATAAATTTTTCCTTTAAAAAAACAACACCGCCAGAAATATTGTTTTGTTTCTATTGCTATTCATAATGAGAAGCCTTGAAACTAATATTTTTTTAATTGCTGATGAAAAAAGATTGCTGGTTTTAAATCTGCTAACTTTGATGTTGACTTCTTGAATCTTGAATTAAAAGCTACTTTAAAGTGTTGGATGTATGGTGATGTTTAAATGTTTAAATATTTAAAGTAGTTTGGTAACATCTTAAATTTCCTTTTTCTGTTATTAATAATCCTGCAGTACAGTGTTTAACCTTTCGCTAAAACCTCAACCAAAGTGGAGTGCAGCATACCAGACAAGTCACTGCTATTGAATAAGATATCAGCAAAAGATGTTCTTTATCGAAATTTCTCTTCACAAATTTCTCTTTACAAATATCTTATTTGCTTTTTTATTATTGTTTTTATCAGAAAATCAGTAGGTAAATAACTTTCTAATTTAGCCTTTTGGTTTTCTAAGACGCATCAAACTTAATTCAATGTTATTCGATTTGAAATTCAACCTAGTTTTAATACCAATATAACCATTAAACAAACAAATATTCACTGAATACCACCAAAACTCATCACAAATAGTTGACGATTATATTTTTGAGCTTTCAGTCTTACTTCCATAAGTTTTAATAACACAAATCTTCAAGTAAGCTCTCATTAGATTAGATAATATAAAACAAAGAAACTATCAACAATTATCTGGAGATTCTAACATTGAAACCATTTAAAGTTTGTACTTCTTTCAAAATTGAGCTATAGCTCAGCATAATATATTTTGATGTTCAATATAATATTATAATTTCAATTTTGAGTTACAAATAATTTGAATCCACTGAGTTTGTAACAACATTTATGGCATTCATCTAACGGATTGATAAAAATGCATGTTTTATCTAGTACCATAAATTTGATAGTTTCTTTCCACATCTTATATTAGTCGCATTTTTTTTTTTTTTCAAGTACTGTTAGCCTTTAGTGAAAAATTACCATCAATCTATATCATACACTATACCCAATCCAATCCAATGTAATGCAAGTAATCAATTCAAAAATGTTAAAACTCTTCAAGAAAACAAAAAAACTCCACCTAAACGTTTGGAAATCAATAAATTTATTCAGCTAACACCAACCCACCAATAAAATGGCTTATTTGACTATCAGGACTGACATAATAAAACAATGATTAACACCAAAATTGATCCATTATAGCCCTGCGGTTGACAAGTAGAGTTGTATTGTGATGTGTATACAATCAGTCAAACGCTCAAAAATATTTAACAATAAATAATAGCTAGAGATTTAAGCCCAGGAATCCTGAGAAAACTATTATATGATTTGTTTGTTCGTTGAAGTGGTTGGAGTTTTCTACTGGGAATGTAAATTTGCTATTAGCCATATTGCCCAAAGCAAATCCTCGATTATATGTATATAATGAAACATTGCAACAAAAATATACTATATAACTGAGAGTTAAACTGGAAAACCCATTCTATTTGATAAACAGATAGCCAGCCTGAATTAAAGAGGTAAATTTTTTTGGATGGCATTGGTAGTGGTGAACATGTTGCAGAATTCGGGCATATGACTAGATTTAGAATGAAATGAGGGTAACCTTCAAGTTTTGACAAGTTAGGGGCAGCTCGGGACTATCTGTAATAGAACCCCCTCCTAAAAGCAGCACGCATGTGTATGCAGAATAATTTTATGTATAAGTAATAAAGTTAGTTATGTCATCAGGATTGGGCGGTACATGCGTGCTATTGTTTGCTGTTGTGTGGCGTAGCTTACGAACCAATCGCAGCGTGTATGTGTTAAAACGCGGTACTGCAGCTTTCCTGATGTGATAGCCGTCCTTCTAATTGTTTCCTTCTTGCTTCCCAAATCTGAACGCGTTACCATTTTCCCTTTGCTAACAGAAGCTACGTTCAACAGGGCACAAACAGTAATACTGTGTGCTTTCGAGCTCACATCCTCTAAATCTGCTGCAACTACCTATCAACCACTACTATTTGAGCATTTTTATTGTATGTGGATTAGCATTTGCTATTATTTTCATCTTTCACCATCTTCAATATTTGTTTCAACATTTATTTCTGCTCTTGGTATCGAATTTAGCATGACTTTATCATGAGTACAGACTCTGAAGATCTTCAATATTTGATTTATCAAAAGGTTTAAAACGCTCATTATTTTTAAATGTATTTTATATTGAATATTCATTGCAGCTTTTATTTGAATTGTTGGTTTTTTATTCTATGAATTTGATATATTTTTCATATTGCACATTTAATTGGTTATTTCCATAAATATGTTTGTTGTACAACATTACATTTTGACAAATTTTATTTTCCAAGTGAACGCACCATCAAACTAGCTTTTCAACTAACTTGAAACTTTAAATCTGCTTTGATTTTATAAACAATAATTATTGTTTAGTTTAAATTTTTTGAAAATCTATTCGACTCTTTGGAAAAAAAACAGTTGCTTTGTATTACCAATAGACTAAGAACTGGGGTTTATCAATAATTTTATTTATATTGGCTCAATTAAGCTTTAATTTGCTTTTGTTGAATGAAGAACAATTTCTATTCCGATTGTTCCATGTTGTTATAATCACAAAGCAAAACATAAATACAGTTTGCCTTAGCAATCTATTGTTCCAATTCTTGATGATACCAATTATTTGAGATTATTATCAACGATATAGGCTATTAATTGATATAAAACAATTGTTTCGTTCAATATTAACCAGCTAAATAAACCAATTTTAATTTTCAGACAGAAGGTGATAGATTTTTAAGTAAGAGCAATAATTCAAATACCATAATAAATCAATATTGTTCGCACTCAATGTTTTTATTTTGTCATTATTTAGCTGTTTGAATGTGCAGCTTATGTTTTTATTTTTTGTAATGTATCACAAAATATAACAATTTGTATCAAATAATCATAATTTCAACTGATTTTAATTTCCCAAATAAACTCACAACAAAGATAATCAATAACCAGCTAGCGTTTGATTGATTAAATAATGCAGCTAATCTGTAACATGACACTTGATGAATGACTATTTATTCCAGCATAACTATAATGAATATACAATCAGCAACCAAATCCCATTTAAATGAGTGAATACAAGCCATTGATTTTTGATTAGTGTAAATGTGGTTCTTGCAATAGTTATTCAAATATAATAACTGTAGTTCTCTAAAAATAATAAATACATTTCCAGCATGTCCATCGAGTTTTCAAAGTTAGTATCAATGACTTGAACTTTGCTTTACTTTTTGAACAACACATCACAGAAGCAAGAGTATTTCAATACATTCAATAAATGTATCTTCTCATAATTTCAATACATTATAAATTTGTATTAAAAATTAAAAAAGAAAAAAAAAATCAATGTAAAAGTTTCATTCAAAAATACTAACAAAACATGATATAATTATCATACTTAGTAACAATCATGGTGAAATAATGAATGTTGAATCTATTGATTTTTACAATCTGGAAATTCAAGGATAACCGTCAACAATATAATAAACAGTTGAAGCTTGAAAAGAAGAAAATAAAATGAAAATAAAACCGTAAAATATTCTTCAGCTATTTGCTTAAAAAATGCTTCTGTTTTAACCATCTTCTTGTGTACTAAGATTGCATTGCAAGTCCAAAAACTTATTGTTTGTTAATGGCTCACACCGCTCGCAGTCAACTTATGAACAAAAAAATTATTCTGGATATCAATAAATATAGTTGTGATCTTAAGCCAATAAATCGTGGAACCGATAATTTCTATTTTAAATAGTTTTTGATTTTTTAAATTTTTTTAATGAATTTATTAGTTCTCATCTGATTATAGAATAAAATTCATAAATCTATATCAAATTAGCTGTTTGATCATCCAGATTAGAAAAATCAGAACTTTACCAAAACAATTTTGAATTTTAAATTGTAAACCAATCTTTTTTAAAATCATATAAAAAGCTTTTAGTAAAATAAATTTCATTTATTTTAAATCTATAATTGTAAAGTTTTCAAATATGGTTTTGCAGTATGAAATTATTCAGCCCAGATGGACAACAAAAACCACCGCTATTTTTGATGTTATCAATACACTTTAACAGTGAAACAATACGCTTATTGCAAAAAGATTATTTGAAGATTATATTGCTGTTGACTTTAGGTATCAAGCTATTTAATAAAATTTTGGTAACAGTCATTCAGACTAGTTATTGAGTTGAATAAATAATAGTGGGATTTAAAATGGCAATTCTTTTTTGCCAGCTTTATTGATGAAAACACAAATCACCACCATTTGGTGTTTCCAGCACTATAAATATTGAATTAACATCAATAAGTATGAAATATTGGCTGCAACATATTTTCTGATAAAATTTCATTGAAAAAAGTATTAAATGCAAACCAACTCAGGGTTTCTGAAACATATTCGACCACAATTAATGCCATGCTATTGTGTTCTAATCTAGTGGTGTATCTGGTATTCTTTGGTGCTACAAAATTAATTTCTGAAATCAATTATAACAAGGCGTTGTATTTATTTTATAGCCAATCTAAACAGAGATATAAATTGAAGATAACCTTTGTTTTTCTGCCTCTGTAGAATACAAAATAGAAAGAAAACTTTTGGATGAGCCGACGGACCGGGATTACAAAACTGCACCACTAGTAAATGAGTCGGTGAAAAGCCGTAACACAGCCTGACGAACGGCCGATCACGTTTGGCACCACACCCTTCTTACACATGCATTTGATGTGAAGCATTGCTAACGAAGGGAAATTGTCGGTGTGTTTTCAGCGGCATGTGTCGCCACTTTGAGCAGACACATGCATATGTTCATACGATTTGCAGATCTGCCACTTTATTGGTCAAAAAGTAAACTACCTTTTTATATCCCTATGCAAACGTGATCTGTATTATTTATGGAAACTTTTCATTTCAGGTGCAAACAAATTTGTCCCACCAATGTTGAAGTATTTTGTGCTGGTTTACCATAATGGAGTGTCAAATAATTTATTTGTTTCTTTTTAATATTGTATAATTCAACCATTTTCTTGTCAGTATTTAGATGTTTTGTTCTTTTGCCAAATTTCTTGACCACCAAAGCAGCAACACTAATTTGAGAAGTCCAATAAATCAGTTATTATAGTTTTACAAGCTGTCATCCTTAAAGTGAGGATGTTTATTGGTTATATTAAGTATTTCCAAACTACAATGCAACTCAGGCCTCATATGTTTTGAAGATTTTTTATATTTCTCAATTAAAAGCAATTTTTTCATGTGGTTCTTGTTTCAACCACTCTTTTTAGTATTCCAGTTGATAATCTAGTGCAAAATTTTTTGATTAGTATTATAAAACCATTGTTGATGTATCAAATTTATTTTTCAAGCTTTTGCTAAGTATTATTACATTTATTAGATATTATTACATTTATTAGTTCTATCGCTACTTGAGTGTTATGTTATGATATAGTCTTGTTGATAAGTATTCAATATCAAATTAATATATTTTTCTTTAATTAATCTAGCAACTATTGCAACCAAAACTTTGTTGTTGAATGGGATCTTTATTATGCCCACCAGTGTTTACTGCATTTTATTGAACATATTTAATATTGAACAGAGAGAAAAGTTAGCTTGGAATTACGAATTACGTATGTATTGAATTTTCAACTTAATCCAAAAAATATTACCCGATGATTATAACATCAGTAGTGCAAATAAATCCCTAATTCATAACAGGTTTATTCTAAACAACCAATTACAATAATATGTTGATTAGTAGCTATTATTGCAAATATAAAACCTGAATTGTTTTAATAATACAGGCAATGGTAGATGTCGGATGGTATTTTTTATCTGTTTATTTAGTCATTATTTCAAAAATGGGTTTTATGGAATAATAATATAAATTATTATGAGGTGATTATATACCATTCTAAAGTCTAAAATTTCCATAGAAGTTCTAGGTTTAACCAAAAAGAGCTGGGATCTGTTGAACCGCAAATTCTGTATTTCTGCTTTTTAAACCAAATAATTTGAGAACTCTAGTTGGACCATATTATGAAATAGCTCAAAAGCAATATAAGGATTCTGCTCATGAAATTAAATCCAATTTCAAAAAAGTACTGCCAGAAACATATTGGCTTAGTTTATTTCATGGTTGAGAGCCAAAAAGGCTTGCCATCTTCCCAAAACAAACAGTGTTGTTGCTTTTTTATTTTGCAAAAAAGCAATAAAATGAATTTGAGTAATTGAAAAATCAAAGGACTTTGTGACCATGTAATCCACACATCAGAGCTGTTGCTGGAGTTTGTTCTAGAAATAATTCTTGCTAACATTTGCCGAAAGGTGCTTGAAAAGGAAATGCCTTGAGGCGAAGTGCTGCTTGGTTGCTCTTTCCAAATGCGGGTAGAAATCTTGAAACCCTACAAGAAACGCCAGATAAACCATCCCTGTCACAGTGGGAGGGTCTTTCCCACTCACGTGTTGCTGGGGTGTTTGAATTTGAAGTATATTCTTCAATTTGACCATTATCCATTAAAAAGCAGAAAACTCTTTCGAAATAGAAGAGAGATATGGGAGTTTATTTTGTCAATGGATACAAACAACCTCAAGGCATCACAGACTAATCTCAATATGTGTTTTTAGCTCAAAACAACCAACTAGGCCTGCTTTATAACCAAAGTAACACGGGTATATCATTGTTTATCTTGGAAAATAAGCAGTTATTTATCTAAAGAATCCACCACGATATTTGGTGCTTAATTTCATCAAAAAATATATTTCAGATTAGAAGTGGCATATCTAACAAAAAAAGGGTTTTTAATTTAATTTCAATAACTATATGGATCTTTGATGGAACACGCTGTCACAATGTGAGCAAATAGATGAGAACTACATTTTATAGGTGATACCTCGAAATGGTACACATAAATGGTTGGAAATTTGACTAACATTAATTTGGTTGTAATTGAAACACATTCAAATTTTTATATTGGTCAAAACCGTTATAATGTGCATCAATTATACCAGATCAAATCAGAAGATTTTTCGCTGGTTACAAGCCGGGATATTCTATTGTTGAAGAGGTTTTGTATCTGATAGAATCCAATATATCTAAGGTCATTTATCAATACCAAATAAATAAAATGAGAATCATGAAACAATCTTGTACAAAAATAAAATATTGTCAAGAATAACAGAAAAGAGTGACACGAAAGAGTGACAGCACGGATTGTTAGTATCATTTCAATTACGGTTGCAGTTATGATTGATTTTAAAAGAATATTACATGTTCATGGCACAACTAAGTGTATTAAGCTCTGATATAATAAATTGAAATAAAATCAATATAAAATACAATCTAATAAAATAAATTTGTGAAAAATGGCAAAAGTGCCAAAAATATATTTCTGAATTGTTTACTATTTCTTTGTTGTTTTTTTTGTTTTTTTTCTATTGATTTTCTATTATTGTTTTTATTAATAATTTTTAATTTTATTTCTTTTTAACTTGATTTTATTTTAAAAATGGTGAAAGATAATATATTTCTGTAAATACAATTAATTTTGATTAAAGAACTATTTGTGTTTTATTAGGGAGTTTGGGGGACTGAAAGTGTAAAGTCATATACTTTTAACTTTGGAAACAATATATATATATATTTGTGTTATTTAGTATGATGGATTAAATATGATATAGGTATAAATACAAATATAAATATTAATATAAATGTTAATAATAGTAAATAATGTAAATAAAAATCAAAAATTTAAAGGATTGAAAGTAAAAGTAGTGGGAGTGATGGAAGTGATGGAAGTGATGGAAGTGGTGCAAGTCTTATTGGATTAAATTAATAAGAATTAAAAACAGTAAAGAAGAAAATAGAAATAGAGATAAATGAAATGAAAATGATATTGAAAATCAAAATAAAATGGAAGTAGAAATAAAATGAAAAAAAGAAAGGGAGTTGAGTTGCCAATGTTTTTTTGTTTAAAACTCAGACTCAGAATTTTTTTTAGTATGAATTTTTATGTTAGCAAGTTCGTGAGTAATATGGTTAATGTGAGTAAGCAAATATTGTTTTAATGGGTAAAAATACAAAAATAAATAGCTAAAAATGAAAATGAAAATGAAAATAAATGAAAATAAATGAAAATGATAAACTAAAAAGGAACTTGTAATTAATAATACTGCAGATAGATAAGCTAAGAATTATTTAGAAGATAAGTGGTCACAAATAAAGGTGTAATTTTGTTGGCCCATTAGCTATGAGTGTTGATTTATATATGGGTGATTAGGTGAGTATTGAGATGACTGGGTAGACGATAGTGAGGTAAAAAAAGACCAATTTAAATGAATAAAACATGTAGAAATCAAACACAAGATGATAGGAGTAGAAGTAAAATTAGGCGATATTAGTGTTGTTAGTGCTATTAGTGATGATAGCAGCTATGATAATGCAGATATAGTGGACTTTCGATTGATTTTAATATACGGGAAGGTTTTATAAGATTTATAACCGTAAAAGGAGAGAATTAAAAGATGAATAAAAATTTCAATATAAATTCCTTTATAAATAATAAAGTCTGAGACACTAAGGTGGAAACATAAAAGAAATAAAAATACTGGCTAGCAATTGTGATAAGTCAAAAAGGCTAGAATAGTATAACGGTATGAGTTAGAAGACATATTCATTGCAAAAATAGTGGATAGCGAGCAAGAAACTAAAAATAACAAAAATAATAGAAGGACCAAATGCAAAGTCATAGTAATAAAATGGAAAATAATAGAAATGAATAAAAATCAATAAAAATCAATAAAAATCAATAAAAATCAATAAAATGTGCTTTGACTTGTTATTAGTAAAGCAGTAATATTCTGAACCGAATTTGTTTATTTTTTTAAATTTTGAATATATCAGGTCAATAGTTTTGAGTTGTAAAGCAAAAAAAACCAACCAATGGTTTTCAATTATAATTGAGTGGAATTGATTACATTTAATGCTGGAAGATAAAATTTTTACAAGCTTATGTATATATTGTTATGAATCGGATAGGTTTGTTGTAAGATAGAGTAAAACTGTAGTAAAGATGAGGTTTTTCATTATTTTTGATAGGTTTTGTTTGGTAATAAACGAATAACGGATTTTATGACTAAATTGCAAGAACTATTGATGAATATGGTTTCTTTTAGGTCTTTATTGTTCTGTTAAAACGAGATATTTTAAGAAGTAAGCAACAATAAAGAAAAGCAAGAACAATTGAAAAAAAATGAAAATACTTAAATAATTGAATATTAAAGAGCTATAACAAAACACAGTTTCTCCAGTTACCTTTTGTCGCTGTGGTTATAAGGACCAATCCGGAAAAGAATATAACAAAAAGGGCAGTGAACAAGAATTATAATGTGGGAGAGTGTGCGACTTTGGGAACAGCTATCAGGGCTATCAGGTATGCGTAATTGTTGGTTCAAAAGCAGAAGCGTAATAAGAAGCAGCAATAGGATAAGAACAGAAAGACATGATGCTGGATAGAAATATGGCTAGATGATTGGGTCGTGGAACTGATAGATCTGTGCAAAAGATCAATGCTGGGTTTAGATTGTTGAGAGACAAGAAGACAGAAAGTTGAAGGTTGAAGGAAAGCCAAAGGTAATGTTAGTGGAAAGTGCAACTTTTGAGACAGAAAGAATGTATTTGCACCAGAATTATTCCCTTAGTGGCTCTGGAAATGGAAAAATCATGCATGTTCAGATAAGAAAGGCAAGCGAGTAATGGCACAGGAAGGAGAGACTGAACTCTAAAAGCAGCGGTTGCGGCTCTACGCAAAAGCAGGCAGAGCGACATGGTCTAACCGCCTGTGGCCGCCTGTGTTCATGTGGCAACGCACAAGCGATATTCGCAAACCTACCGTAAAAGCATAACAATGTTCAATTTGCTACAAAGTCGGTGCAGCGCCCAAGGCAGCGTTATCCCAATCAAGCAATTACTGACAATCAAGCAATTACTGAGTTTGCTTTCAGTGATTGGAATAAGGTTGTGCTCGGATTGAAATGGCATCCAAGTCATATTACCTGTGTGGGAGCTGATAAGAAGAAAAGTTAAGAAATTTATGAAAGTTAAGTGATATATGAAAGTTAAGAAAGTTAAGAAAGTTGTGAGACTGTTGTGAAAAGCTAGTTTATTGTTTCTTTTTTAGTGCAGATGTGTGTAATTCGGAATAGAGAGGGTCTGCCATAACTCGAAACTTGGTGCAAACCCGAAATGGGGCCATTCCACCAAGCACCCAACTGGGACAGAATGAGCAGGTAGCAAACACGATGCAAAAACCCAGCGGTCTGAGCGAAACAGGAAACACCGGACTATCAACAGCAGACTAGAGACTGGTCAGCCGTCGGATAGTGCATCGTGACTCGTCTGGAGTGAAGTGCAGACCTTTTTGTCTCAGCAACCCGATGAATTTGCAATGTTACGAAACGGAAGGTTTTGGCCTTAGTGTGAAGCCATCCGGCAATTAAAGCAGCGGCCATGACCACATTGGGTGAATTGGCTGCAGGTTCCAGCTTAGTGGCAGCTTTGCTCCAATCTAGCGCCGGCACAGTGCTCACAATTAGCTGGTCAGGGTCAAGCACTGCGGATGCCGGGGCAGCACGGCCTTATTGAGCGCTTGTCCAGCTAGAACCCATTCGTCTGAAGCAGGAGCCAGACACGCGCAAGGTCTCCAACCGAGGTTCAATGCTCTCTGTGTGTGGTTTGTTGAGAAATAAACATCATAAATTACACAAACCACCAGCAGCTCCCAGGCGCATGTCCACGCATGTCTCCGCATGGATGTGCTCCTTGTTTGAAAGGGTAAACCGTAACTTTGGGCTGTTGTTGCTTTTGGTGCTTGAGCTTCTTTTGCTATTTCTCTTATGTCGCCTCATTTTTGTTGTTTCTCCTTTGTTACCACTTTGCAGGGACGTAAGTGAGCATCTCACTCCCGCACCATAAGCGTCGAATCATCAACGCTAGCCTCAGCTGCTGACTTGCTTAAAAGCTCTGAAATTTGCGAAGTTTCTGAAGTTTGTGAAGTTTGTGAAGTTTTTGAAGTTTTTGAAATTTGTGAAATTAGCAAGCTACCAGCAGACAAATCTTTCTCAAATCTCCATGTTAGTGAATTAATGGCCAGAGTAACTACCAACGACTGGTCAGTTTACTGCTTTTAAATGACATAGACGCTATGGTATGGTATGGTATGGTATGATATGATATAAGATACTAATGTATGATCTAATTGGAAGTTTTTATAATCATCTTATAATGATGACTAGATGACTATTTTTGAACTTCCGAATCATTTCTTCAAAGTTCCTTGATTCCCAATGCGATTAGCATGACAAATGCTCTTTCATTTTGCTATTCTGCTATTTTGCCACGAATTTGACTTGTTAACAGTACCCTTCTCCTTCCAATTTAACCTCTGTCTGGTCGAGCTCTTTCTTCTGAATTGTTTCATGCTAATTCAGCTGGGTTCTTTCAACATTTACTTGAACCAAAATAAAGAAAATCAGTCTACTAACAATCGGCCAACCAGTCTCTATATTTCTTCATTCTCTTCAGAATCTCCATTCAAGGGTTATATCATCATAGATTAATAGTCCGATAATCATCTTTTATTCTTGAAAGATTTTGTACATTTAAAATTCAACCAGGTTCAATGTTCAGTTTTCGATTCTGAACAAAACTTTTTATTTTATGGGATTGATTTACTTACTCCCTTATTTATTAATATCAAATTTCATCCTCTCTTGTTTCTTGAAATCCATACAATTGAATTCTAATCTATTAATACTTCTTGTCTCTAAAGACTACAGGCTCCCTTATTTTATTCTGTACTCGATAACTTTCTACTCAATCCCTCTTTTTCTCTACTAAATCACCCATCCATTATAAACCTGACTATATCCCATAGCACTCCTGTCCTCTACACCCAATTCACTTTTTATGGTTCTATCTCTGTTATATTCAAAAAGCCATTTCAAGTATGCCCAAAATGAGAATCTCTGCTTACAAACCTCGCTACTTTCCCCAATGTTTATTTCAAATCATTAATTCTAGTGGCTACGTACTAAAAAACTGTAATTATATGATTTCTATCATGATTGTTTTGGCAAATTATAAATCATAAATTATAAATCATAAATTACAAGTTACAGTAATATAACTATTCTTATTCCTGTTTTTAATCTTATTTTACCTTATATTACCCCATTTAACCTTTCAAATCTTGAAAAGATAACTTATTGTCTCAAAAAAACTAAATCATAAAACCATTGCTACACTTTCTGTTTTCTTTCTGTTTTTTCTGTAATTTTTTATCGGCATTGCCATCACATATATCAAATATCTCTAAAGACCTATATTCTAATGGCTTGACTCTGCGAACAAAATCAAAAAACAAAAGAAACATTCCAAAAGTCACTGAAGTAAATCTCACATTATTGACCTTACGCTATCATTCTTTCTCAGCTCTCCCACTTTTCAACTCTGTTTTAATGTAAAAAAACTGTAGTTCTCAACACTTTATGATAATAAAATTACCAAATTCAAAAGGATAACAAGTTGGGTCTTTTTCATTTTCTTTTGCTTTTTTTTTTTCTTTATTTTTTTCTTTTTTTATTTTTTTCTTTTTTTATTTTTTTATTTTTTTATTTTTTTATTTTATTTTATTTTATTTTCCTTTTTTTCTGTTTCTTTTGGTTCCTTTTTCAAGTTGTTTCGCGTTTTTCTTTTAACCAATGTGAAAACACAACAGAATTGTAATTCAAATAGATTTGAAAAAATAAAGTATCATTTCAAATTCAAATTCGAATTCAAATTCAAATTCCAATTCTGATTCCATTTCAACCCAAATCTAACTTGGATTTAGACTTTCAATCCACTTGCAATTCCATTTCTCTGTGACTTTTTGATACCTTTCTCTCTCTCCCTCTTTCTTTAAAAATTCCTGAAATCATTTTGACTCTATCCAACTCGTAAATTTCCAACTATAACAGTACTATATAAATATTATGAATATCTTACCTCCTCATGTACTTAAAAACTTGCAATCTGACTGGTCTTGATTGGTGCTTATTTAATCTCAAATTAGCCCCATTTACTTATTAGTTAAATTATTAAATAAATCTTAATTGAAATTATTTTTTTTAGCTCTTTTTGTCTTCTGCTGCTTTTTATTCTCTTTAGCCTAATTTGACTATTGTTTCCAACCTACATTACTCTACAAAATCTTCTACAACTCCAACTCCAAAACCACAGCACACAATAGAGTTGGTTTGACTTTGGTTTTGAAGATTCTCAGCACTCTTTTACAAAAATTAGAGCATTGAAACATATAATTACTAACATTGATATTAACATTCTCGCTAACATTCCTATTAACATTCGTATTAACATATATTTTAGGACAATTGGATCAATTTAGATTTAAATTCAACAGTAAATTCAACAGTAAACTGCACTTTGTAGATTTTCGGTTTTCACTCTTATATTCACCTAAACGTAAACCAAAATACTATTCACAACTTACCGGGGCTAAATAGCCAAAGTTCAAATTTTTTTTTTTTGCATTGTAAAAACAATTTGAGTAATATTGCAAACAACACTGAAATTCGCTTCAAAGCCTGACGATTGTCTGTTGGATAATAATCTGTTTAAACAAAACTCAAAACTTTTTAGCAAGAAATACAATCTTACACTGGGTAGAAAATCAGAATATCAGAAAATCAGAATATCAATAAATCAAAAAATCAAGATTTTATTTCAAAGACAATCTAATTCAATTATCTTCAACTCAACGAAAAAGATATTTATATCCATCTACTTCCTCCAGAATAAGCAGACTTCACTCAACCTTTTCATATCCACTGCTGGTTTTATTATTTCAACAAATCGCTTCAATAATCTACACAAATATAGCTATAACAAAATAAAGAAGATATACTTATCACTTTTAATCCATCAAACTTTATAACTTATATAATTTTTTTTGGTGTGGTGGTCATTCAGTATTGAGGTATCATGGCTAATATTAAAGATGCTGAATTTATCTTACCTGATGACTTTGAAGATGCCTGCAGCTCAAGAGCACCAGTTTTCACTAGTCATGATCCAATGTTAATATTGATTAGGGATTTTGATTTACAAGTAGATACTTTTCCTGAAATTATCATCACTGAGGAAATTCAAAGTCAAATTACTAATGCCGATATCTTGGTGGCATTGATTTTTATGGAAGGCAAGCATGAAAGGTTTATTCATTATATTGAATGTGATCCTAAAAGTTTTGATATTCACCCTCAAGATTATAAGTTAAGAAATGTGAGAGTTGAGTATCAAATTAAAACTAGCAAAACAAGAGATTTTGTCTTGCCAGGAACTTACTACTTTGTTTTCACAACCTCATTAAAATATGGGCCAAAAAGACTTTATTCTGAGGCCTTTCAAGTCTCTAATTGAATCAATTCAAATCATGACAAGCCAAATAACTGTAATCCAAACGACTGCAATCCAAATATTCGTCAAATCTAATTCCATCAATTATTGCATTCTAAATGCTCATTAAATTTCCCCCTTTTCTTTTCCAACTCCAATTATTCTTGTGATTATCATCATCATTATTTTTATCGTTATTTTTATCATTTTTTTCACCATCACCTTTATCATTATCATTATCATTGTCATTATCATTATCATTATCAAGATTGTGATTATTATCATGATTACCATTAGTATATTACTTTTTTTTATTTTATTTTGTACAAACAAAGGAAATAAAAGATAAACAAAATAGATTAAATTCAATTAAAGCAAAACAAAAGCTTGATAAAAGCGTGATAAAAACTTAATAAAAGCTTATACTCATAAATTTCAACTCATTCAATACAACTGATAAAGAATGAATATATTATAAAATTTGAGCAAACCAAAACATTCATATCAACCATTTTATATTATTCTATATCATATTTTTCTGCTTTTTATATCATACTAATTTTTTTTGACGAAACCAATTTCAATTTCAAGTTCATTTTGACATTCATATTTTTTATTTTTTATGTTTTATTTTTTTATTTATTATGTAATTGTTTATTACATTTTTTATATAGGTTTTTATTATATATTTATAGTTCACCATGGTAGTGTTCTATCACTTATCATTTATCGTTCATCTTTATATTTTTATTTTTATTTTACAGCTGGAATTAATAGTATATTTATTAATTTAATATTAACGATTTAGTAGCAAAAACTTAATATCATCTTTAATTGATTTTTCATCATATTTGCTCCAAGATTCATAGAGAATTAAAATTTCTTGAATTGATTCAATGATTTGATTTAAATTGATCTTTGAAAATGCAATAAAATTGATTAAGAAAAGCAATCTCTCATTTTGTTTAATTAAATTTAGATAATTTGACATGGACAACTTTTTTGAGATGAAGATGGATAAAAAAATAGAAGAAATTGCAATTATATGTGGAGGAACAATTAAGGGCAAATCAGTTATATATGAATCATTTATAAATGACCACGCAGCTTGGATCTCGTCATCGGTTAGTTGAATATTTTTGATTGACAAGCTGCTGGCTGAAGATCCAGAGTTGTTCATTAGAGTGGAGGCAAGGAGATTGTTCTCGCTAGAATAAGCTTTGTTGTTAGCAACAGAATTAGCATTGACCAAGGTTGTATCCTCATTTGAACCAGCAAGAATTTGGAAGTCATACGTGCTCAATACATTCTTCAACTGAATCAAGGACTTGTAAGGGTGATGCACTACCAAACAATGTTCTAGCTCATCAATTAAGTAGAACTCAAACTCAGCGAGCTTTGTTATATCGTTGGGGATAAACTCAGGCCACAAGTTTCTTGATTCAGACAACACAGTTCGAATGTGGTGGGCACTCTCTTCGATTTTGCAAGCCAAATAAACACAGGTGGCTATCAACAAGTATAGGTTGATTTCCTTGATGGACACAGTGATCAAAAACCTCGACAAGTAGATCTGAGCAGTGGCAACAGGCTGGATTTTTAGATTGAGCTTTCTGGATAAAGTGAGCAAGCATTTGTGTAGGTAGATTCGGAGGTTGATGTTGTATGAGATCTTGTGGGAGTGGGCAGGAATGAGATTCTTGTGAAGGAGCTCCTTCTCCAACAGGTCCAACTCAAGCTTCTTCTGGAGTAGCTCCTCTCTGGTGAAATGCCACTTCTGCCTCTGTGTCGACGTCCAGTAGTTTGCACTCATTGACCTTTTCAGTAGAAGGAACAGAGGAAAGGTACCTTTTATACTCATCTCCGACCCACACGAATGGTCTTCAGGGCTATGCCAGTAGCAGGGCTCTATAAGCAGGACTCTCTGAAAATGTTTTTAGGGCTCGAGAAAATTTTCACTGGGCGCTTAAATTGTTTTTTTTTTCTTCTCTTCTCCCTCTTCTCTTTCTTTTCTCAGTGTGTTCATGTTTGAAGAATTGTATTTTCGAAGCTCACAAAAAGATAACTTGTTATCGTTCTTTGCTTTGGGAAAAGTCTCCGGTCACTAAAGTGGAAACACAGAGATGGCTTGCGCCATCTTTTTTTTTTGTTCATGGAAGGTTTGTTCAAATTTTCTAACCTTGGTGTATTTCATGGTCTCTGCTTCTGAAATCTATGGGTGACAGAAGGTGTATGAAGAATTGGACTGTTGGGACTTTTGAGGTGAGTATTTAGGTCAATAGAATTGTCTTTTGGGCGTTGGTTCTGTGCTGGCTATTTGTTCTCGGACCGTAGCTGGCGGTTTCCTTTTCTCAGTTTGTTAAATTTATTTAGCTATTGTTTCAGTCGTGAATCAACATGGCAGCTTCATGAGTTTATTCGTTTTGGTTTGATTTGTGTTCTGGGCTCTATTTTCTTGATTGAGAGAACGCTCATTTTGGCAATTGTTGATTGATTTTCAGAGATTTGTTTTGGGTTTTATGCTTTTGATTTAAAAATTATTTTTTCTTTCAGTTACTGTTTTTGAACTTGAGGAATATTCTTGATTTTCAATTGGTATGTGAAAAGATCAATTGCTTCTCTTGAGCCTTAATTTTTGTTAGGTTGATTTACTTGTGAATCTTGGTTATCGAAGTAATACTATCAATTGATTTATTCAAAATTGTTCTGATTGGTCATTTACTTTAATTCTAAACGAATTATTTTTTATTGCAGAAAGCTGAATTCCAAAAACAAATTTTAATTTCAATAGGCAACAGTCATGTTTATGGGTATCTTTTGATAAATTTAAATAGCAGCAAAGTTCATTTTAATCTTTTCAAACCGTTTAAGTGTTGATGAGGTTACAATAGTTTAGATTCTTGAAGAAACTTGGATATGGAAATAGGGATCTAACTAAACTAGACGGTTTTTCAATGGCCTGTTTGTTTACTGATCTGTCTTAGATTTAGTTTAGTTTTCTCATTTCATTTTGCTGAATCTTAAAGATGAAGGTTGAAATTGATAGTGATTTATATCTTGGGTAGTTAAAATTTCTACATTAAAAACTGAAAATGGATTAAAAAGACTTCCTGTGGTAATTAAAATACCACAGTATTGATTTTCGACAATGGATTGTTTAGTTCGATCTAAACCATAGACATTACAATTACAATATTTATTATTGCAACTCAATGGAGCTTACTCTTGAACTTGAACACCCTTTTTAATTTTTCATGCTTGTCTTTTTATTGTGTTAGCACGCCAGTCATAATAAGAAAGATTGCACCTTCAAAAGTGCCAGGCATATTGTTTATTCTTTTTTTTCACTCAACACTCTGGACTTGTTAGAGAGATCTTAATGATGAGAATAATAAGCAACATAGAGTCAAGCTCTGAGTCTCTCTTACTAGTCTGGAAAGATGACTAGATTGAGACACAGACGAGAATTGCATATTTGATCTGAACCTTCTTTTTTATATTTTCTTTCATTAAACGCTCTTTCAGTTAACACTAAAAACAGCATCGTAGTGTAGACCTCTTTTCCATGCCCGGATTCCGCTTCTGGACTGTTTTTGCTTGCTTCTCAGCCGGTTTTAACTCTGATCAGCACGTGTTGGTGATTATTCCACCAGATGTTGAAAATTCTTGTTGGAGATTTGTTTGGGGAATCTGAGGTGTTATTTTTGTTTTTTCCACAACTTTTTCTATTTGATTTGCCTCTTGAGTACCTGCTAGTAACTGAATCTTTTTCTTTTCATTTAGCATTTATCAAGTTTCTTCTTTTTTTTCTTTTTATACGTATTTGTTTGTCAACATTAATCTATCAACCATTTAATTGCAACATGTCTGAAGAAATCACCGGAAAAGCTCAGTCCATTGCTCCTCCAACTTCTAGTGTTTTTGCCATGTTTGGTGGCAAGAAACCAGCCAAAAAAGCTGAAGAAGATTCAAAAGCCAGCGAATCATCAGAAAAAAAGGAAGGCAGCTCTGAAGCAGCTGATGACGAGCCCAAAGTTGAATTTAAACCTGTTGTTCAATTAGAAAAGGTTGAAATCAAAACTAACGAAGAGGATGAAGATGTCTTATCTAAATTTAGAGCCAAGTTATTCAGATACCACTCTGACATAGAAGAATGGAAAGAAAGAGGTGTTGGTGATGTCAAATTTTTACAACATAAAGAAACTAAAAAAGTCAGATTAGTCATGAGAAGAGACAAAACTCTTAAGATTTGTGCCAACCACTATATATCTCCATATTATACTCTTAAACCAAATATTGGATCTGAAAGATCTTGGGTCTACAGTGTAACTGCTGACATTTCAGATGGTGAACCTGAGGCTCAAACTTTAGCTATTAGATTCGGTAACAAAGAAAATGCTGATAAGTTCAAAGATGCTTTTGAAGAGGCTAAAGCGGAAAATAAATCAGCTTCTGGTTAAATCTGATAACAACTGGAAGAAAAAAAATAGATCAGAAAATCAAAATGAGAATTGAAAAAAAAAGCAATAACAATATCAATATCAACGTTGCTGTTGAAAGTTGTGTAAACAAGAAGAAAAATATTTGAATGGAGAAAACAAAATTTATCAATTACAATCACTTGATATTCAATGGTTACATACTGCAACATACATAGTATTGTTATTCTATTCTATTTAATATTTTTGTTTTTTATTAATGTTTATTTTATTATCTCTTAGCATTATTTTATCTATTATCATTATAATTATTTGTTAGTTCCCCTCTTAATTTACTTAGTTATATTTTCTTATTTTCTTATTTTCTTATTTTATTTTATTTTATCTTGTCTTGTCTTATTTTGTTATTTTGCAATTGATTTTAAAAGTTGACTTTAATTTTCCATATTTTAACATCAATCGTAATATCACTTATAACTATAGTTTTAATTTTAATCTCAATTCACATTTCTTTGAATTGATTCCTCTGTTATTAAAATTTTGCTACTTTGTTTCTTCACCACTGCTGTATTAGCTCCTTATCTACAAAATTATACTAAAAAAATGTCTTATTCGTTTATAGATTTTACTTAGCTATATGGTATGATACTAGGATTATATTATGCCACGAAACATGAAAAAAAATATAAAAAAACATAAACAAACTATAATTCTTCTATTGCTGATATTTAAATCATTTTATTGATGATGATAATTATACTAAATCGATTTGAAGTACTGATTGTAATATTGTATGAAACTCCATTTTAATATTATCCATATCATTCGAATCGCTCCAAACTCTGGCCATAATATATCTAGAAACTGGATATAAATACCAGTTAAATGAGTTTCCCACAACATGAAATCACTTAGTCTATGGATATTCGATGTTCTTACCAATATATCCAACGGTGGCAAGTCCTTTGTATAGAGATGTTTGCTTATACAATCTTCATCTATAGAGTCAATATAATTTTGAGGAGATACTATCACTTTGTTGTTTTGATTATTTTCATTCTTTGGTATAACATGTCCATTCTGACTCTTGCTTTTATTCTGATGATTCTGATTCTGCTGATTAGTGTAATTGGTCTGTTTGTTCTGACTGTCTTCAGGTTTATTTTCTAAGACCACAAAACTTTTGGCATTGTATTTTTGAGTGGCTTCATAAACAATATCTCGAATTGAGTGTGTTATATCGTCTCGAGAAGTGTAAGGTATGCAAATATTTAGTATTGCGTTTGAGTTGTTCTTTGTCAATTCTTGAGCATTGGTTAAAACGTTTTTAAGACTATCTGGCAACAAGCTTAAGTCTCCAGAGACTATTAATTTTATTCCATATTTTTCACACAAGTCGTTATGATCAATAATTTGTTGGAATTTTCTTTCGCATAATTTCATCAAGTTTTTCACTTCAAATGGAGACCTTTTGAAGTTTTCAATCGAAAATGCATAAATCGAGATGGCCTTCACATTGCATTTATAGCAGATATCTAGTATTTCAGCTAATGAATTGAAACCCTCGTTATGACCTTCTTTGACTTCAATATGGTGTTTTCTCGCAAACCGACGATTTCCATCCATTATAAAAGCAACATGCTGAGGAATCTTTCCAGTTTTCAAGGCACTTGTGACGATGCTTTTTAACACCTCAAGAGCTTGATAATATCCAGGAAAGGTTGATATCCATGACGAGCCCAGACTCATTGTAGGTGTATAGAATGAGGAGTAGGAACTCGAAGGTGTCTTTGATCTGTGATTAGGTGTTGGTGATGTGGAACTTGTATTGTGGGAAAGGTAGAGCTGTGAGCTGGTGTTTGTAATGCTGTATTATGTTCTTATCTGATGAGAAATTGGTAGACACTACCATTGGGTTTGGTTGCTGCTGTGTTTTATAGTTGCTGGTATTATATCAACACCAGTATCATAATCCTGGGATCAAAGACAATAAGCAGATAACCTAAAGTAGCTGGAAACTGCTGTTCTCTTGATCTGTAGCTGTGAGCTGTATAATACTATGTTATTATGGTGCTATGAAACTGTGATATTTGTCTTTAAGTTTCTCGAAACTGTTTTGGAAAAAAAAAATTCAGCCCAAAACTCGTTTTGGGTGGAATTTGGGAATTTGAATTGTTCCATACGTTTTTACAGTTTAAACAGCTCAGCTTTAGCATCAAGAGGTTGAGCACAGCTGCTGTCTTTTACGAGGTCTATCAACTACAGGACTTATCTTAACACTCAACGAAACCCATTGGAAACATTTATTCTGGCTGATTTTTCATCGGCTTCACTTCAAGAGGCAGGGAAGGTTTAAGATAGTCAAAAAAAAATGAAAAAAAAAAATAAATAAAAAAAAAGCAAAAAAAAAAAAGTAAAAAAAAAAATTGCAATTATAAAGATTTGATAAAATGGTTATAATTTTGATTTTAACTTTTTTTAAGAATTTTTGATTTTTTGGGATGAAATAATGTGAAAGGAAGGGCAGAGAAATAATCAGAAAGAGAGACAGATAATTGATTGGTCAACTCCAAATTAACAAAGGTTAAAAAGAAAAGATAAATAAAAAATGAATAAAAAGTTTAAGTATACTATAATATTAGTATTAGGATACAATTGATCAAATAAGAACCATTACATAATAATATAAGAATAAAATATACCCAACCAAGTTATTCTCAGGTAGTTTTTTTTTTAGTGTTTTTTTTCGTGTTTTTTAATTTTTTTTTGCTTTTTTTAGTGTTTTTTTTGGATAAATTTATTATTTTTTAATTTTCAAGCAGTAAGAATAATTTAAGACTTCTCTAAACAAAAGGACAACTAAATAATCAAATAATTTGATAATTATTATAAATTTGGATTTAAATTTGAGGTTGAGATTTTCATTTTGATATTTTATAAATTATCTTTTTATAAATTGATTGAGCTTTAGTTTTCCATATATATCTTTAATCATGATAATAATTTTCTAATAATTAATAAAAATCTAATCATCACCAAAAAAAAATGGATTTATTATACACCAATATTGTACTCAGAAACCAAACGGATGATGAAAATAAAAATGAAGGTGATAAAAAAATAGATAACCAAAAATGAAAAAATGGAAAAATGGAAAAATGAAAAGTAAAGAAACAAAAACAAAAGTAAAAGAGAATCAAAATAAAATTAAGATAATCAAGAGGAACTCAAAAAATAAAACATGAAAATTGAGAAAAAAAAATATAAAAACATTAATATTAACATACTAATTGAAATAATTATAATGAAACATAAATCTAAATTGTGCCAAAGATAATTAAAAAAAAAATAGAAAACTTCAAATAGAGAATTAATGATTCTTTAGAAAATCTTGGTTAAAAAAACACATAACTGAAGGTGATAGAAACTAGAAAAATAAATAAAATAGAAAGAAAAATAAGAATAAAAATAAGATTAGAAATAAGATTAGAAATAAGATTGAAAATAAGATTGAAAATAAGATTGGAAATAAAATAATTTTTAAAAAAAGGATAAAAAACAATAACAAATTTCAATAATCAAACTAGTTATAATAATTATAGTAATTGATTTAATTATTATAATAAACATTAAACAGGAGCAAAAAATATAAATTAAATTGAAGTATAAAAACTTAAAGAATATGATTATTAAAATTTAAAAAAAACCATTTAAGAAGTAAAGTAAATAAGATCAAATCATACGTATTAAACAATAACTTGATATCAAAATAACTTCAAAGCTCTTCTAAGTTCATTTTCTGCATCAGAATTTGGGGCTGTTTGAGGTTGAGGAATTTGGAGAGAACGGGAGTAAGAATGAGAATGGGAATTAGGAGCTGATTGAGGTTGAGAGTTGGAATTGGAATTGGAATTGGAATTGGAATTGGAATTGGGACGAGCATTAGAGTCAGAATTAACGCTTGAAGAGATCATATATTGAGACGGATTTCCCATTTGATTAGAATAGCTGAAAGAGTGATACATGTGCTGAGGATGAGGAGGATTTGGATAATGAAGTTGGTGTTGTAGGTGAGGTTGGGATTGTGAGTGAGAGGGGGAGGGAGAAGAGGGTTGATTAGAATTGAAATGAAAAGCATTTTGGAAGTTAATGTTGGGATAAGGATTAGGATAGTAAGCATTGGGAATTAAAGTCGGATTTGATAAATTATACTGGGAATTATAAGGATAGGAACTTGATGAAAGATATGGATGGTTTGAATTTATAGGTTGGACACTCTTAGGCTGAGCATTTTCAGATGCGCTATTCAACAATTCATTGAAGGATATCTTTTTTCCTTGAAGTTGTTGACGATTTATTACATTTAGGGTGGACTTGGAAACTGGACTTGAATTGACTATGGCAGTGATACTGGTAGTGTTTGATTTTTTCTTAGAAAAAGTTGGCAATGGTAGAGATTGCGGCATCGGAGAGTTATTAAAAGAAGAGCCGGCATATGTGGTTGAGCTGGAGGTAACACTACTGCTGTTGTCATTAATATTGTTTGTTTTGTTATTATTGTCACTGCTAGAGGGATGAATTGTTTTTTTATCAGGATTAAGGGATTTGGAGGTTCTATTCAAAGAGGATAGGTTACTTGATGAGTTATCGTGATTTATACAAAAGTTGGAAGACTTTGTTTGTCTTGAGGGTTTCAAATTTACTTTGTTTCCAACAGGAGAAGATTTTGATTTTGATTTATAGCTGTAATTCTGATTGGAAGAATTTGATTTTGTTCTGACATGGTTGGATCTTCTGTTATTTGAAATTGTTGTTGTTGTCGTTGTTTGACTGGTGTTATTATTATTATTATTCTTATTGTTGTTGTTGTTGCTGTTGTTGTTTTTAATGCTGTTGCAGCTGATATTATTTACCGGCCTATTGTTTGATTTGGTGTTGCTCACATCACTGCTAGATTTCTCAACAGGTCTGGAAAAATCACTAAGCTTGTTGGGATTAGCAGACCTTCTATAATTGTTAAGTTTCTTGTTCATTTTATTTTGTATTCTAGGAGCAAGGCTAGTATCAAGCAAATCAGGGTTGTTGGAATGTTGAAGAACCATCATGGCCAGAAAAGGATTGTTGGAAACAGGTGAAGGATAGAGAAAGGTATTGGTGGTGAAAGAAAAGTAAAGCAGGTAATGTTTATCGGTGGGTTATCGAAAGCAGAGAAAGGCAAAAAGAGTAAACAGAAATGGTGAAGTTTAAGAATTTGCAGAAAGAAAAGGTGTGTTTCTGATCAAGCAACAGGAGGGTTTTCTGAAACCAACCGGAAGTGTAGCACTGCACGTGGAATACGCGTGCAGGCCGGTTTTCAGATAGGAGTGTCCACAACAAGCATGGCGTGCCCCAAACTAGATGCTGAGTCAGCAATACGCTCACGTGCCTTTACGAATGTAGCGCGCCGCGTTGTGCGTGTTCATTTATAACAGGTCTCGGTGCGATATTTGTCGCTGCCAAACTGTTTCTAGCCGAAATCACTTTCAAAAGGGGATCATAGAGGTTTTGTTCATCTGGCTTCTGATTTTAAATCTAACTCGTTGTACCATCAGAGATGATGCTTACCTAGATTATCGTCACTGGATATTCAAAACATTAGCAAAGCCTGTTAAGTGATTGAAATACGTATCTGGAATCTAGATAATGATCATAAATTATCACCCTGAAAACGTTCAATAGAACTAAAATAAGTAGATCCATATATGATAAAGCACAAATAGAAGAATCAGAGTGTTTGCGGCCAAATGGCGCTAGTCCTAATAGGACTATTTAGTCTTCTTCATAACCAATATGTTCATGGTCTCTCACTGATCCAACGGTAAATTTTTTTTTCTATTCCAACGATTATTGTACCTTACATCAGTATATTGTTATTATTATTTTTGTAACAAGTAATTGGATATTATTCTTTGCCAATACCAAATAACAGTCTGTATATTCATATTTCTCTGCATTCAATAAGTAAAATATCAGAAGCAACACATGCGTCCAGCCACCTGTACTTGCTAACTAGATGGATCACTGCAGCCAAACGCAGTAGCTCGCGTATCTGGATCTAGGGGTCTGCGCGCTGCGGTACAGCTTCTGTGTTCGGGGTCTTTGCCTTTTGGACCTTCTCTGCGTATTGTGTTTTTTGCAGCAAAAAAAGAGGTTATGTGAGAGTTGAAAGGTAATTTGAAAGAGTTTTGTTTTTAATCTTCAAAGATGTGCAATAATGAAATTCTTTTAAAGACAGGCACATTTCATTTTTTTGAGCTTTGAACAACAATCTTTTTGTATACGCCAACTCACCCTTTGATTAACGGTTCATTTATAAAATTTAATTGAAGCATATCAGGTCTGAATGAAGATGGTGATAAGTCACTAATTGGAAAGTTATATTATTATCATATAAACAAAGTGATAAAGCCTGTAACTCAATAAGGTTTTGGTGATGAAAATCCACTCAGTATTTTCAGCAATCTAATCATACTACTGCCACTCCATAAGGGATTTCGAAGGACCAGAAATTTGAGTTTGAAAACAATTTAATAATGCAAGGTAGCAAAAATTTGACAACACCAATTTTTTTTCCTCCTCCTAAATCTTTGCAAGTTATTAATTAGTCAAAATCATACTCTGGTTGCTTATTATCATTTAATTATCCAAACTTCGCAATAAAACCACTTTTTCGTTATAAAGCTTAGTTAAACTTCATTAATTAAGTGGAACCCTTGCATGACTTTAATAAATGATAATTTATAAAGAAAAAAGTGCACTATATTTTGATATCTCAGGTCTGAATTCTTATTTGTCTTCAGTAGATGTTGCTCCATACAGAAGATATTCTATTCGGCAACTCTTGAGTGGTTTTGTTTATCCAGCTGTTTTGCTTTGAAACCCAATTACCAAGACCAAATAATTTGCAGCAATCCTCGCTCATTCTTAGCTGCACACTATTCAGAGAGCAAATAACTACAAAAAACTGCTTCTAATACCACCAAACAGCAGAACTTTCCACGACGAAGCCCATCTTTATTACATTTGTTGAGTCGTTTCAAGGGCACAGGGCGCGGTGCGCACATGCACGCCGAAGACATCAAAACAGCCCGTTTCCATAGGCCTTCAAAAGTCCATACAACGAAAAAGTTGAAATTATTCATTATTTTCGTGGAAAATGTTTACTCAATATCAATTCATGGCCTCTACATTACACAATGCTTTGAATATTTTTTAAAAGCCATATAAATGAAGAGTTATGGCAATTTTAATTCAATACCTTTGTGATATTAACACTTCAGACAAATCACTGTTTTGTGTTTAGACTTTCCACTGGCTTTCCTCCCACTCGCTCACAAAAACCATCAGCGTTAAGTGAGAAATTATCACCCAGTTCAAGCTCAAAATAACAGTTCAAACATTAGTTCAAAGCAACCAATATGGAAATATATATCACTACCTATGCTATTGTTATATATATCTAATTTAATGTTTGGTTTTGTGCTTTTATGCTTTTATGATTGCTCACTTTTATCCTAATGCTGAGTGGTTCTTTCAACCTTTCACGCTCTTCAGTTTGTGGTCGTTTTTTTTAAGGTTTGTTTGGAATCAATATCAGTCAGCTTTGAGCCCATATATCCTAAAGACTTGAAGGCAATATTTAGTGTTTTGGTTTTTCATCTTCTTCACCTTCAGATCCTTTTTATCTCTTTTTTCATTCTTCAGCAATAAGCGTTGTTTTGGTGTTCCAAACTTAATTTCAAAAACTGGTTGCTTTTTTTGCTGACGGAGAATGTTTTTCCCACCAAATTGTTGATCAAACTTCTTCCACTTTTTCAGTTGCTTTCAAATAAACTAATTATTAATGTTATTTATCTGCAGTTGAAAATAATTTAGTTTAAAAGATCTATTGATAAGAGCTATATTGTTAATTAAAGTAAACAATTTCATTACCTACTTTAACCACTCTTCTTCCTAGCTACAAATACTAACCTTTGGGAAATCCAATATATAATCAGATGATTTTCAGGTTTTGAAAACTTATTATTATAAAAGAATTATAATTAAGAGCCACTTTATCACCAACAAAAAAAATGACTTTGAAAATAATTTTTAGCAAAAAGTGTTAATAAGAATCAAAACGAAAATTTTTCCCTTTCGAAAAAGTTGATATAAAACCTTAAATTGGCTCACAGTTTTCTTTGCAATGTTTATTAAACTCAAAGATGGTGCCAACTTCTCTTATTGACATTAACAATAAATATGTACTGAATCTATTTGAGCTAAAAGGGTGCTAATCGTTTAGTTTTACAAAATGCTTTTCAATCAACATTGCAGTCAAATTGAAATGGTAAACTGACTTAAAATATGCTATTTATCACGACAGTCATAACAATCAATTAAATTTTAGATCTATTTTTGCTTACACTAATTACTACTTTTATTATTTATTAAATTCTTTTGTTACTAATTCTTCATTTATTTTATTGAAGTCTTTACAAACTATATTTATATTGACAGTTGTTATGTTTTTTGACCACTAAATCCTGATAAAATATACTATCCACTATCACAAAAAAGTTAACCAATATGTGGTATACATTGTACTGCATATATACATTTTGTTTTAAGATCCATTTTATTATTTTATTATTTTATTATTTGATTATTTGTTCTGTTTTTAATTTTTAGAAATGCTGATTTAAATTCAGAAAATTTCCTTCAAAAGTCAACTATCAATCCAAACATCAAAAATAATCTTTTTGAAATCAAAACCAGTTATTCAACCTTAAAATTAAAAAAAGACAAAGGAAACAAAAGAAATAAAGAAAAAACCTGGTAAAGCTGTTATCTATTTAACGCAAGATTAGTAATTTACAAAATTTGATCTTTGAATTTTTCGGCAAATAATTTCTGAGACAACTTTTATTTTAAGTCTACACTTAGTTACAAAATCTACTTTACAGAAGGTTTTTTTTTTTTTTCCTTTGCTTTTCTAATTATCTGATTATGATTTTTTACTGTTTATGATACTTATAATGTCTATTTTGTTTATGTTTTAATCCTGTTTTACATATGTTTTGGTTGGTGTTAGTTGATGCGGAAATGCAGATTTGATCTTTACACCAACATTTAAACCTTCTTCCGTGTGGAGATAATTTTTACTTTGAGACCCCAAACGGTTTCACATATTTTAGATATACAAAAAAGAGCCAGTGGATTGATTTATGAAATCTATTTAATGATAAATATGTGTTGACACACTACAAACTAATTGCTTTGATGGTTTTTGGCTTTATATTTTCTTTTTAAATTGATAGGAAAAGTATTTTGTGGATTGGATTTTCAAAAAGCTTTGAAAAACTTAAATATAAAATTTAATCCCTAGGAAAACTTTGAGCAAAACTAGGTACAATTTCATTTTACGTCTTTGCAAGTAACTTTATTATTTGAAACACAAACTAATTACTTCTATATTCGAGTTTTGCTTGAATAAATAACTACTCCAAACCGGAACCGAAACTTTCTGTTTATTGCAACAAGTTTCAATTAAAAAATAAATATAATACTGTTTATTTTTTAAACTACCTTTTCCTCTATATAGCTTTGATTTACACTAAAAATCACACTCTACTTTAGATTTTCGGGATTTCTTTCCAGCGTTCTCAATTGGATTCGAATGATTACAATCAAATTTTAATTCTGAATAACAATAAAAGTGAAATAGATTTCAATTTAGTGAGTGATGGTAGTACTGACAATAATGACCTAAGCCATGATAATGATAGGTTTATAAAGGGAAAATAAAAAAAATGTGTTGACAACTATTACAGTTTCATTTCTGAAATGATGAGATATTTGATTCAACTAATATAGGTGATCCCAGTACTGGCAAAAGATCTATAAATATTGAATACAGCAATAATAATATTATTACCGGTTTGGTTTCCACACAAAAGATGAGCTATCAGAACACGCTTGATACTGCAAACAACAAACAACAAACAAGATTTTTATGTGTTTGGACCAAATGAGTAAAACAAATAAACTACTAAATTAAACCCTATGATGAAGTTGCAATACTTGTCAAGTAACATTTCACAATAACTCTATCAATAAATAAAATATGTTATTTTATTGTTCCTGGCATTCAGACACTCACATTGGTGCTTATGTTAGTGATGGAAAGAAAAACTTTTTAGAATTAATAATTGATATATCCAATCACAACCAATTTGAACAAAATATAATTAAGATTTTTGATTTTTCGGCTCTCTTGTTTAGAGAATTTACTGATATAAAAAAACCGACAATTGACCCCACTGACTATACAAAAATATTTGAATTATTTCTTTGGTTTAAAAGATGATAATACCAGGGTTTTGTTTTTTCAATGGATGTTATTTTGAAGTGGTTATTTTATCAACTACACTCAACAGAAAACCATATTTTAAAACCGCGCCAATAGCAGCCTTTGCAGAATCTACAATAGCCAAAAAATATACAAAATATTCAATTTGAACAAAGTTTACAAACTCTACAACATCTGCACTACCTAGAAATATACAATATCCAGAAAATTCACAATATCTAAATAATCTACCATCTCCATAAAACATACAATTTTCATCATATGTATAAAATTTGCAGTTTGTGGACATTTTAGATGCTCCACAATGTCCACAATATTCGGATAATTTACAGTCACCATAAAATATAGCAAGCCTGTTGAATCTAAAATCAAAATAACCAAAATAACCCTCCTGTCTTCACTCCATACAATCTCCATGATTGCTGAAACATCTGCCATGTTTGCAGTATTCATGAAATTAAGGACTTTTAGCGATATCAACACCACCACCACCACAACAATATCATCAATATCATCAATATCAGCAGCAGAAAAATCAAGCATGGTGGCCAGCATGCTTTATCATGCACAAAAATTATCTTTGCCTGCGGAAATCGGCAACACTCAAAATAAATTTGACACCAGCTCAATGGAACCATTTTCGTATTCAGCTACGCAACTTGGTGCACTATTATTATGTTGCCTTTGCAGTTTGTCCAACAGGAAAATGATCATCTTGAGCAAAAGGCAATATGAAGAAGTAGCATTTGTGTTTATTGGAAACGCACAATAAACGGTAGTTTGACTGATATTTGAAAGAGGGCAGAATGAGTTTATATCAGGGGTTGAGCGGATTCACTTTCCTTTTCAGAATGGCCAATAGGCCTGGGATTTAGAGGTTGAAAAAGAAGCTGAAAAAGACCTCATAACATTCCTTTTCCTTTTATCTGGTTAATGACTGCCCTTCTGGTGGTCTCAATGATTTTAATTGATTGATAATAAAAAAAGGATCAAAACTCAAACACAAGGACAAACTATATTGGTATGACAAGTCAGCTGCTGAGGTTTCATAGTACTTCCATGGTGTTCCCATCAGCTTTAATACACTTCAATGAAGTGGGAACATGAAATTGGAAATTTTTGCTTTCACAACTGATAAATTCGAAAATAACAAAAATCTGAAAAATCCATCCCATCAGTCAACAAGTTAAAAATGCTAAGGAGAAATTTATCCAAAATTGTTGCCCTTTTCATGCGTATGTTTCAAATTATGCGTCAATTTCAAAAACAGCTTTTCCATAATTCCTATTAAAAAAATTGAAACTGACTTAAGCTTGCAGGGGGATGAGCATCCACCAGATAGTCTACATAAATCTTGAGGATTCTTTGAACTGCCATAACAATTTATCTGATTTTTATCATGTGGAGATTGTGTGTGTTTTAACATTGATTGAGGATGGTAAAATCGACAGGAAAATAATCCCTATCTACTGTAACAATCCAGTATAAAACTAGTTAAGCGATTTTTCACAATATTATTGAGCATATACCAAATTACTTAAATCATTTAAAAAATTGGTTCATAAGTTACAAAACCATAAGTAATAAAAGCTTAATAAACAAAGGAAAAAACAAAATTTATGATCATTTTTGTATATTGGAACTCATGTACACAATTATTATTGACTAAAAATTTTAATCTAATCTACTTTAAAAACCTTCTACAAGATTTGGGTCACTTAAACTGAAAGACGGACAAAAACTGGGACAGGACAGAAACAGCCATTGTGCCCTAAAAGACACAGCACAGTTTCCCCACTATTTGGAGGGCTGAGAAGGATCTCCTCACGTTGTTTATTCATATGAATCAAGCATTGTCCAGCATCAAATCCTCAGATCTATTGCAATTACATAGGGGTCGTGTGGCTAATTGAATATCCATTTTAGCATGCTATACAATGATAAATCACAAAAAGACCAGTGACTAAAAATGAATCTGTGCTAAATATCCGATTTATTTGAGATTGCAATTATGTGTTATTTTTCTTTGCCCCTGCTGCAAATCTATTTAATTGCTTTAGAGACGAAAGATACAACGTCAACAATGGGAATGCATTTGTTGAAAGAGCGAAAACCGATATCTGCAACAGTAGTTCGGCAAGTGAAACAAGGTTGCAACCAACAAATGTATTTATGAAGTCTAGTCTGGTGCAAATGAAGATTTAATTTCAAACAAAACACTTCCTCCAACTTTTTATAACCTGAAAAATACTTCTTTTGCTTCTATCACTGCATCATCACCCAATTTGAAGTCACACTCCCAGCTCAACGTTGCTTCATCTCTAAATGTTTCAAATATTTGTTTCAACCCATAAAATTCAATTATGTCAAATACAGTATGAAAAGACTGTTTACTTATTATTCATGCTGTTGTTAGTAATAATATGAACCATACGAAAATCAATTTTGTTGCTGGTGAAGACATCAAAAACAACACAACAAGAAAATTAGTACAGAGCAAGAAGCTTCACAGAAAGAAAAATTGTTTGCCCAAAAGACTAAAACTTTTAAAAACTTAAAAATCCTCTTGCGTCTCACTTTGAACTCGAATAGGGAAAGTGATAATAAATTATTTTCAAAGGATTCTAAATTTCAAGAACAAACATCTAAAACATTGGCAGCAATAGCAATACCAGCTTTAAGAATTTGAAAAAACGACTAACTTTGGATACCTCTCAATTTTTGAATTTATCATTTACGTCTCTTTTGAACAGCAATTTTGTTTAATCTTAGACTGAAATCAATTTAAATAATCATATTTCTAGTTCCAGAATTTATAAATCATTTTACAGCAAACTACCATTTTATCAAATCACTATTAACCATTTTTCTAATCACAGATATAATTACTATTATAATCATAACCGTCATCTACATTATCGCTATATCAAAATACTCTTTACAAAAGATTAATTACAATCAAACAACATATTCTCTTTAAATGGCATTAGTCTCTAAAATTTGAACAGACTTATATTGTTCTTATTGGCTTTCACAAAAACCAGATAAATAATAATTTTTCTGATGATTTCTTGAAACAATTGGCTTATATGCAATACCCAATTGATATTGATCATCAAAATTATAAAATTAGATTATCATCAAATAAAACAAGAAAATCAATTACAACAGATTTGATACTTTTTTATTATATCAGCACTATTCTGTTACTCAACGGGAAGTTTTTAAGAGCTTCAATTGAAGATATAAATAAATTCGGGTTTTCAAATCTATTTAGAAGAATCATAATTGAGAATTTTAAGTATAACAACTAGATAATACCAATCAACTTATTGTTAATAAGATTCCAAATAAACAACCTAAAGATTTTATAGAGAGAGAGCAATAATTCAAAAACTTTAAATCTAGAAAACTTTGAGAGGGAATCTGCTTAATATAACTACTCTCATAAAACCACAAACAATGATTGGACTAACAATACTAGCTGTTGATTGAAATTTGATTCGCGCAGTACCAATTAAATTAATGAAAGGTATCAAAGTTAGTTGGAAAATTTTGAAAGGGAAAAGAAAAAGAAAACCATACTAATTTCGGATTATGATGATGAATTGTTTTCAAGATTTTATAAATTTTGGCTTATGGGTAATGAAAAATCAATCTAATATCGAGATCAGAATAAATGAAAGTCTAAATTTAATAAGTTTCACGCCCAAGATTCATATGAAAACAAGTGATTATTTTCTTTTGCCTAAACAAAATAAGAAATACCAATCATCAACAGCTGATTTAGACATTCGACAACAGCATACTAGTTCAAACTCATCACCATTAAATCTTTCTCATAGCAATAAAAACAACAACATTTACTCTAACAGAAATAATTTTAATTAGATCAAGCAGAATAATATTTTCAATAACATTTATAAAAGCGAATATCATAATAAAAAAAAAGAGACTAAAACCAATATTATATTACTTTTTTAATACAGACAAATTAAATAAGTATTTCTGATAAAAAACTGATGAACTAGAGGATATTCTTCATCCAGGGATTATTGATGTTGTTGATCATACCAGTTTCGATAATGACAGAAACAATATTAGAAATAATATTATCCTTAAACCGTAAAATAAGGATAACAATAATTTCAATCAAAAGCAAGATATTGATGAAGTTCTTTAGGTTGATGAAACTTTAAATAAAGAAAGGGGCATCGAAATTCGAACGTCATTAATGGAGAAGATAATTTTGAAAACATTAAAAGTAAGCTATCTACTCTTTGAAAATTCTTTTAAAATAATGTATTGTCATATCTCGAAGTAATATCTCTCCCAATTTAACTGAAGATTGAAGGATCCAGAAAAATTTCAAATACTCTTCAACTATCAAAAAAGTGTTGGAATGACTTATTGACACCAGATGAAAATCTATCTTTCAAACTACTTTTATCAGCTTACTTTTCAGATTTTATCGCAATTCCGAAGTATGATTGATCTTGACAATTGATTTTAAAAGGTCAAATCTGTTTTGTAATAGTCATCAAATAAATCTTATCAATTTGCAGAGTATGGTTTTCAAGGACACTACTGCTTTCGAAATGATGGATGACAAATTTTCCAAAAGACTCTGTTTAGTGCAATGTTTTGGTATTCCAAGTGCAATTCAAGTAAATAATATACTTGAATGAATAGTAAAAACTTATTGCAAATTATCAACATTGCAGTAAAGTATGTATAACTAGTGGCTAAGATAATTGTTTTATTTTAAGACTTTCAAAAAAGTTAAGATTGTCGTATAGCTCGATGCCTTAAAGCATCCAGAAGCACTGTTAAAATAATATCTCAGCATTAGTGTCGTATTACCAGTTTAATGTTCTGCAATCGAAATATTTTACATCCACTAATTAGTGGATCGAAATCTTCTTTCAATTTTTCTAGAAACAGCAGGTTTTTGATTTTGGTTCTTGTTTAAGGAGCTGAGAGGTATCAGTCTTTCACCATTTAAAACCTGTGAGAATTCTCGAATTGTTTGAAATGACTCTTCAGCGCTAATAATGTAACTTGAAAACACAGGTGAAAAAGATGATTGGAATTTTGGTTATGGTGGAGAAGTAGTTGAAACTATCAATGATTTCAAATTAATTGAAGAATTTAAATCAACCTAAGAAAACATAATAAAAATGAATAGTTAATATAATGATCAATTGAGTAATACAAAGCTCAGTACTTCAAATCATTTACAAGAAAACAGCTCAAAATGAAGTTTGGAATGCAATATAACAAAGGATAAAGTAAGAGAACAGGGAATCAAAAACCATAATAGAACTCCTTACTGAAACTCAATTTAAATAGGAAGCCAAAAGCTTTAAGAATTTTCGACACTTCAAGCAGTGAAGCATTCGAAGTAAGTTTTCTAAATTTTCATTTTAATATATAAAAAAACCAATACCACTCACAAGTTAAACCAAGCAAAAAACCAAAACAAACTGTATTGGAAGCCAAACCTCAATTATGAATAACTCAACGAAAACCTTTCAAATTTATTCACCCATTAAACAATAAGCACATTAACTAATAAACAACCTGACGAAGTTAACCTTGATCGAATTATTTCCCAGCTATGAAAACACCAACAGCAACAAGTGATATGTTTGTACTAAAAGGAACAGGAATCAAAATAAAATATAGGAGAAGGCTTGATGATTTAAAACTTTTTATTAAAAAGTGTCCAGGCTTGACACAATCTAATTGAGTATTACAAGGAGTGAATTATTTAGGTAGAATAAATTTTAGACTGGAAAAGAAGGCCAAGTAATTATTGACAATGTTTTTGACTATTTGGAAGTTTATTTTTTAATTATTTCTAAAACAATCCAATTACATTTATCTGATACAGAATTAGGATTGTATTTTCTTGTATTCCTTTTTTAAAATGTAATAATTTAGTTTTATTGTTATTAATCAATATACTAATTGGTTTCAAATCGGAATAAAATACATCCATTTCATGTATATTAATTGGATTTTTAATTTAACCAGATAGTTGTTTAATCAATTAAAATGCTGGTTTTCAAAATATTCCAATCTGATTCCTAAACACTTTCAGTTTCATCTAAAGTAGAATTTTTGAATTCACTTTAATTTTTATGTTTTGAGATATTTAGAATAATGATTTCGGTTAAAAATTCATCAATCACCACCGGAGGTTTTGAAATTTTAGAGATTATAAACTGTTTAGACAGATTTCCCAAAAATATATCATTTATCAATTCAACATTGTAGTTATGTCATTTTCATATTATTTTTTTATATTTTCATCAAAAGAGTTTTCCATTTTATTCCAAAATGATATTTTGTTGAAAATCTTTTATGGTTGATCTTCATTGTTTATTCTTGGGGGTTTTAAGTCCATTGCTAACAAAGAAAATTGACAAATAGATCAAACCAAAGTATCTGAGAAGTGTTACTAAGGATTCCTCTAAGTTCTCTCCACTCCCTCCCATCAAAGCTGTGCAAAACTTGAATTACAATTGTTTAAATATTGTTTAAAAATCTTGTAGATATTAAAATTGCGCAATAACAAATAATGGTTACTGTAATCTTTTACTTTTTGATGATTATCTCCTCTCATCTTCTTTTTGAATAAGCAACCAGTTCAAGTTCGGTGCATGTTTCACTGCTTTAATTTCATAAAAATATTGGAGATGCTCAATCTTGCATTTGCTATGTAGCGACTCAACTTTAAAATTATTGAAAGCTGTTGTAACGAATCCATGATAATATATTAAGGAAAAGAAGTATCAAAGAAAAAAGAACGTAGAAAAGATCGCCAGCTGCACTTAAATGTTGTAGCGAATCCATAGTAATATATTAAAGTAAAAAGGTATATGAGAAAGACAAACGTGGAAGAAATCGCCAGCCGCTTTTATGATGTGAGCCATCCGGATGTTTACATTCGGTCTCTCAGTGTCGGTCACCGGTCTACTCCCGTGACACTCCGTGATAGAACTCCGTTTCTTACAAAAAGGCTGGGGATCCCTTCTACGTTTTTCATTCCTTGCTGTAGCGATTCCATGACAAAATATTAAAATAAGTACATAAATGAAATCGAATTACGTAAAAAGGATGGCCAGCCACTGTTATTGCAAACCCGGTTTCATTGCAGAACGTCGCGGGAGCAGACCGGTGACAGGCACCGAATGACCAAGTCTAAATATGTGGGAATCTCACAACAGCTCTCTTTAAACAAATATCCACAGCTCAGACGATGGAATCAACGTATTCTGTTGTAACAAATCCATAAAATTATATTAAGGTGGAAAATATATAAAAAAAACAAAAGGTAAACAGGTTTGCCGGCCTCTTTAATAGCGAGGTGAGTTGAATCACCGAGCGTCTGGAATGTGACAGGGGACGGACAGCGCGAATGCAAATGCATATCTCAGAAAACCTCACAACGGCCACTTCAATCGCAGTAGCAGCGCCACCGACACTGACGTCGACGTAGACAGCAATTATCTACATCCAGCCAAAGACCGATTGCGCTGGCTAAGGTAACACCAAGTTTAAGTAGAATACATTGAATCCAGCGAGATATTCACGCACCGAGGAAAATAAAATTACACCTAAGCTACGGCGACACCAGGGACCATCCTCGAGTGCCAGAAGGAAGTGTCTTTCCAATTCGTGCATGCGCGTTCTGCTAACAATTGATTTTCACAGCTTAAATAAAAATGGCTAGCAAAGCGCATTGGCGTTCTGCCTCAAGACCGATACTCATTCAGTTCGTTTGTACTTATGTCATCTCCAAATTTGTTGAGGTAACAATACACCAATATGCATTGACCATTGAGAAAAGTTTAACCCAAAACAACAATAAACAATTACGTGAATTATAAAAATTGAAAACTCGGTAGCAATGGCCTCTACTATCTACGAGTTTTTTGAAGATTTGGCAAGAGCAAAATTGAAGTGGCAAAGGTTGTTGAACCTGCTGGGCCAACGTCAACAGCGGTGAGCATGAACTTGTATAACACTTCGTTAGCGATGATGGCGTATAAGGAAGCAATAGTTTTCAAATTTCACCGCGCGAGGAATACAACCCAACTACAATCAGCATCATTATACTCATTGAGGCAGTTAGCTCAAACGGTTGAGCATCAAAGAGTTTAGCGTCATACACACAGAATCTGCCGCAGCACCATTAGCGTCACACTTTGCATAGACAAGCAACATCGTCAACTCTTTTACTGTGTCGTAAATGATTGCGCTACTGTTGAAAGTTCTGATTGGTGGAATGGTTGGCGCAGTTAATATTCGAGTAAGCAATGAGGTCGATAACTGCTGCATCAACTGATGTGTCTTGATTTGGACGCTTTTATTATATCCACCGCTCTCTTCACCGCATTAGTGAGCAAATATATTCAACATCAAAGGTCGGCGGGCTACAAGGAAATACATTATGCCGACGGAAGTAGCAGGTCTTTGCGTAATGCGCAACATTTAACCTCAAACTAATTTTTGATCAGCAATGTCTAGGGCCCAGTCACTACTTTGGTAGTGAAATTCATCACCATATATAGCGGCATTGTAATGAACCATAGATGGCTGTGAAGTTAGTTTCTTAACTTTCTGCCCGAACGGCGTCAATGAATTATGCATTGTGACTTTTGATATTCACCCAGCAATTCACAACAGAATTAAAATCAATTTCTAAGCATTGTAGGGCAACAGAGACGTATGCCACTGCAGGTCTGTGAACGACTGAACGTTTTGCATCTTCTTGAAAACAATCAGCTTTGTTGAAAACATAATGAGTGTTGAATTGCTAGTATAACCTGCAGTTGAGAGGCATCCAGTTGACCCTGTTGGTCAATCATTCGGACGTTGATGGTTGTAGATACTATAATTCTCTCGTTATTTTGTCAAGCTCCTGTTCATGGCTAGGACGCTCTACTATCCTCTTCAAATTAGAATTAAAGCAAAAACCTAACATAGGATTTACCCTGCTTGACCATTGAATTTGGTGATTTTGCAATGATAAGATCTTTTACATTTTATCCATGCAGGCACTGGTTCTGGTTCCCTAAAATAGTAATTTGCAAATGCAGCTGATTCATTTGCAATTCAATCCATTGTAGAACTTGACGCACTCTGTTCTAGAAACAAATGTGGCACTGGTTCAGTCAGCAAAATGATATGTTGCTCTTCCGAATTTACGCAATAGTTCAGTACTCAGAATTCAGCCAGTAGATTCATGTAAATGTCAACGACAATATCGCCAAGAAGGAATGAGCTTCTCACATCCATTTGTTGAACCATCAATTATATTGAATCTCTACCCGCAGGACTCACTGTAGGTCAATCGTACGGGATTAAAGGAATGGATGCGGCAGTATTCGTAATATTTTTAAGTTGAGAACAGGTTTGTCGAACAACCCGGGTTTTGGCAAAATCACCATATGGTGCTGAGATCATTGACTGCTCCCAGCAGCAGCAGGATAGGCTTGCCAGAAGGTAAATCATCAAACAGTAAATGTTGTTCTAAATCATTGTCTGTTGCATTGATTGTCAAGAAACTTTGCAGATTGGATTGGTGGCGTTTGGTCTTAATAGGGCAGCGGCCAATGATGCATTGACCAACCACGTCGGATCGCCCTTGTCTTTAATATTGTTAGTTGAATCATTTTCAGACGAATATAGCAAATTCTCAATGTCATCCAAATCCTGTTAATAATCGTTTATGGATGTACCATCGTTGATTCTATCAAGTGAGCACCGGTGTTAGCAGTAGCAACATGATGAATATCACCGGGGGGAGCAGCAGATTCATCTGAAAGAAGTTGAATCTGTTCGATTCCATATACTTCTTGTTCACATCAGGTGACGTTATAAAATTTAATATTTTCATTTTCGATACTTTTTAATGTCTTGTCTGAAGGAGTTGGTGCTCTGCGCCCATTGTCATTGCCCTCAGTGGACTGATTTCCTATTTTAGCATTAGCAGCAGCAAGTAAGATTCTATCGGCTGATCGCCTTGGTGGCTTAATCCACGTAAAAGATAAAATTGTTAAAGACAGTTGGGTGTCATTACAGAGACAACGTGAACTGACAATAAAACTTCAAATTTGAAAATGAGCAGTCAACCGACGGCTGCATTTTGTCGAAGTCAAAAGCATGAAAAGCGCAGCACAATTCACTGATACACTCTACAGCAGATGAAAAAAATATTTTTCAGTTTACTGAGTCATGGGCTCTGTCACCATTCTTATATCCCATCGTTGAGCAGCACAATTTTGAGCAGCTTCATATAGAACTTCCATTTCACGCCTTTCTCTCTTTAGTTAACAAACGATGTTGAACAGCTTGGATGCAATCTTCCTATGTAATCAAGCGGAATAAACATTTTATCCAATTGTCTTTAAGCAAATGTACTATATATTAATGGTATCTCTATTGCAAATATTTATGAATCGGTTGGGGCCACAGTGACAGATTTGAGGTACTCATCAACAATGGAAAGACACTTGAATCTGTCATCAACAGCAATATCCGGCGTTGGACTTACAATATAGTCAATAAAATAAAGTATTGCAGAGCGCGGTCCTGTGGAAGGCTTATTAACGATTGTTTTTGCACTTTTTTTGGAGCAGGTCTCACATTTTCCTCCCCAGCGGCAGATCCAATCAATGATGGTTATATCTTTTCTATGAGTGTCACCGGCATCACATCAACGCTCATGCCATTTTGTGGTAATGGGCGCAACGACAGATTGAGCGAGGACAACTGGATTATAACTTAGAAGAACTCTGTTTCTAAAAATGGCTTCATTCAAGTAAAAGCAATCATTTTTATCTAATGAGCCGGCCGCTTTAAGTGTGCAGCCACAAATTGAATCAACTTTGTATTTTGAGAAGCATACCAAAGATTGGCAGATGGTCGAACCTTCACAAACAAGGCAGTACCATTAATTGTCACATGATCGGCAGAGACCCCCAATCCATCATCCCTACCTGCCTGAAAAATGATGTCGCTCAGCAATCTGGGACAGGACAATTGTTTTGAGGAGCACCACAAAGATCATATGCGTCAATGTTTGACACAGCAAATGTAGTATTGTGAGGGTCTATAAAGTGGGTGTGAACTGTTTCAGCGTGGGGGGTGTGGCAATCCGGTGCAGCAAATGTGATTACGGCCACTTGATCAGCATCGTAACCCTCGAAGGCTTTGCAATACAGTTCATTAAGTGATTGATTTTAATGCTTTTAGCAAATAAAGTATTGTGCCATTTACGTGAGGTAAGTGACCTGGTGATAATGTCTTCAGGATCTGCTCCAACTGAGCCAGAATGCTTCTGCTGGCTAACTGATTTTAGAGAATCATACAATTCATTGAAGAGTTCTTCTTGCAACACAGCAGGAAATGAACCTTCGAGAGGCAACGTATGGATAATGGAATTCAGAGACACGTTGAATTTTTTTGAATGAACATCATCAGCAAAACTATCCTCTCTCTGATAAAGCCCTGACACAACGAAGCTCGCTGACCAGTTTCGAGTTTTCAGACCGAGTCTGAAATAGAGAACTTGCAAAGATCCATTATTTTTTTTGACTGATTGCTGCAAACATTCACAATTTGGCTTGTTACCTGTGAAAGCGTGCGCATGGTAATATTTTGACGTAGAAAAGTATATGAGAAAGATGAATGTCAATCAGATTGCGAGCCTCTTCTATGAAGTACTAGGATGGATCACACGGCATCACATGGGCAGACCGGTGACAGGCGCTAAAGAAGTAAATGTCGATATCCTGCAGGCTCAGCAAAAACCGCAATTTCTAAAGAACAGTACGAAAATTGCAAACTCGAAAAAAAGGAAATCAAATCCAAGAGCACCTAATTGTTAATGCAACTAGATCATTTCAAAAAAGAGAAGGGGCTCTGATAATCTTATCAAAAGGTACCCGCGGAGAAAGTGATATGATTAAAGACTCTCATTCAAATATGTATCAAGCTTCAAACTTAGCGAATTAGAAACTAAACAATCAAAGTTAAACAAATAAAGCTAACTCCACAAAAGCAATGAAAGCAATCGTCACATCAATTGTATCAATGATTCAAGTTACTGAGATAATTAAAACCTGCAGCAGTTGGCAATTTGGTGAAAAAAATAGCTACATTATTTTTAGGATCATCTCCTGCTGAGAAATTGCGCAATCCATTTATAACATTATATTTAATTGAGATATATTCGGAGTGGTTTGGAATGACGGATATCTTGGAAAGTTGACTGCACAATCGTTTTCGCAACTGATAATTGGATTATCATCATTTTTATTGGAATTTTTGTATTCATCGATTGCTATCACAGGTTATTTGATTAATTTTGTGAGTAGATTTGATTGACTTTCTCATGTAGCAAGGCCACCGATGGCTGCTTGGAAAAGCTGCATTTAGCTGATTTCTCAATAATGAACTATATGTAGCATCCAATTGATTTTCGATCACTAATGCCACCCGCCAAACAGCTGTCAAGGTATCGAAACTGCTCAACTAACAAACCAGCATTGCAATGAACAGTTAATGTGATTGCTTTTAATGATAGCGACACTTCTTTATCACAACATAATTGGAGCTTCCATGGTTCACCAAGAAATTTGCTGAGTAACCAAATACCAAAAACATTATCACACCGTAAAAAGCTTGCAGCAAAATGCATCAAACTGGGGATTTGATATTTCAAACAGATGTTTAGTGAGGATCACGTTCAGAGCAGTCTGCTTCAAGTACCATCTTCAAAACGATAATCATCATTTCTGTATTCTGTCGATGTGATTCATCCTCTATGATTTGCTGAAATATCATTCTCGAGTTGCTATTTAGTAATGTCAAATTGCCAATGTCAGTTTGAGCAATTTGAAGATAGAAACCTAACCTACAACTGCTCTAAGATCAGTTGTTGGAACGTTGATCTGTGATATAAGTTGAGCGCTTGACCATTGCATCTGATTTTTTGAAAGTAATCAATTAATCGTCATGAATTGCGAGCATGCAGTGGTGTTTGTCCATTGAATAATAAAACTCACCTTGATCAGAGGAAGCATTTTGGCAACAAAACAAGTGGAAGGGATGATGGATCTCTTTCTTCCAACAAGAGAAAAATTGGTTGAAACCGTGAGTTGATTTGTGCAACGATCAGGCATTCAAAGAATGCCCATCTACCGAAAACTCAGCAGATTGTTTAATGTGAATAACAATGTTGATATTCCCATGAAAGAATGTAGTTGCGATATCCAATTCATTCACCTCTCTTGATTTTGATGCTACGACTCCCAAAGAAAATTTAGTATTTCAGCACTGCATTAGTGGCTAAAATGGTTTATTTTAGAAAATACATGCAAGCTGAGAAAACCTTTCAGAACCTACTCTGGCCTGAGGACATCAACTAGTTGCTGCTGACGTTATTTGCATCACCGGAAGGCAGCCAGCGGGATCATTGACAGAAGGAAGATCTCCAATAGGTACTTATTGTTCCCAAGCATCGCCTGAAGTTGTGAGTGAAATGCAACAGCGCCGATGGGGTCCGCAAAATTTGGATTATACGACGTAGCGGCATACCCGGCTGGTGTGAAAGATGTCAGAAGAGACTTGTGTTTAATTGTTTTTCTCGGATCTCTTGTGAACAATTTAAGTACATTTTCTTTCTCGTCAAGATGATGTGAGGAGCTCTTTTGGTGTGATCTTCTTGGTTTCCATCATCTGCAGCACCGGTGCGAGGATCACTGTCTTGATCATTATGATCAATGGGTAGACCAGTCTCTTCGAATCCAATTCATTGTCATTGACACCGGTTTTCTTTTGATCATCTGACGTGATTTGAATATTTTAACCATCTGTTTGGAATCTGGTTTTTGATATATCGCTGGAAACAACTGCACGTCAGTTCAGATAGACATTGATGGCTGTGGACACGTTTTCGGCAATAACACCACCACCAATAGCTGTATCTCCTACCACAAAATGGAGTTGCTTGTTTAATGGCAGCAAATGATAGATCTCACCAATGTAATTTGGCTTCATCAAAGGATCAGGAAAACCTCGCAGCAAGACAGCTGCTATTAGGATTGTACACTTTGATGGCTTTTCAACTCAAGTCGTAGCCGAATGAAAAATGAATGCCATCTGTATCACTTAACTTGGTTTCCCAGACTTGTTTTATTATCATGTCTTATTCAACAAATCTACACATCTTCACCCTAGCAGTGGTCGAATTATTTTTGTAAAGTCTGTCATAAGGAGTCGTCAACCGAGCGGCTTGCTTGGAGGGAATCTGCTGCTTGAAATGCGCAGCGCTCATCACTGCTTCATTTCACAATTAATCAAATTTTGTGAATCATTTGACCTTTTTGTGGGCTTTGGCACGATTGATTTCAGCCAACGCTGAGAGACCGTATTTTGATGAAATTCAATAGGATCAGCCAATTCAAGTGTATCGGTTTCAGATTGACACAATTCTTTGAACAGGTTAGATGCAAACTCGTTATCCGCAAGGACTGTATGAACAATTGAATTCAATCATCATTATGTAAACTTAACTTTATGTGCCCACCGAGCAACAGCAAATGAGCGTGTGGCAATGGGAGCGACAACGACACATCATGATTAATGAACTGCAATGATATCTTTGACGGCTGTACCACGGATCGTATAGCACCTCTTCCAATACGGCTGCAACTAATTGGCCGGTAGCCAACATATGGAGAAAGGAATTCAATGCGATTTTCACTTTAAGGATGAGAACATTATTGGCGACATTAGCAGATTCTTTCATGAAGGCCCGATCCAACCGACCAAGCTGAGCAGCTTTGAGATTTAAGACCTGAACCCAAATAGTAAAGTCAGCTGTATCCATCGGGGTTTTTGATTCACCTCTGCGAACTATCCCAATTTGGTTCATAAACTGTTCTAGGAACAGCATAATAATATATTCAGGTGAAACCGAATGTCTGAAAACAGGACGTAGAAAATATTGGCGGCTCTTTTTGTAGGTAACTGAGTTTGATCTCAGACTATCAGTGAAGCAAACCGGTGACAGTCACCCAAGATCCGAATGTTGAAATCGGAGTAGCTCACATTGTAGTTTAGGTGTTCGGGAAAGTATATCAGTTGCTTCCCACTATTATTGAATATACCATTCGCACAGTCTGATCTGAAAGCGAGTTTGCATCCCACTTCTCAAAGTAATTCTGCCACTCTGATGAGATCAAGCATCAAATAGCACTTCCTTACTAGCTCCATGAAATTGGAGTTGCCAATTATTGCCAAAGAGCACTCCTGACAAAGTCATCACAATGTTAATTGAAACTGATTTTTCTCGTTGTTTGCGAAATGAAAATGCGATGAGTGCCGAATCTTTGATGACTTTGATCCCATGCAAACAAATCGGTCCGCAGACTTTTCTTGTCAAATTATTTCTCTGAAAAAACTCAACTGCTGCTATCGTAATATCGTTTGAATGTACTTGCACTTGCTAGGATTGCTAAACAACTCAGCGAAACCTAGTTAGGTGATACAAGAGTTCTCTGCGCTTTCGCCTGCTACAACATGAGTTGAATGGCCTACCAATTTGCCAATTTTCATAGGAGTTGTGTCCATGTCACCTCCTCCTGTTGCTTTGAAGAAGCCAATTTTTCTGGTGAAGATCACAGCATCGCTGCTATAAGTTGAGCAAATCGGTCTGCATTCGGAGGAAAACAGATTGCTGTTTTAAACAGTGATGCTGAGTATGAGATGGACGAACTACTAAGATATACGACAGATCGTCAAGAGTATCCTGATGATATAGGTGCTGAACTGAAACGATTTTCAAATGATTCAAGAGACACCAAAAAAACCAGGTGCTTTCTGACTTATTAAGCCGCTGCTGCTTTTGCCACTACATCTGTGAAACCAAAAGCTGCAGACCCGAACAGGAACCTCGCTTGTCCGTCAGCGCTTCTGCAATGCTTGCAAACAATACTTGGCTGTTAGTTGATTCTTTCATTTGAAACAATTCTGCTGTCTATTCTAGGTAGTTTAGAATGAGTTGATGACCACCTGTTGACGTTCTTTACCTCAGACTGGTTGTTAACGATTTCTCTCAGCGTGAAGGAGTTGATAATACTGCGCCATTTAGTCCAAATATTGAGATTGTGAGTGTCAAAGTCCGTCTGTCTGTTGAAGGGTCACAGTCATTGAATGCTCATCACATTATTGTCACAACCACTGTTTTGCACTGTAATATCGACGCAGAAATCTACAAGAAACAAATCTTCGGATTCGTTGATGAGAGTTTCCTCTCAAAAAGGTTGAAGTTACAGAAATCATATTAAGGACTCAAAGCCCATCGTTATCGTCCTTAGAAAAATTTGCTTAATCGTTTTCATCTGTTTGAGTTGCGAAAAGCCTCAGCTGCGCAAGGTGGGTTTTATTTTTCTAAGAAGCGACAGCACTGGGTGTCTGGAATAAATTTGGTTGATCTTATTAGTGGTGGAATATCTGATGCAACGGTCAAGCCGCTCCAGTAATATCTCAATTCATTTTTTAGAATCGGAGACCTTAGCGTATTTTTGGAACGCTATCTTAAGTCTATGTTGCTGAAAGCAAGGAATCGATGTTTGTAGCAAAGGAGGTATACGTTGGAATAAAGTGTGAACGGGTTGAAGTGGATCACTGTCATTTGCAG